AAAGCCCTGCTCTGTTTCTCCCCGTCGATGCTGCATTGTCTGCTGGACCACGGACTTTTCTTCACCCTACTCTTACTTTCATTCTGCATCTCGTTGAACGAGGTGGCTGCTTGATAGTTGATACTGCAAGCTCAACTTACAACTAGCCAATCGATCCCCTTCCTATACTATAGGTATACCTCGGTGTCTATCTCGGGGCTTCACAGGCGTCTTGTCCCGTTTCCAAGGTTTGACCTGATAGGCCTTGTCATCGCCATTCGCTCCTTTGCCTACCGTATCTACTTCACGCCATCTTTATCGATCGACCAGCTCAGTCAGGTACCGGCCGGCCCGTTGTTCCCAGTATAGTATCTCCGACCCATCAGCTGGGCGAACCACGAACCTAGAACGTCACCTCACCTTACCTCACCTCACCTTATTTCGTCCATATCTGAGGCTCGCGGCTCGGCTTCGTATTGTCGAAACACCCAAAATTAGAAGCAATCCCGTCTCCTTGGTCGTCAAGCACTCCTTTCCTGGTGGCCATATAACGGGCTTCTGACGTATGTTGGCTCCCACTCACACCTGATCCATCACCTGTGGTTTTTGCTGTTTTATTGTGGGCTGGCTGGCGATTTCGTTGTATGAGGCGAGCCCGCTGCCCTATTATGGATCCCAGCTTATCTTTGGGCCTCTTATTGATTCAATTTCATGCACACGAGTAGCGACATGATGCTAACGATATACATCACACAGGTCTGGCAATATTTATATAATTATTTGCGTTTGGCTGTTGCCGGCATCACCACTCGCTTGGCCTTCACCTCTAACGACGACCTCGCCATATATTACAGCATCTCGCTCAGTCTCCCTTCCCAAACTCGTCTCTCGTCTAGTGCCAGCTTATCTTCCCTGTTCAAGAGGGCAACGATCTGCTGCTCGCACCGGATTCGCCCAAAAAGTGCCAGCCGGCTCCACCCCAACAGACAGTGCAAAGTACCAGTACCTGCAACCGTACCAGTACCTCGCTCCTCTGTCAGCCTGCCATTCCCGCTGCGACAGGCATCACCAGCCGCTACAACCTCCAAATCGGTCCCCCAGCGCGCACGCCCCCACCCCCCAACATCCAAGTACCGCTACCTGCAGCTCGCCGCACCGGCCCCGTCGCCACGCGCTGTGCTTCACTTCCATCACTGGGCTACTCCCTGGAGCGGTCGCTGACACCCCCGAACCCCCCCCCCCCGAATCGCAGCCTCCCAGGGCCCTGGCCCGTTAACCTCAGCCACCCCTTCCAGGCGCTCCAGCCCACTCGTCCACCCACGAGCCGGTCTCGCAGAACGCTAACACGCCATTGGACGCACACATGCTGCAGGCCATTAATTTTCCTGCGAGTGCGAGCCGCCTTCCTGGTTCGCCTCCCCCGACGTTTGCGTCAAAACACAGGCATCTGGCCGCCAACCTTGATCTTGCAACTCTCCAGATGCCTTCCGCAATATCGTTTCGAAGAGAAGGTGTGTAGCCCAGTCCTCACTTTTTCGTCACTGCGAACTCAATCCCCATCGACGGGGAGTCTTTTCTTCAAAACTCTATTTTTCCCTTTCTTAGATCTGCCCACCTTCTTTAATCATCTCTTTTTCTTCCCTCTTTCATCCCGCCATCTACGTTTTTTTTTTCCTTCGCGCCTCTACTTACTTACCTGCCCCTCGCCGCAAACAGACGCTGGCCGACGACTCGCAAAGCAATCGGCACTCGCCAAACTGGTCATGAACAACCAGCTCTTCGCATCTCCGCCGTCACCTCCTTCAACTTCTCCCTCGTCGACATCGCCCACGTCGACATCGCCCACGTCCCCCGAGCTGGAGCAGCATCCCCACCAACTGGCTGTGCTGCCGCCCCCCACCAAAGATGTCTACGGCCCTCTCCAAGCTCCCATCCCGTCCATGGCCAATGCCGTGCGCATCATGAACGACTTGACGGACACGCCTCCGTACTCGAGGAGCGTCACGTCGACTGCGCCCAGCTCGCCGCGAATGTGAGTGCCCAGAAATGCCGTCACCCCGCATATCCCGGTGGATTTTTTTTTTTCTCATTCTCTCTTGGCTTCTTCCTTGAACCACTCATTATCTTGGCTACTACTATCGCCATCTCTTATCGTATCGTTTGTGCGATGACGGCATCTTACTAATTGACATTTGGCATGATAGTCCTCCCCAGCGACAGAACTCTGGCAGCCAGACCCCGCGAGTTCGGCCCCATGCGACGACGCTCAACATTCCGGGCATGACCAGGTCCAAGGTCTCTCCCGACGGACGAATTCCCCAGCGCGATGTGGCAGCCAAGCTTGTCATTGTCATGGTCGGCCTGCCCGCCCGTGGAAAATCCTACATCACAAAGAAGCTGCAGCGCTACCTGACGTGGCAGCAGCATGAATCGCGCATCTTCAACGTGGGTAACCGACGACGCAAGACGGCCGGTCGCAAAGTCTCAATCCACCCCAAGTTGGCCCCAGAACCCGATTGCCTGGACCCTCCTGTGCAGGCCGCCGAGATCTTGCTGAATGGCTTCCCGGCTCCCAGCGACGGCTTGAGCCCCCGATATCAGGACGAGCCTACTGAGTTTAATCTGGATCAAGCCATCGAGGAGCAGAAGGACAATGACCAATCGGCGCAATTCTTCGATCCCAAGAACGAAAGGGCAGCAGCCATGAGAGAGCAGGTGGCAATGGACACCTTGGACGAGTTGTTGGATTATCTCCTGAATGAGGGCGGTGCAGTTGGCATTCTTGATGCCACCAACAGCACGATTGCGCGAAGGCAGCATGTGGTTGACCACATCAAGCAGAGAGAACCCAAACTTGGCATTCTGTTCATTGAGAGCATTTGCCACGATAAAGACCTGCTTGAGGCAAACATGCGCCTGAAGCTTTCTGGTCCGGACTATCGGGATAGGGACCCTATCAAGTCGCTGGAGGACTTCAAGGCTCGAGTGGCCGCCTACGCCAGTGCATACCAGCCCCTCGGAGACTACGAGGAGGAGCACGATATGCAGTACATTCAGGTAAGCTAGCACAACAAGATCCATACCTTTTGTGTTCCCCTTTATTCCATCATGCCGCTAACCTGGACTTGTAGATGGTTGATGTCGGCCGGAAGCTGATTCAGCACAGGCTCAAGGGATTCTTAAGCGGTGGGCTTAGCACCTATCTCTCGAGCTTCAATCTCGCCCCTCGGCAAATTTGGATCACCAGACACGGCCAGAGCCTAGATAATGAGCTAGGCAGGTTAGGTGGTGACTCGCCTCTTACCGAGAAAGGCCACTACTACGCCCAGGCTCTTCATCGGTTCATCACACAGAAGCGAAAGGAGTGGATCATAGAGCAGAAGAACAAGATGGCGCAGGCGAAATTTCCTCCTCTTCCTGGCGACAACACTCCCCCTTACCCCGACATGTACAGCGACGTCGACGACAAGAATTTTTGCGTCTGGACGTCAATGCTGCAACGCAGCGTAGAGACAGCCGAATACTTTGATGTCGACGACGACTATGACGTCAAGAATTGGGAAATGCTCAACGAGCTCAACTCTGGCCAATTTGAGGGCATGACTTATAAGGAGATCGCGCAAAAGTGCCCCGAGGAGTTCAAGAAGCGTGCCCAGGACAAGCTTAATTATATCTACCCGGGCGTTGGTGGTGAGGGCTATCTCCAGGTTATTAGCCGCCTACGCGACATGGTGCGGGAGATTGAGCGCATCACAGACCACGTTCTCATCATTGGACACCGGTCTGTTTGCCGTGTCTTGATGGCCTACTTCATGGACCTGACGCGAGAGGACATTACCGATATGGATGTGCCTTTGGGCATGCTTTATTCGATCGAGCCCAAGCCTTACGGTATTGCCTTCCATGCCTACCGATATGACGAGTCGCGAGGCTGGTTTGACGAGCTTCCCAATTACAGGCCTCAGAAGGCTGCTAGGGGCAGCGTCTGATGGCTTCCTTTTTTTCCCCCATTCTCCATCTTTCCTTTCTTTTCTTTTCCTTTATTTTTCTTACTGTCTCTTAAGATATCCGCCGGGATAAGCAGGCCAGGCAATGCATTAGCTGTACAATACTAACGGAAACAAATTTCGGCGTTGGAACGGTACACGCGGAAGGATCGCGATGTTTACAGGGGAATGGACGCATTAAATTCAGGGAGAAATAGGACACACAAGCATAACACGAACGACTGCAGCTCTTTCAATCTTCAACCAGAGGACGACGAAGAGTAGCTGTTGATCACGGGTGAACACAAGTCTGTCTGTGAATTGTGGCATTGAAAATGCTTTGTTATTTGTCTTTTTCTCCTTTGTCACCTTTACTTTTCTTTTTTTTTTTTTTTCCTTTTTAGCTGCCTTGATTCATTCTAGGCAAGCTCGTGGCGTTTACGGGGAGGTAATAGGAACGAAGGAATGTGGAACTTTAGCCGGCTCATGGACTTGATTTTAATTGTTTTTTGCTTTCTTCTTCTTTTCTCTGTCGGTTTTCGTGTGCCGACTTTTGTTACTTTTCCTGCGACGAAGACTAGACGAGTAAAAAAGTAATGTACTTTTTTGTCTTTCATGTTTGTTTGTTCTTCTCTTTTCAAGCACAGAATGAAAAGTATTGCAAGATGTCTTTTTTTACTTCGCGTCTAGTTGAGATAGATTTAGGTTGTCTTGCGAGTGAACAGATGATGTAGTATCTTCATCACAGAATTGACTGCTTGACTTGAAGAGAAATTTTTCATGATGATGCGCCTGACTTGCTATATCTTTTAACGAATCATCTTTTGATCCGTCAGTGCTACTGTGCCACTGGCAAATATGATGCTACAATAGTCCAGCCCATTATGTATCTCGTAGAACAAAAACAATAACCCCCTTTTTAAATCCTGAACGCCGTGCCATGCAACTACCGTAAGGAGTCCCTATTTTTCCGTTTTGGTATGAAAATCTTTGACAAGTAATAAGTAACCACCATCCCAAATCCAATACCGCTTTTCACTTTTCTCGGGCCAGCACCATCTTTTCTCTCTCGCCCTTGCGTGCTTGGAACTGCTTGCTCGAGTGCTTCCGCTCGTTCTCCTCCCTTCGCTTGATGGACTTGAGCTCCTCGTTTTTGATCTCGCCGGCCTTCTTGATGACCTTTGGCAGGTGGCGGTGGCGCTTGATGCGGTTGATCTCGGGCATGTGGCCGAAGCGTTTGACGAGGGCGTCGTTGTACTCGAGGGCCTGGCGGTGGCGGGCCGACTTGATGCCCTGGCGCTGGGAGGCGTTTGCGCGCCAGATGCGCACGTTGCCGTCGTCGGAGCCGGACAGGACGTATTTAGCGTCAGGCGTCCACTTGGCGGACATGACGCGCTGCATGCGCTTGGTGTGGTAGACGTCGCGGGCGTGGCCGCGGTCGCGCTCCCACAGGCGCACGGTGCGGTCCCAGGAGGCGGTGACGAGCTCCTCGCCGGTGGGGGAGAACTCGACGTCCATGACGGCGGCGACGTGGCCCTTGAGCACGTTGCGCGCGCGGTCAATCTTGCGCATGTCGAAGAGGTAGACGTTGTGGTCCTCGGAGGCGGCGGCGAAGTTGAAGGCCTCCATGGGCGACCAGGCGATGCGGTTGCAGGCAAAGGTGAGGACGGACTTGGCGACGGGCGTGGCGGTGCGCAGGTCGTAGATGACGATGGAGCGGTCGTTGGAGCACGAGGCCAGGACGGACGTCTCGACGTGGTTGAAGGCGACGTTTGTGATTGTGTCGGTGGAGGTCGGCCAGTGCAGGACTTCGGGCGCGGCGGTGTGGCGCTCGAGGTCGTAGATGGAGATTACGCTCGACGCGGCGGCAAAGGCATTGCGCGAGCGGTGGTGGGATAAGCTCGTGAAAGCGCCGGCTCCGAGCCACGATGAGATGGGCGCGGACTCGCTGGGCAGGTTGTACGGGTCGAAGAGCTTGATGGAGCGGTCCGCGGCGCAGGTCAGAAGCTTCTGGTCGCGCGTCCACTCGAGGCCCTTGACGATATTTTCGTGCGCCGTCGCATGCCATATTTCCTCTCGGCTGGTCAAGTCCCAGACCTTGACGACGCCGTCGCCGCTGCCGCTGGAGAAGCGCTCGAGCGCGTTGGGGTCCTTTGCGATGGAGTAGACGCCGTCGACGTGGCCGCGGCCCAGCTGGCCGATGAAGGGCGCGGCGTGCATGCGCTCGAGCTTGACGGCGTTGAGGGCGCGCTTGTACTCGCGGGCGCGCTCAAAGGGGTGGATGGCCGAGTCAAGGTTCCGGGGCTGCTTGACGGTGTCGGTGCCAGGGGGCTGCTGGGCCGATACGGATCGGCTGATGGCTTTGATCTTCATTGTGGGCTTTGATTTCTCTTGTAATACTCGTGGTGTTTGTTGGTTGTAACAATTGAGACTTTTCGAGAGGTATTGGGGGGTCTAGTTTTAGTTGACAGAAGTAGTATATGCGTCTACTAACTATTCCGATATCCAGTGTTTGGTGTTTTCGCGGGGAGATTTTTTTCGTTATCGCAAAGCTTAGCATGGGTGGCCGATAAAGAACGTGGAATTACTAATGATCCGACTCTAAAGCTCTAATCGATATGGGTGGCGCGCGCCCGCTGCAGGGGCTCTAGCGGTGCGTTGAAGCGCATTGGAGACTTTGCTGGCTCATCTTTCCTTCACTTTCTCTCACGCCAAACGTCTATCAGAGTTTCTTGAAAAGCACTGCAAACCCCCTCTTTTTCCATATTCTTATTGTTGTTTGATTGAAAAATTTTGAGAGCAAGGACCGAATTCTTCAGCTTTTCTCTCACGCGCGCCCCCGGAGTCGGGCTAGCTTTTCTTCTTCTTCTTCCCCAAGATGGATGCCTTGCACTATGATCCGATGGCTATGGATGGGGAGCCGGAACAGCCCCAGGTCAAGATCTCAGCGGTATGAAGAATCTAGCTTTGGGTACACACTTCTCTTTATGAATCAAATCTCCTAACGTTTTCATGTTGCTCTCACCTTAGGCCGATAGCACGCGCGTGGACTTTGAGCTTTCAAGAACGAACCTGCCCTTCGCCAACGCCCTGCGGCGAATCATCCAGGCCGAAGTACCGACAATCGCTGTCGACCTGGTAGAAATCGAGGTCAACAGCTCTGTCCTGGCTGACGAATTCATCGCACATCGACTGGGCCTTATCCCCCTCGACTCAAAGGGCGTCAACGAGCTCAACTACTCCCGTGACTGCGACTGCGAACAGTACTGTGAGCACTGCTCCGTCAGCCTGACGCTTCACGCAAAATGCACCAGCGACGAGATCATGAAGGTCTATGCGCGAGACTTGGTTGTGGATGGACGACATGCGGGCTCTGTCGGAAACCCCATCATCACGGATCCGGAGGGCCTGGGGTGTTTGATTGCTAAGCTGCGGAAGGGTCAAGAGCTGAAGATTACGTGCATTGCGAAGAAGGGAATTGCAAAGGAGCATGCGAAGTGGATGCCTACGTCGGCGGTTGGCTTTGAATACGATCCTCACAACAAGCTGCACCATCTTGATATGTGGTTTGAAAATAACACTGATCCAGAGAAGGAATGGTAAGTTTGCGTCCTCTGTCCAAGGAAAGGTAAGTTAAGATTACCAATCTAACGTATGTATGCTCCAGGCCAAAGAGCAAATATGCTCAGTGGGAGGAACCCCTCCAAGAGGGCGAGCCCTTCAACTTCGACGCTGTGCCGAATCGATTCTACTTTGAGGTCGAAGCGTCGGGAACCATGGAGCCGGATTTGATCATCCAGGGGGGGATTCGAGTTTTGCAGCAGAAGATTGGCGGGCTATTAAAGGGTCTCGACCCAAGAAAGTACGGCGGCGACGATGCCGACATGGACGGCCCTCGGAGCCCGGATATGAACATGGACGGCGGTACTACACCATGGGGGCAGGATGGCGGATACACAACTCCCTACGGAAACAACACGGCGTACGGAGGTGGTAATACGGCATACGGAGGAGGCACTTCATATGGGGGCAGCGCAACTGCCTACGGAAGCGGTACGGCATACGGCGGCAGCTCGACAGCATATGGCGGCTCGGCGGCCGGGTCGGGTAGCGGCGGATACGGCTCAGGACCTTATAGCCAAGGCAGCTCTTGGCAGTAAACGGATTAGGGGGAGGCGTTTGAATGGGATGACTGGGACTTTCTTTTTTTGTCAACTCTCGCATAAAGCAAGGATGAGTTTTTATTTATTTTTTCACGCTTCTGGATTGTACAATATTTTGGGATCGACAGCGTTAATAGTTAGAGAGGTGAGTGCAAAAACATTCTTCTCAAAAAGTAGAAAGGGGGAAAAAACTTGAAAAGACGTTTCGGAGAAAGTAATATCATACTATTTGCATATCATGCTTTTGAATCGTCTGTCTGCACGTCTGTCTGTGTGACACCCTTTTTTTGTTCATTCTACCAATCTGTCATTGTATCTATATGCGGAGATTATGCTGGAAATATGACTACATGAGAGAGCACCATGGCCCCTCCTCTGCTATTTGTGTTTACATAGCTATGTGTGTGTCTACTATAAATGACACATGAGAAAAAATGATACAAGAGTATGCAAATAGAAGGAACAGAAATGCAAGTCGCCCAATAGTCTAACAAAACGCCGCCACGTTCTATACAAGTTCCCATCAGCCACTCTTTGAGGAATTTTTATGTATTTCCTGTTTCCCCCTTTTATCCAAGATGTGTTTTTTTTTCTCTCTTCTTCATCTCCTGGTGAATCTATGTCGCCTTTTCATCCACGCCTTTTACTTTTCTATAAACCTTGCGGTGCATCTCTAGGAAGACGAATGTACAGATGGTGTGTCTACCGAAGATTTTAACGTTAGTGAGGTTCAAACGTAGGGGGGGTATACGAGATTCGTCGACTTACGGGCCAAGTCGCAGGAAGCTGGGGACCCAGCCCTTGAACATCCAGCGAATGCCCTCGGCTCTGTTGATGTCGCTTATCAGATGGAGGATGCCCTGCTTATGCGACGTGGACATGACACGCGTCTTGATGACATCGATTGGACTCGTTGCCGTCGCCGCCGCCAGACCAGCCAGGAACGAGGCCGTAAAGTGCGTTGTGAGGGTATCGCCCATGGGGGTGTAGTCCAGCAGCAGGCGCTTGAACGTGTCGTACGTGGCCAGCTGCCCGGCCGTCATGACCGCCGCGCGACAGCTATTGGGCAGCCAGCCGCGGAACCAGCTCAGGGCGCCCTCCTCCCTGGCCATGCGGACCATGCCGTCGACAGCGTGCTTGTAGTTGCGACGCTCGGCGGGGGGCAGCGCGGCGTCGTGCTGCATGCGCACGTTGATGACATCAGCAAAGTTGCCGGCGACGCCGCCGACGAAGCCCGAGGCCATGGCCATGCCGATGAGCGCCGGGAACGAGGGCTCCTTGCCGTCGTGGGAGCGGATGTAGCGCTGCTTGATCTCCTCGTAGATGCCGAAGCGGGCGGTCGAGTAGGTCAGCTGGCGGAGCAGCGAGGCCGAGATGCCGGTGTAAAGGCCGAGGGGGCCGTCGTTCTTGAGGATGTGGGCAAAGGTGCCGCTCATGGATTTGGGGGCATCGGGTTTGCGCGTTTGGAGGCGGACCTGGGGTAAGGAGTTAGAGACGATGGGAGGTTGAATTGCTTATCAAGAGAATGTTCAATTCGGATTGTGCCATTGCGATTGGGAATCCTTGGAGTCGCAAACACTGGCGCAATCCTTGCTGCTATCATATCAAACACTGCGTACCTTGACTATATCTTTTGGGTCAGCACGAAGTTGAAAGGGGAAGGGCGCGATATTGACATGGGAGAGTTCAAGATAACAAGAGAGAGAGTCGCAACATACTCAAGTCCAATGGATGTGTCACGCAAGCCGCCATACTGCTTGCGCTGCCTCCAAACCAAAAGGGATACCGCATGGCCGGCGCTCTCTGCTTCGTCTTCTTCTTCTCGCCGGCATGAAGCTGAGCCGAGGAGGCGGCTTGTGTTGCTGATGTCATCTTGGGGGCAAGTTGCGCGCAACACCAGAAGCGTTGTCTGTCAAGAGAGTTGCTGCAGAGGAGACGGACGACGAGAGAAACTACGGGGACATTCCGCCGGAGGGAAGCATTCAAAAAATGAGCAAAGAAACAAGGCTTTATTTATTTCCCGTATCTCGACAAAAGAGCTTTTTCCCCTGTCCCGCCTTTTCTTGGTTTTCCCACGATATCCGAGATTCGGGGGAGAGACAAAAAGATGAGAATGGTAGTAAAGAAGAGATATGAAGAGAGAGAAGTGAATAAGAAGACGGCGACTGGTGCACCGACAGACGAAAGCTTTGAAAAGCGACAGCCGTGTTAAAAGGCTATTAAAGACGAGAGAGAGAGAAAGAGTTGACGATGTATGACGGAGAAAAAAAAAGAGACCAATCACAAGAAAAGATCAGCGTCGTCGGCCGTTGATTTCTGGGTCTGAGCTGCTGATGCTCCGTACTTCGCACTTGCAAGACGGCCTTTATCAGCCCCCGTTGATTTTTCTTATCGCGATCGGCTAATTTTTTGCAGGTTTTCCGTCCGTTGAAAGCCTTGAATTCTCTCGGAGCGGACTGCCGCGCCGGGCCGAAAGGCGGTCAGAGCTGGCGAGCTGCGCAAACCGGCGGCATAATTTACAGGGCCATGCATGTGCTGCGGAATTGGATATGGGCTGACAGGTAACCTGTCAAGTTCCTTTTCTACTCTTGTGACAGGCGAGGCGCATTGCATTTTTTTTGCTGCGTTATTACGTATCCAAGGGTGCAGCAGCAGCAGCAGCGCAGCCGGACTTTTTTTTCTCTGCAGCTGTTACGTGCGAACCACTAATCATAGTACACAGCATAGGCTATTAGTCGGTGAATTGAGCGGCTGGCGGGGGTTCCCAAAGAGGCCAGGACAAGACATCAACAAAATCGCATGACGGCTGTCGGACCGCCCTCACCGTTCGTTTCTCCTCATTCATCCATACTCTTTGCATCTGCTTTTTCTTCCTCCGGCGCTCGGCAATCTTCATTCGCTACGCGTGTTGCTGCTCCGCTTATTTCGTGATTATGCTTACGTTGCTGTGAAATTGTGAATTGGGCTCCGCATATTGCATGAATGAGGTGACTTGAGTGAGGGAGGGCGTGGCACAAGAGGGCGTCGAGATATAAAACACCAAGGCACGCAACGACTCTGGCCAGAGATGGCTTCGGTTGGCCTGGATGTCGTCTCTCGTCCGCATCATGAATCGCCGTTCGACGCGCTCCAGCGGGAGCAGGAGGACGCCATCATCAGAGTCGCGGGTTACCGTCGAGAGGACTATGCCATCTTGACTGTGTGTGTCTCGCACAGCGACCACTGCGCCGTGAAGTCGTCGATTTTGACATCAAGCATCGTTCCCAGGACGGGACTCGGTGCCTTTGACCAGCTCCCCGTAGAGCTGCAGCTTCAGACTCTCCGCCAGATGGATATGCAGTCGCTCTTCAACCTCCGCCAGACCAACCTCAGGGCCCGCCAGCTCGTGGACTCGCTGAAAGAGTACAAGGCTGCCGTATCTTATGGCCTGACGGCATACTGCGCGCTGCTGCGAACCAACCTCGCTACGCATGTCACGCTGCTGGATTTCTACCGAGTGCTGTGTTCCAAAGAGTGTGCCTTTTGTGGCAAGTTTGGCGGTTTTGTCTTTCTACCCACGTGGATACGCTGCTGCTTTGAGTGCATCGAAGAGGACCCGGAAACAAGAATGGTGAGGGTGGCCGAAGTGAGGAGGCTGTTTCGGCTCTCGCGCACCGAGGTCAGCCAGCAGCGGTCATTTCAATCGCTGCCGGGGCTGTATACCGAGGGCCTATATTCGATGAGAAGGTCCTATCAGCAACACCGAATCAAACTCGTGCCCTATTTCCCAGCCATGAAGGAGTTTGGAGACCGGCTGGAGACGGGGGCTGCCCATTCGCATAGGCCCTTTTGGGACCCGGTTCACAACTTCATGGCGTCGTGCGAACTTCCATACTATGATCCGCAGACCCAGGTGGTTGAAAGCGGCATCTCATGTGCCGGCTGTGAGAGGAAAGAAGATGGGCAGCCCGTTGGATTGAATCCTCCGTTTGGGTATAATGATCTGTTTGATGAGAGACCCTGGAGTGAAGTTTTCTCGCGAGAGGGCTATTTGAAGCATTTCAAAATCTGTGCGCGGGCACAGGCGCTGTGGAGGTCTAGCCCGGAAGCTGCCCTCGAGGCTATGATCAGACGGGATTCTCATCATTTGTGAGCAGTTTGTTATTTTGACCTGCGAAGTTTTGAGTATTGGGTCCTTATGCCTGGAGCATAGGGTGTTAAAAGGTGGAAGCATGTGCTTAGTTGAAATACCATGAGCTGAGGGTAAAAGATGAGGCATGAGCTGTGATTCACAACAAGACTGCCGGGAACGATGTCTAACGGATTCAACTGATGAAAGAGCAGTAGTATACGGAGAGCATTTTTCTGGAGTAAGGTGTCAAATAGCATAGCGTAGCATGCATAGTATATAGCGTCTGATTCTAGTCAATATGTTGTATGAATCCGGCGTCTAGACACAATTTACTCGTGCAAACATTGCAAGACATAGAGAAGAAGAAAAAAGAAGAAACAAGAAGAAGAAAAGTACATCGAGGCCAATTCATGCAAATGGCAAAAATACAAGTTGACGAGAGTGGGACTCGAACCCACGCGGATTGCTCCACCAGGAATTGCTGTTAAGGTAGCCTTAACCTGACGCCATAACCAACTCGGCCATCTCGCCAATCCATTTGATATTGAGGCAACGGACCGGAATGCGCCTATGAAGCTCAAGCTCTAGGGTATCGCTTTTTTTTTCTTCGATTCCCCACTTCGATGCGGCATATGCGTTTAAGCGGGCATTGGCGGGATGGCATGAGCTCAGTCGTCCAAACTCATCAATGAGAGAACACTGGATGACGGCTTTTCACGATTGACTGTGCTCTCGGCGATTTTTGGGAGCTGTTCCAGCTGTCTTTCAATGAGGCAGTAAGAGAGTATCTTGCATTATTGCTGCTAAGATGGCGTGTGCTAGAGTGGGAAGCATGCGCTGCTTGCTTGGCCCCTCGTTCAGAGCTCGACAGCTCTCATTGAGCTCAAAACCGCTGCGACAGGGATTTGCCTGTCGCTTCTATTCTGCAGGTTAGACAAATTCCGCATAAGTCATGTTATAAGGCGAAAAAAGAGAGAAGAGAAAAAAAAATAAAAGAGAATATCGAGTTCTGATTCTAATCTGTTTTTTCTATCATCGACTTCCAGCCTCAAAAACCACATCCGAGGATTCAGCATCAACAGTCACTATCCGAGGAGACACACACCCTACAGCCAAGCCGTGGTTCAACGTTCCGCCAAACATCGTCTCCAAGACCTCCAGGCGTCTGCACCTTCAGCCTGACCACCCGGTCTACATCACCCGGCAGATTATCCAGTCCAACTTCCCCCAGCCGACATACAAGTACTACAACGAGTACAGCCCAGTGGTGACGACGAAGCAAAATTTCGACTCGCTGGGCTTTCCGCCGGATCACCCAGGGCGAGCACTCACTGACACGTACTATATCAATGACAAGCTGCTGCTGAGGACACACACCAGCGCACACCAGGCAGATACCTTTAGGGCGAATGAGAGCGATGGATACCTCATCTCGGCGGATGTCTACCGGCGAGACGCCATCGACCGCAGCCACTACCCAATCTTTCACCAAATGGAGGGTGCCCGGTCATGGGACCGGAACAAGGTGCCCAACGGAGACATTGCGGCCGCCGTCATGGAGGACCTCGAGCGCCTGCCGAAGCACGACGTGGTTGTGGAGGATCCCAATCCTCCCATGCACCCAGAGCGGAATCCGCTGCAGGATGCGCATCACTCGGCAGCAGAGGCTGAGGCTTTGGGAAGGCATCTAAAGAGGTCACTTGAGAACATGGTTGTTGACATCTTCACGCGGGCAAAGGCAGCAGCCATCAAGGACGACCCGGATTTCGTGGATGAGCCCCTGAAGATGCGGTGGGTAGAGGCATATTTCCCGTTTACGAGTCCATCATGGGAGTTGGAGGTGTACTACGCAGGCGACTGGCTAGAGGTTTTGGGCTGTGGCGTGGTCAAGCAGGAGCTCTACATCAACGCCGGCGTGCCATCGCAGGTGGGCTGGGCTTTTGGCATCGGCATCGACCGCATCGCCATGCTGCTGTTCAAGATCCCGGATATTCGGCTTTTCTGGTCAGAGGACAAGAGGTTCCTGTCTCAATTCACCGGCGTCTCTGCCAACCTGGATACGCTCAAGCGCTTCGTGCCTTTTTCCAAGCACCCGCCCAGTCCCAGAGACGTGTCGTTTTGGATGCGCTCGACGTCGTCTGCGGCTGGTGGGAACGACAGGGACATTCTCCACGAGAACGATGTGATGGAGCTGGTCCGCAGCATTGGGGGCGATGAGGTTGAGAGCGTGAACCTCATTGACGAGTTTGTTCATCCCAAGACGGGGCGGAAGAGCGTGGCGTACCGCATCGTCTACCGGCACCTCGAGCGCACAATGACTGGCAAGGAGACGAATGACCTTCACGAGAAGGTGAGGGAGGCCCTGGTGGAGAAGTTTGGCGTTGAGCTACGGTGAAGGGTGACAATGCAAACGGCGATGATTTGAGGAGGAGGATGTTTTTGGCTTTCTTGTACATATCAATGGGGGGGGCTGAGTGAGGCTTGGCCAGCACGCTATCAATTAGTCTTACGTGTATGGAAAAGGGGGGGCGAAGGAGGAAATCGCCGCAGCGAAAACCCTTGTTGAAGCTTTGATGCCGGAGTAGCACTGAGGCTGTAGAAGTGAGCTGTGAGGTGAGGGGAAAATAGCCCCGGGCTGAGCTTGGCGAGCTTAATCGAGATCTCGAAACAAGCGCGATATGTGTTGGTTGTCAGTATCACATGAAGCATGTGCGTGTGTTACATGCCAACTCAAACCTGTCAACCAACCTTGTACTATATTAGTAGTAGCATCACCAATCTCACGAGAGACATACTCCATCTTGAACCTCATTTGCCTCGATTCTGTATACGCCCTCCGAATACGCTACATGAATACGGCAATATAGAATATACGAGTAATCAATACACGTTTACTGGTGAACAAAGGATGAACACTCTTCCACAAGCGCCCCGTAGTCAACCTAGCAGGGCATACATAGGGTCACCACTGGTAGGTATTGCTGCGCCTCGCCGCTTTGACAAGCACAGATGCCAGCTCAGGCTCTGTTCAATGCCCAGAATTCCAGCGAGCAAGGCTGGATTCGGAGCCGACGGTGACGTGGCAGGGCAGAGAAAGCGCTGCACTGCGGCACGTTCGGCACGATTTAGACAGTCGGGGGGATACTTTTTTCTGAACAATGGATTGTTGGGGGGTGGTTAAGCGAAATGAGGTGTTGCTGTGCATACGATGTTCTTTCTTATGCCATGTTGAACGTTGTTGAGAGGGAGTGAGGCTGAGCCACAGAGGCATTCCGCATGTGGCTGGGCTGGACTCGATACGCAAGTGACCCTGTTGATGAGTCAGCTGTGTCTTGGTAGAATGACGTTGTGTGAGGCATCCCATCGGGCTGGACAGGTGAAACGCAGCCCTCTTTTAAGGTTGCCTCGTGGCTTGTTTCGGCATAGACATTACTCATTCTAGCTCTACTTGTACATGGGTTTAGTAAATGGTATGTCGCTTCTGGATGTTGGAAAAAGAAGAAAAAAAGCTTAACGTAATGGCGTAATGGTAGAGGCTGGGCTTGCCGGGACGTCAGCGCAGGGCCCCGGATGGGCGATTGTACATGCAAGTAGTAGTAAACGAGTAAACGAATGCGAGCCTTGACAGCATCTCATGCAATCTTTCATTCACAAATACAGTAAGCCGCTTCACTACATGCCTATCTTGGAAGATACGTCTGCATTCCTAGTTTAAAAAAAACCATGGAGTCTATTGGGAGGGATATTTGTCTCAAGATGGATACTCGATCGAATAGACTGCTGCAATGATACTAGCACCATGCACAAAGGTTCCCTCGGAGGGAGTCTCGGGCTTGGCTGGGTTTGGAATTATCAGCGGCACGGCACAGCTCAGCACAGCAAACTTAGCTATCAAGGACGAGCGACAAGGCATTTACCAGTGCTATCAAAGACTACCTAGGTAGCAGGGAGGAGAAGAAAATGACAGCCAAAGGTGAATGGCATGACTTGACACAGCCCACGTTACGGACGTGATGGCAGAGAGGAGAGTCGTACGTAAGTTTTGGACGCTGCACTGCCGCCGTGTTTGATCGCCCTGGATCAAAACAAGTGGGTTAAAGCGGGCACGATCAGACTATGCAGCGATGCAGCTTGGAATCTGAGCACGGAATGATTACAGAAGTTGGTTTGCAAGGGAACATCGGGGAACGAGTGATTGGCCTGTACCGGGATGCACTTTGCTACGTTGAAGTGTTCGGAGGATTACCTACTTCGCTCTACTCCAAGCAAGCATTATTAGCACTTGCTTTCCATGCAGGTATCTAAGCGCCCGGGAACAGACGGGGGTCTGTTAGCTGAGATTTGACGAGGAGAATATGAAGTCTTTCGCCGTGACCTCCGACTGTGCGTGCAGCAAAAGCTGAGTGGGAGGTACAGTCGCATCGATATGCAGGTACTTGTCGCGCGTTTTACTGGATGTGGATGGAACAGAGACGCAGCGGGATAGGCCATCATTGATGCGGCCATTGTTTTTGATGCAGGCGAGGGAAATCCGGAGACAAGGGATAGGCGGATGGGTGGTGGACACGTCTCTGAACAGCAAACAAGAGCCATCTTGGCATCAATGCGTACAACTCTCGCGGTTCTGGCAGATTCCAGATTCCTCAGCCGGAGTGCCAAATGTTCAATTCTCGGCTGTACCGTTGCGACGTCGCACAGCCCCGAATGGGCTCCCTTAGGTTGCGAAAGCAAAGGCGGGGGAGATGCCGCATGTTCCCCTTTCGGCGGCGGTACTTGGATGTTTCTCGAAGGCAACCTGAGCAGTACTTGAGGTACAAGCGTATAATCTGCCACATAGCCTGTACTGTGCAGGTATCCGGATCAAGGAGCTCCCTAATGCACTCATGTACCCCCGCTCGCCATGTGACATTCCCTCTAGGCGCCTGCAAAGCTGCCCCGGCAGAGCAAAACGCGCATGCTTGTAATCTGCAATGGATGCGGTGGCTTTGATACTGACGAGCATCGTCTTAGCCACCGGCTCATGAACAATCAGGTAATCACAACGCAATGCGCCCCCCATGGCAAAGCGGTGGCAACTCACTTCCCTTGGCTACGGGCGAAAAAGTTTTAAGCGTCCTTGATTGAGTTGCGAGGTTCGCCCGCAAGCATTACTCGTGGAGTGGCTGCACTGCCCTCCTACACGTACCTACGAATTGGTCCGCTGTTCCCTGCACCCTGGTCCGGGACACCCACTAAAACCAACAGCTGCGATAGCGAGATGCAAGCACCGCAAGTCACCAGCCACTTGATCGGTGCGTTTTGCAATGCGCTGCACGGGGGACCGCAGGCGCTAAGCATTGGGTCCTGGGTCCAGGTCGCGGCTCCACCGGCAGCGTCTGCGCCAATCCTGTACCGCCTCAGTCCCGTGGCCAACTGTTAACCTTTTCTGCAATCTTTCCGCCTTCTAGTTTTGGGGGGGCGTTTTATAAGAGTCGTGGCTCCTCTTCGTTTCTGGCTTCTCTTCTCGCTTCATATCACACAATCCAGATTCAATCTACTCGAAAGAGCACGTCTACACAACTACAAGACGATTTCATCATAATACAACTTGACGCGATACTATCGGCGATCGTTGCTATAACAACTCAACGACCAAACACCACCACCTCACCACAACCACACACAGCTCTTCACCATGGAGCCTACGCCTCGCCCCTCAAGATCATCTTCCACCTCTTCTCGCAACAAGTCCAATCTCAGCCTTGATCTCTCTGACCTCCCGCCGCTGATCCCACCCACTCCTCCGTCCAACACGCTCCTCTTCACCAACCTCAACAACCTCGACATCTTCCTGCCCGAGAACCTGCAAGAAATCCGCGGCCTCATCGAGAAAGTCTCACCCATCCACTCGTTTGCGCCACTCAAATCCTTCCGTCGCATCATCGTCTCCTTCTTCGACATCGACTCCTCATTAGCCATTCGTCAGATCTGGGACGGAAAGGCCATCATGGGCGAGCGCATCAGACTCTACTTTGGCCAGCCCACCCCTATTGAGGTCCGGCCAGAGCATCTCGAACTGCCCGACGCCGGCAAGCTCTTCTTCATCTCACCGCCCGCGAGCCCTCCTCACGGCTGGGAGATGCGCCTGGAAGATGCGCCCAACAAGCAGGTCCATGCCGATGACCTTGCTGAGGCTCTGGCTAAGCTGCACCACCGCCCAGTTCCTGTTTACGACTCGCCCGTTACTCCAACCGACGGTGGCGTCCCGCACTTTGGCACCCGGAGTCGCAGCTCGACTCTGATCTACAAGCCTGACGCGCAGACCAGCCCTGGCATTCCCGCCGTGTTTGTCGAGGACATGACTGACGAGCCGATTGCCATGAGCCCGCTTGATGTTGCCAAGCCCATCATGGCTCAAACTGCGCGACCTCCTGTCGAGCTGATGAACGATTTGTAAATGATATCCTGGACGGTGTTAATACGATGAGCGGGCATGATGGACTTTTCTTTGTTTCGTTATTCTTTCTGAACTTTCTGACTCTTTTGGAGAGCAGGAAGAAGGTTGTCGGTCGGCGTTGGTGGACACACGATGCATGATTAGATTGGTTTACAGAGCCTGTGGACATTCTCGTGATATCATCCTAATTTGGGTTTGGAGTTTGGGTTGTTTGCTTTTTTAACTGGTTTTATCTCCTTGCAGGGAGTTGGTTGATCAAATCAAGAAGATCCCCGTCTTTGAATTGATACATAACAATTGCTGGATACCTGGATGGGCACAATATTAGTAGCTATTACGCGACTTTAGGAAGTCGTGAAAATGAATTCAACCATTCAAGTACATTAGTATCCGTTTCTTTCTCAAACTTTGATAGTGATCTTTTGTCAAATATTTGCTGATCGCAAATCCTTGGTTGCTTCTAGCGCTGAGCTGTCAGACCCTGAAGATTCGCGCCAGAAGCTGTAGTGTGGCAAGCCCCACATCGAAAACCCCACCCAAATTGATTTTTCCTCTTGCATGCAGCCTTGCTCTTGATAGTACCCTGACTTTTGTTTTATTTTCATTTTGCAAGGCGGCTTTGTCATCTTTTTGCCGTGCTTCCAAACATTGTTTCTCGAACAATGAGTTGCTCGTGCCGTATAGCCGCATGGCGGACGTTTGCCCGGGGCCTTGCGCAGATTCATCGACCGGAAGCTTCGACAGCAGCGCAGTTCCATCGTCGCGTGACAGCGTTTGGACAGAGTCGCGGAATTCAGGCTTCGAAATTTCACAGACAGGATGGAGGGGCCACGGCGGTAGTTGTGGAAAGAATTGAAGAGGTGGAATCGCAATCGCAGGGAACGGGCACAGTTGTGGAAGATGCACGTGCGGCTACGACGAAACCTTTGGGCGAGACACCTCTGCGTGGAGATGTCGGGACGGATAAGCAGCCAGTTGAGAGAACCCGGGTGAAGAAGGATAGGCATAGAGACAGAAGGGCTGTTGCTTCGAATCACGCAGAGTCATCTATGGGCGAGAAGGATGAATCACACGACAGGACATCAATAGCAAGACGAGAGCGAAAAGCTGTATCGACATCCAGAGATTCACCAGTCGCAGACTCCGCAGACGCCTCTCCCACATCAAGGCGCAAGAACCAAGAACCATGGCAGCTCCAAAAAGCAGCCCTCAAAGAGAAATTCCCCGAAGGCTGGCAGCCGCGCAAACGCCTCTCCCCAGACGCCCTCGCCGGCATCCGCGCCCTCAACGCCCAGTTCCCCGAAATCTACACGACGGAGGCCCTGGCAGACAAGTTTCAAGTCTCGAGCGAGGCCATACGCAGGATCATCAAGAGCCACTGGCGGCCGTCGTCGATGGAGGAGGAGGACCGGCAGCAGCGGTGGTTCCGGCGCGGCAAGCAGGTGTGGGAGCAAAAGGCCGCGCTGGGGATCAAGCCGCCGCAGAGGTGGCGCGTGGAGGGCGTCGCGCGGGATCCGGGCTATCATGAATGGAGCAAGAAGGTGTCGCAGCGGGAGAGGGAGTGGGAGGAGGAGGAGAATCGCAAGTATCGGGCGCATTTGGAGAAGAGGAAGAGGAAGAAGACGGAGTTTACAAAGGGGTGGTGATGTTTGACTACGACATGATGATGCTGGGGGAATATATCAGCCAGCTCTGTGGGATGAATTGGATGGATTGTACGTGTACGAAATACAGGAAGCTGGTGAGGTATGAATTTTGTGACGACGGCATGGATAGAGAGACTTGACTCTGCTCTGGGTATATATCACGACATCATCTGAAGCATGGACATGATTTTGCACACAGGACATTTTGTACAGCACTACTCTGCATATTTTTACAGCATCTCCAATATTAACGATTTAACGAGATTAACTCCATACCAAGGAGAGCGCTCAACAAAATCCCAAGCTCACCATCACCGTAACGTGAAACAAATAAACCTTTCTTTGCGCAGGAAGCTCAAACGCGGGCCAGAGCGTTTCACCCCCCAAAATCTCCGCTTACCAAATCTCAAGTCTCCCCGTTTCCCGCTCTCTAAATCTTCAAGTGTGATTTCAGAGGATCGTCTGGCCAATGAAACTTCGGGGCGTGCAAGGCTGATGCCCCCTAGGGGCACGTCGCGAAACAGCCAAGGGGGAGCGCTAAAACTGTTTCATGAAGGTGGTCATTGTCACTTTAGGTGGCATGTTCTTTATTTTTTCTGAGGAGATAAAAATGTCTTTGATCCCTCTTTTTCTTTCTCTCTTCAAAGCTTAATGACATTTCATTTCTTCTATTATTTCTTCTCTTCAGGCAATTTTTTTGAAATTGATTTTATCTTTGAGGTGTAGATTTGGGGCTGCTCTTTCATGTGATACCCTCCACTGCGGCCACTCTAGCATCGTTATCGATATCCTTTCAATTCCCCCTACTGCAGCATTTCATTCAACTCCTCTCACTCACTTTTCAGCGACGGCATCGCTAAATACATCCAAAAGGAGCCCTCACAATGCCTCCTTCAGTTTACTCTCGCCCGCCGCAGCGCGACTCGTGGTTCGCGCCGCTCTCCGTCGACCTCATTCTCAAAGTCCTCAACATCACAATCTTCCACCCCTTCATCTGCTGGCTCATCCCGCTCTGCCTGCGCGCTCAGACGACCAAGTGGGAGGCGCCGCCCATGATTGCGGCGTTTGCCTGGGCCATCTTCATCTCGCTGTGCTGGATCGCCGGCGCCGCCAACCAGTTTGTTGCGCATGGCCGGCCGCGCGAGGTGGACCTCAGCGAGGAGGTGATTGTCGTGACGGGCGGCGCCAGCGGCCTGGGCATGCTGATTGCCGAGGTTTACGGCATGCGAGGCGCGAGCGTGGCCGTGCTGGACGTCAACCAGATGGAGCATACCGAGGCGAGGGGCGTCACGTACTACAAGTGCGATGTGAGCGACAAGGCGCAGGTAGCCAAGGCGGCGGTTGAGATTGAAAAGGATGTGAGTATTGATGCTTTGCTCTTAAGAAAGATATGCCGTGACTAACTGGAACTCTCACCAACAGCTCGGAACCCCTACTGTGCTCATCAACAACGCTGCCATTGTGGTCGGAAAGTCGTTGCTCGATCTGTCCGTCGATGAGATTGAGACGAGCATCTCGACGAACCTCCTCGGCCCCTTCTACTGCCTCAAGACCTTCCTCCCAGCCATCATCCGCGGCGGTCGCGGCGGCACCATTGTCAACGTCTCCTCCGTCATCGGCCACCTGGGTGCCGCGCAGCTCACCGACTACGCCGCCGCAAAGGCCGGCCTCACGGCCCTCCACAAGTCCCTCACGGCCGAGCTGCGCGAGTCTCACCCGGACATCCGCACCGTCCTCGTCACGCCGGGCCAGCTCAGCACGCCGCTCTTCTACGGGGTGCAGACGCCCAACAGCTTCTTCGCGCCCGTGGTGGAGCCGGTGGACGTGACCAAGGAGATTGTGGCGGCGATTGATGGCGGCAAGGGCGTGACTGCGGCGATGCCGTTTTACGCGCGGTGGGTGGACATTTATAACGTGCTGCCGGTGGGATTGCAGCTGATTGCGAGGAGGGTTGCGGGTGTGGATAAGGGGATGGAGACGTTTATTGGCAGGAAGGGATCTTCTGAGAAGGCTGAGAAGAATTGAGTAGGGAAAATGAAGCACCAGGGTTAAAGGATATAGAGAAAGGGCGCTGGCGTGCTTCTCTTATTCTCTCATCATCATCATAAGATGACGATGATTTGATGGATGTTTAGAGCTATAATAATGATATACCGCTGTACAGATACTCTCTCCTCAATGTCATAATGCCATTGATCAAATGCAACACTCGAATGTCCCTATTTCATTAAATTATTAAGTCCCTAAGCCATTGAACAAGGGCAGTAATTACTGTTGTATCATCTGATGCTGTAGCTTACTCAGAGACTTGTGAGATGATGTCTGAAGCTGTCGATTAGTAACACCAAATGGACCTGCTATTTCACAGCATGCTGTAAACTGTCTAGCTTCCAATCTCGGCGGTTCTAAGCGACTCAGCAATGAACCACGCTCGTATTGATATTGCCCGCGCAAATGGTGCAGTCAACTATCGCCGAAATGATCATCGCGTCAGCACGCCTCGGGATGATCCGAGCCACATGGCTGTCGTTTAGAGCCACTTCATATCCGTGCCCTGCAAGCCCGCCACGTGAGACGCAAACGTCAAAAATAATTTACTTTTCGCTACCTATGATGCTTACCAGTGGGCTGATATATACAGTACTGTACCTAGACACCTACTAGTAGTACCCAGGCAGTAGCATAACATCAATGGCATTGCAATTCCGCCCCAGGCGTATACGCGCGAATCCGCGCTCTGAAATGAGGCACACTCCGCTAGCTAGCACTGCTTTAGCGCCGCCAGCTTCATGTCAGGGGCAGCCGAAAATCTGCACCAGCGCAGCCACCCCCGGACTTTGAGCGTCTTGGTTGGCCGGATAAGAGAGGCATGGGCTGCCCTGTCGCGGCGGCTGCGATTGGACAGTGCCTGGCTGCGGGAATATCGCAGAGCCGAGCAGCAGTCGATGACGGGATACCGTAGAAGAGAGACTTGTTTAGTGCCAAGCGCGTGGGATTGCAACTTATACGAGGCGGCGTCTGATTTGCTCTTGGGCCTGGCACTTTTGGAGCCGCCATTGGCTGGCGGGGACTGGAGCGTCTTCGCCTTTTTGTTTTGCTGCTGTGCTTTTTTTTTTTTTTTTTTTTTTTTTTTTGCGATGCAAGATGTCATGCTGCAGCTGCGATGAGGTCTAAGACACGTCACTGAGACATGAAATTCATGCACTGATCCTATTGTACATGGGCATGCTTGTCGTACTGCGGGTTTTTCTGTCTTTCTTGACAACAAGCATCTTTACCTGCGGTTCTTGGGCTCCTCTTCCTCTTCCTCAAAGCAAAAGCAAATTTGCTTTTAGGCTTGGCAAGCGTGGCGGAACACGAAAAACAGACATGGACTATAGGAAAAAGGAAATAGATTCGCATCGGCCTAGCCTCGTGACCCCCATGAAAATAACTAAAACGACAGGCTCGCCTCCACATCCTTCATTGTCGAAACGGCTAGTCGCATTTTGGCAGCCAACAAGAGGTAAAACAACCTAGGTGAAATGAACAATAAGAGAGAAGCCATAGAAGAGAGCGAGCGAGAGAGAGAAGCTACCCGTAAAAAATACGATCCCGCAACAACCTTGTTCTTTTCCAGTTTAGAGCGTGCTGAATCCATCAGATTTATGGGGGGCCATGGGTGCTCCCCCAGCCTGGCGTGTGGATGTGGACGATGCTTTAAGCAGTGAATCTTATCATCAAGCTTCTTCTCGCTTTTTCCTTCCTCGCATCGCTCTTTTTTTGCGGAGGATCAGCGCCTCTCCTGATAGATAATTAATATCTATCCAAAGCCTCGCCCAGCCGCTCTTTCTTGCATCACGGAGCACCATCCGTCGTTGCTGATCGATCACTTGAATTCGCTCTTTCGAAACGAACCTGGCGGGCAGCTGTAGGAGCAATTGACGTTGCCGCCTGCGAACTTCGCTCGTTGACTTGCCGCCCCGGTCACTTTCCTCACTCGCTCCCCTTTTCGCTCGCCTTGGGGGTTTTCCTTGTGGCACCGCGTCCAAACTCTCTCTCTCTCTCTCTCTTCTCTCTCTCTCTCGCTTTTTCTTTCTTTAATCGAAAGACTTGCTTTTGAGATTTTTTTGGGTCGTGCGCGACGAGATTTTCTTATCAGCCTCAGACCTTTTTTTTGGGGTTTTTTGGGTGCAGATTCTTGCATGAGCTTCATTTGGCATTGACAACTTCTTTTTTGGTTGTTTTGATTCTTGATTAGCGATTCGGATACCCTACCGCCTTTCTTTTCAAATCGTTAATTTGCTTTGACGTCGCTCGCGATGCGTTGGGCTTCTGCTGCGATTGCGCTCGCTGGCGCCAAATCCTTCGTTGTGGCCCTGGATCCGGTCTCGGTCGTGGGCAACAAGTTCTTCAACAAGGATGGATCGCAGTTTTTTATCAAGGGTATGAACTGCATTATTGCCGCATGTTGAATCTATTGTATCATGTTAACAGATTTTATCGCTAGGCGTTGCGTACCAGCTTGTCCCTCAGGATCCCCTCATTGATACTGCCCAGTGCAAACGTGATGCCAGCCTCATGTCGGAGCTTGGAGCAAACACCATTCGCGTCTACCACGTCAATGCCACGGCTGATCATGACGGCTGCATGCAGGCATTTGACGATGCTGGCATTTACGTCCTTGCTGATCTGGACACGTTCGATACCTACATCCTTCCTGTGCGCACTCTCTGCTTGTCCTTTGAATGAGCTGTGAACCGTTAGCTAACTGTGTTCCTGTAGGACAACAACTACTGGGACAAGGACAAATTCCAAAGCTATGCTGCGGTGATGGACACCTTTCAAAAGTACGACAACATCTTGGGATTCTTCATTGGAAATGAGAACATTGCTACTAAAGATGATTCTCCCACTGCTCCCTATCTCAAGGCTGCCGCCCGTGATATGAAGGCCTACCGCGACGCACAGGGCTATCGTGAGATCCCCGTCGGCTATTCGGCGGCCGATATCCTGGAGCTCCGTCCTGCGCTTCAGGACTATCTCACCTGTGGTGGCAACTCGTCTGAGATTGTCGACTTCTTTTCCCTCAACTCTTATTCGTGGTGCGACCCCAGTACCTATGTTGGGTCCACTTACAATAAGCTTGAAGAGTACGCCAAGGACTTTCCCGTTCCCATCTTCTTCTCCGAGACTGGATGCATCATTCCCGGTCCTCGCCTCTGGGATGACCAGGATGCTGTTTTTGGCAAGGAGATGGTGAATGACTGGAGCGGTTCCATCGTCTACGAATGGATTCAGGAGGAAAACTCGTACGGCATCATTACCTACGGTCCACCCAACCAACCAGCTGGCCCCAATGTCGAGGGCGGATTTTTGCGCAAAGGCACTCCTCAGCCCAAGTCGCCCGACTTTCCCAACCTCAAGTCGAAGTGGGCGACCATCAGCCCATCTGGCGTCCAAAAATCCGCCTATGACCCCGACAGTGTCTCAACCCGAGCCTGCCCCAAGTCTTCTGCTGGCAGCTGGTGGGAAGTTGACGGCGATGTCAAACTGCCTACCTTGGGCCAGATACTCGCTGTGAGCCCCAAGTCCACTACGGCGGTTCTGGGCACAGACACATCTACACCTACCGATACGTTCACAGCAGTCATCACCGCGGAAACTATTACGGACAGCTCGGGGAGTGTCGTGACTAGCATGATGACCATCACCCCTCCGCCATCAACTGCTACTGATGGATCGGGATCTCCCACTTCTGGCGCAAGCGCAGCTACGACAACCTCTAAAAAAGGAGCTGCTGCGGACAACCGGCCCACTGTATTTGGTGCTGGCCTTGTCAGTGCCGTTCTCGCCTTTGCGATCCTGCTGTAAGATCATATGATGTTACTCCGGGACTTGTATTGCCAACTTAATATCAGATACCCATCTAATATCTTGCTTTTCTTCTTCTTCGCTTATTAATATTTCAAATGGCTACAGCAACAAGATGGATCTTTTGGTCAAGCTGGACCAATCCTATTGGCTACTATGGCTATCTGCGTTTGTGCCATCTTGTTTATAAAGGGCACAGTTGGTCTACTCAAGGGGGAGAGAGGAGACGAGAGGCGGAAGGTGCGAGGCGAGAGAGGAACGCAGAAAAATCACTGTTGCTTCTTTTAATGCTCTTTTTATGACTTTCTATGATTGGAGAGGAGAGACGTTTTGCATGACATGTGCCACGTAACGGGGCATGACGGTGTTTATATTAATGCATGAAGATATGTTGTACATCAGCTGTCAACGGCCTTACTTTTAGTGCTCTTGTGATACCTTTAATGTTTACAAACCTTGTTACCAATTGTCTCTTCGTGCCAGCTCATTGTTTTGCTTGTGACCACTCTTGGGCTATGCTGCCTTGCACAGCTGTTTGTCTCCCAGCCCTCCCATACCTCAATCCGTAAAACTCATGTAATCCTGCCGCTCTTGTTATATGTGGTAACGTTTGCCACAGAATTCGTAATAGTGGCGTTATAAGGAGTTGATAAGGGCGGCCCAACCGTTATCGTGGGGCTTTCGTCGCCAGAGGAAACGATCTGGTAGTTTTTGAGGGCGCGGTCGCCGAGTATGACGAGGCTGACGATGAAGACGGCAAGAACGCAGACACAGAGGAGGCCCATCATGAGGTAGCGGAGGCGGTAGTCGTAGCGGTGGGGGTTTGAGCCCCAGGGAGTGCGGGTGTGAGTTTGGCATTGAGATTTGTCGATCATGATGTTTTTCTGATGTTTTCAAGTAAGTATCTAATAGGACTGCTTTTGTAGGGATATCAGGAATGGCGATGAGAGATTAGCAGGATTGCTTTTGTAGGGTCGGTTAAAGGCTAATGATGAGATTTTATGTATAGCATTCATTATTTCTAGCGTGTCAAGCATGATTATTGGCGTAACTATGGACTATAAGTGAGTTTTAACTGGAAAGAAGGACCGCATTTCTGATGTAATGATAACAAGAGCAATATGGAGTACCGTATAAAGAGAACTTCTTAGAGAGGAGGCAACAAGTGTAGACATTCAGATAAATATTGACATGAATCAATAGAACTAAAGCATGATTGAGCAACTATCTAAGATGGTAACGGATATCCATTGAAAAGGCAATATGTCTTAGCAATACACAATAGAGGGCCCTGGAGAACAATGTAAACGCAGAGTGACATCTCCATTGTCTTATGTAAGACGTCAATCTAAGCAAGCCTGTGTCGCTACTGCTAAAATTTTCCCTCTACAATACACTCTCGTAGGCGCAGGAAAAAGAGGCTTTACCCACCAAAGCCTTATCGTAGCGACCGAAAACGGTCCAATGAGTGCTTTGCCATTCCGCCTCTTAAAAAAAAAAATCGAACAGTGACCGTTGCACGCTATTTTGCTACTGGCTAGAAGCTAGGATAAGGATTTTTTTATCGATGCACGGCAGCCTTGCTCCGCTACTCAACCTTTTTGGCCATTTTTGAATTCTTGACATTCAATTAAATTTCCGGCCACCTAGTCTGTGCCCATTGTGTATCTCTGAGCAGCTGCTTTTTGGGGCAAGAAATAAGGGCATCGGTGCTTGACTGACTCAGCAAAATTTCTGCCGACCGCCCGCCATCATCCCGCATTTGGCAGATCGGTTGCGAACGCCGTCTGGATCTTGTAGTTTGCGAAAGAGCCTCGATCGAACCGATTCTCGCGAACCCCGCCCAACTTCCCTTGTGCTGCCGCCGAAGCTCCTTGGTCGACTGGCAACGAGACTTGCAGATGCTCCCCTGACGAGCCTTTGTCGAGGCAATTGGCACGATGGCTGAGCCGGCGCAGCTGCAAGCAGCGCCTAGCGGCTCTCCAAGAGGTAAGAGGATGATGCATGGCCGAAGATGGGGGATTTGATCCTGTTATCAGCAATGCGAAACATGGGCGAGGAACAATAAGAGAGAGACGTAACTGACGTATGGGTTCCATCTTTCGGGTCGAACAGAGATCAAGCAGGAACGCGAGCACGAACCGACAGGCCTCGAGGGCCTCGACTTTAGCATTCTCGCCGAGCTCGCGTCAAAGCGCCCATTCGAAGATGTAACGCAGGGCAACCACGAGGAGCCTGAGCAAGAGGCCAAAAGGCCCAAAACAGAGAACCCTACCACAGAAGAAGAGTCTTCTCTTGAAGATGGACTGGCGCTGCTGGTGCAGAATGCGCTTTCCAATGTTGGCGACCTGGTCAGCAGATTCAACGTGGAGCCAGAAGAGGCGCATGGCAGCGATCCCATGGACGTGGATGACGCGCATGGAACCGATGCGCGACCGGCTCCCGTATCGTTCTTGTCGGAGCCGGAGAAGTACGTGCGCATTGCGAACACGCATGCGCTGGGCAATCTGGTATGTCGATGCTGCGCCGATATTACCTTTGGCCTTCTCCAATGGCCTGTATATGCTATTAGAAGAGGCTAATTCTTGCCATAGGCGCTTTCATTACTACTTATATTGCTACAGCAGCCCATTGACGACATGTCGAAGCTAGCGGGAGATGCAGACTCGGGCTATGGACGCTCGTACGGCCGGTTAAAACGATCTTTCGATGCGACGTGGCAGCTCTTCTCAGACGGCCAGGTGCTGTCGGCCGATGAACTGGAAATACAAGAGGCAGAAGCCCGCACCTTGTTGGAATTGGCCAACATTGCAAAGTTTGGGACGTGGTTGGTCGAGGGGGGACTGGATTCGTTCGCTGCGGCCGTTACGCATTTCAATGCCGTGTTTCGATGTCATCTGTCGGAGCTATCTCCCGGCCTCTCTCAGCTTTACCTCGGAATCAAGACTCACAGGACAATCGAATCACTTTTAATACCGGACGCAGATAAATCATCAATAGGAGAGACTATACAGTCTAAGATGATGGAGGGCCTAGAAGAGCCGGCAGCGACAAACGGCGAGTCAAGTTCGTCTTCTCAGCAAGAACTATTGGCCGCGGTCAAGTCACGGAGAGATGTTCTTATTGAGGAGACAAAGGATAAAGAACCAGGCGCCCTGAAGGACAAGTTTCCCACCGGCGATGTATTAAAGAGCTTTTCGGCACATGTTAAGACAACGCTCGCATCTATGACGGAGATTGGAGAAAAGCTAGGCATCTCGGCGCTGCTGAACGACGTTGCGAATCAAGAAGCGATACCGAGCAGCTCGGGCGACGGTGAACTGGATCTGGACGACCTTTCGTCATTCTTCGAGAAGACAACATCTGGTCTGGTGCAGAATGCGCTGGCTGGCCTGACGGAAGAGACACCTACACAAGAGCCTCTTACGACGACTGAGAACACCGAGACGCCAGTGGAGGCTATCAATGGCGAGCCGACTTCAGAAGCACCATCAGCTGCGACAGCAACAACACCAGCACCACCAGCCGCTGCTCAACCTAGCGTTCCCAAGCTGGATCTCATCTCGGATTATAAGGAGCTGGAGGCACTGGTAGCGGAGAGCACGTCGAATTATGTCAAAACGACCCTCAACGGCCTGTCTGCTGTTCCCTACCAACCTACAGTACCCCAGAGCACAGGTAAGCCCCCCTTTTGCGAATGAATTAATAAATGAGAGAAATTTACTCACAATTACTTAGCCGAAACCATGGCAGCACAATCACCTTATCTGAGCCATCTTCATCAACACCAATCCCATCACCCTTACTATACTTCATATTCGGCTCAACCACCCCCAGAGCAGCAGCCTCAACAACCTGCTGGGACCCCCGATAACCTGCCGCCAAATCAGACGTTTCCTAGCGCCATTTTATACGACAAAGCTCGCCAGGCAGCGTTATCCAAGTCGTCGGCGCATACGCGGAGAGAAGGACTTCACTCTACTCGACGACCTTGGACCCAGGAGGAGGAAAAGGCGCTTATGGCCGGTCTCGATATGGTCAAGGGCCCTCATTGGAGCCAGATCCTCACCCTGTTTGGCCAGAGCGGAACTATATCCGATATTCTGAAAGACCGGACGCAAGTGCAGCTGAAAGACAAGGCACGAAACTTGAAGCTGTTCTTCCTAAAGACAAACTCTGAAATGCCGTACTACTTGCAGGCTGTGACGGGAGAGCTCAAGACGCGTGCTCCCACCCAAGCTGCTAGGAAGGAGGCCGAGGAGAGGGCACGACTAAACTCTGAGGAAGAGCAGGCTAAGCTGCAGGGCATCATGGCGTTGGCCGGAGGACTGCAACACCCACCTCAACAACAGCAACACCATCAACACCCGCAGCATCAGCTTCAGCAACACCAGCAGCGACAGCTTCAACAACATCAACCCCGACCACCAGCTACCGTAGCGGCTGCGGTAGGGCAGAGTGTAGTAACGCCCGCTCAGGCTGCCAGCGCGGCGCAATCAGCGTCTTCAGCACAACAACATGCCTCACACCTTCACCAAACGACACCCACGGCGACGATGACAGCCACACCACAAGCCAGCATAGCACCTACTATGAACCGTGGCGGGATGATTCTACCCAACACGGCGCAAATCAGACCCGACAACCACGCAGCAGCACAACAACACGCTGCTTCACAGCCAACGGCGATAGCTCCTCAGCCTCCGCGACCGCAAACTCAGCTCCCTCCTCAGGTCCCCAGACCCCAGACCCAACCGCAAACAATACAGCCTCATCATCTGCCGCAGACACCGACGCAGACACCGATGCAGACGCCTACGCCAACGCCGCAGACGATACAGCCTTCACCGCAACAGCAACAACAACAACATCATCATCATCATCATCATCCCCAGACACAAGCTCAACCCCAAACACCTGCTCAACAACCGCTGGCTCAAGCCCAGCCGCACACGCAGACGCTTGCACAGTCTCAGCCGCAATCGCAGCCACAACTGCAGCCTCAACCGCTCCAATCTCCGCAACAGCCTCAACAACCCCAACAATCTCAACAACAATACCATTCACAGCCGCAGTCTTCCCCCCCTACTCTACCGGCTCATTCACCAGCACTCCCACATCAACAACAACAATCGACGCCAAGTCGGCCTGAGACGCCGATTGCCAGTATGCAGCTCTCAAACGGAATGGGATCCCATCCTTCGCCTCCCCCACCAATTGCTGCCACACCAACGCCGACTCAGCTCTCCCAGCACATCCAGACCCCTCCTCCGCCTTTGCCCGCACCAGCTTTTTCACCTCAGCCGCAGCAGCCTTCGACGCCGGCGCAAACAGAGCTACACAAATTTGTGTCAGCGCCGGAAGCGCCAATGTCTGAGGCTGTAGCGGTTCAGAATGATGAGGCTGCTGCTGAAGCTGCTTTGATAGAAGGATTACAAGCTGCTGTCGCACAGGCGCTGGCTTCATAACCCGGCTCTGTGTGAATGACTGGTTCAATCGTGTTTTCAAAGGCTATGACAGGCTTAATCAATATTGGGTTTTCCCCCATTTCTTTCAGCCATGGCGCTCTTTGAGGATGGTTCGTTTGAAAGCGTTTCATAAAAAGCCGGTTGGTGTTCTTTTTTATTTTCTTTAGTGTATATATGCCTTACCTATATACATATATCGTTTTGTGTTATATGAGCAAGCTTGAGAGAAGCTCACTTGCGAGAGAGTAGTGGGAGGCTGTTTTCGGAGGCTCGGAATTTGATTCAGCCCTGTTCAGCGTCTTTGAGAGGATGGTGAAAAGGTGTATGTATATATGGGCTTTACTTTTTTTACATGAGCTTGCACAGAGGAAGAAGGAAGCGGCAATATGGATTTTTTTTTCTTGAGTTTTTTTTTTTTTTTTGCTTGTGGCGGAGAAGGGAAGTGGGAGGACTTATGATACCACAGATGGATAGCTACCAGGGTTACGAGCGAGTTTTTTCCAAGCAAGTCGGTTATACTTGATATGGTAGGGTAGAATAAAAGATATTGAATTTGGAGTTGGGCCTTTCTGGTGCATGTGATGTTGATGTGCCTCTTGTGCTAGTTGCTCATGGGTATTTGGCGATGTAGAAGGGCCGTGTTATCCGCAGCCTGCCTAGCTCTTTTGCCATTCCGTAAAGTTCCTTTTGGCATATAGCATAAGGTAAGTAAGCTTCGGTTTGATGTTGTTGCTAGCAAAAGACTAAATATCTCTTGTTAAATTGTGATGATGCTTTACGCAAGCTGCCTGAGTTTTGTTTACGTTGGTTCTCAAGTACTTTAGTTACGAGAAAGATTTCTACTTGATCTCAGTCTGGTGTATTTTACTTTTATGAATTATTCAGCCGAGTTAGCAAAGCTATTATACCGAATGCAAGGAGACGGGCTGGATATCTCTAATTAGAAACGAAATTCTTATCATGCGAGGGCTTGTGCCAGAAGCAAATAAAGGGCCAAATTTTTCTTATCAGAAACGGTTTCCTCTCGAGGCGAGGGATATTCATTAATCACTTCATTGTTTTATTAATAGCTATATCGTTCTACCTTGGAGAGTCTAGAACACGGCGCCAGCAGATGTCGGGGTTCCCGATAAACATCTTTTGTCTTACAAGCCCGATTACGAAGCTCAGCGTCCTTGTCTATATTGATGGCGGCAGGAAAAACAAAGGTACCATCTTTTCGTATTCGCGAGTCTACTATATTCAAGGAGCAAGTCCAAGATAGCTTTAATGAAGAGGGGCAAGTCGTAATGGGGAAGAGTAAATGAATCCTTCCAGCCGAACTGGTTTTCGTAAGCCAAGAGTTTCTAGTTATGCAAGTCTTGGCTGAGGACAGAAGCCAACAACAAGCCGTCGCATAGCTGCCTGCTGGTATTGATACATGCGCAATGTCTGCTGCTGTCCTCGTGATAAAAGATGCCTATCATCCAGTGTGTGTCTTCCTGGTAAGAGCGAGGCCATAAATAGTTCAGAACTTTCGGACTGCCCGTTGTAGAAGAGGAGAGAAACGAAAAGATGCAGGAAGAAGAAGAAGATGATGATGATTATGAAAGAAAAAAAAATCTGATGATCAGAAGAAGGCTCTCAGAGAAGGCTCTCAGGCAGCCACCTCGCCGTGATTGGCTGGTTGCCGCCGTTTTCGGCGTCTATGTGAGTCCTGTCGACGAGCTGATATTGGGACGACACCAACTTCAGGTTACGTATTTGACAGATAACATACAAGAGTAACAGAGATACAAAAAGTGACATGCGAAAGTAGAGATGGCCTAACGGCGAGGCCCTAGGAGGTTTGCTGGAAGAAGCGAGAGCCTAAGGTGGAAGGAGTCATAGCAGAGGGATTACGAAATCGACAACTTGTTGGGTGAGTTGGTGGAGGTGTGGGTTGCCTCTTCTCATTTGGAGCGTGACGTGGTGGTGGTGAAGATTGTTAGGACAGAGAGGAGCTAGTACGAAATGAATGCATGTGTGTAACATGAACTCTTTATGACATCTGCTAGTATGGGAGCGCGAGGCGGATTCGACGAGCTGGCTTTCTTCTTTGGGCTTTCTTTGCCATTATGGCGTTGACAATAGGATTGCTGATGAGACGATGCTTGTCTCTGGTTGATTAGTACGTTCGTGTAAGTAAACGACATGTAAGTAGTAGTTACATCTGAAGATGCAAGCAAGAGACATCAGAAAGCCAAGAGAGACCAGGGCCAGAGACAAGCATGTTCTGCATGCTCGCTTATTATTCCTGGCGGCTCGATAAGGGTCTGATGCAGATTCAGCAGCGCCAGAAGAAAGCCCTGCCTATGGCCCAGCGCAAGCCATAAGTTCGAGATTCAAGGCCTAGCGTGTACATAGTCTTTCAGCTCCAAGCTTGGTTCGCATCAGCACCGCCGCAAAGCGGGAGCCAAGCGTCAAGCAGGCGATGGAAATGATGTTCAGGTCTATCAGTTAGCGGGGGGGGCCGTGGGCTGTGGCGCAGGCACATCAAGCGCTGAACATCAAATCGTAGAACTATAGCGCCAGCCAGGCTGCAGCTAAAGAGGAGCAGCAGAATGCGGCTCAAAACGAGGGATGACATACTCGGCGTACTGACGAACTTTACCTTTTGCTAGCGCACCTCATCCAGGCCTCCCGCCCAAAGTCGCACGCGCAGCGAGGTCAGTCCGCCAGGCCAGACGCGCGTGTATGCAGGTCAGAAGCACTGCAATGCGCCCAGCCTGTAGCGGCACAGTGCGCGCTCCGCCTGCAGCACCCCCGCCGCACAGTGGCAAACGGCGCCGGTGCACCTGTCGGAGCGGCAGCTCGCCTGCAGGCCTTGCCGGAATAGGACACCTGCACAGTGCCGGGCCGCCACGGCGACGAGGGGGTCAACTGACACTCCCTGTGGACGGGCCGCGTCGCCTGAGCCACGCTCGTCGTCTGGCAGCCCTACCACATTTGACGCCTTTTTCTCTTAGATACAGAACATAGGCCTGGTTCCACACCACCATCTTGTGCGTCTTCATCCTTCCAGCTGCCTCCCAGCTGCTGGGGTTTTGGCATCGTCTCAGGAACGCGGCCAATGCTGGACGCTGCAGGTATCGATACCGGCGATCGGGCTTCCGAGAGCTGCAGCGTGCCTGCAGTGGTCGCTTCTGCTGCTCCGCTGCGGCCGCCACTGCACGCACGACATGCCGCGCTTATTGTGCTGCAGCCACCTGGTGTTGAGCATGTGTTGGTCGAGTTCAGGGCCATCCATCTTTGACCGTTTAACTCTCTTTTTTTAGGTGCAGAAATGACAAAAGTTCGTCTTGCACATGAAAGAAAAAGGATGCTTTTGGGCATCTCGAGTGGAAGGCTGCTTTGTCCATGCTTGATCCTGTATCTTGCTTTGTCCCTCCCCTTCTGTATTTCTTCACCTTGCCTCTCTTTCACAACGCAGTTCTAATATTAGCAGGCTTTTATTGAATCCTATTTTTCACATCTCTCTCTCTCTCTCTCTCGCTCTTTAAAATGGCGGATCCCTGGTGACTCGTCAGGCGACTCCGCCTCGTGCTCTACGTCTTCTCTTTCTCATATACTCTGCCATCTTCTCCCCAGGACTTGACAATAAGTCATCACAGCTCAGAGCAACCATGTCATTATCAACCCCCTACGCTCATCAGACTTAACGTCCGCATCCCTGGTTGACGGCTTCCTGCGCAAGCCACCTCACTAACTCACGCCACATCTCTTGATGGTGGTCATCTCCCGTTGCGCAAAGCCCTGCATTTCAACTTTTTGTGAATCGTGTGTGTCTTCCCGCCCCAGACCATGCCATTTTTTGACGTGCTCTTCCATGTGCTTCCAACAGGAAAAGTCCTATTTCTGGAGGATGCTTATATAGATCCACACTATTGAACACTCACTGCCTTTGTTTTGTGGCTGGGGGCCCATCATCATATCGGATACAAGCGTGTGGTGTCTGTCTGCTTTTAGTCACCTGGACTGACCGAGTGGCTGCTTTGGCTCTGTAGCCTGCAATCATACCGAAGCTGCTTGGGGCTATTTCAGAGACACTTTGCATATATACTCTATCCTACCCCATACTCATATGACAGCTTTTCTTGTCCCAACCATATTACTTTTATCTATCTGAATCCCCTGACCTTGTGAATACACACCATTATCATCTTTTCTTCATTAACATAACTGATCGTCGAATATCCCAACCGTCATTGCCTCGACCAAACACTCTCAAGTACACAACTTACTCGACACTCTACTACCCATACGAACCTTTAAACAACATCAACGCCAGCATTGGACAACTACAAGAGCAAGACCTTCGACAACAACGACACCATGACCAAGCGGTGGTTTGTCGAAACCACGCCGGAGGGGCGACAGCAGTTTGTGTCCGTCAAGAGATCGCGCTCTTACGCCGGACACCAAGACCGAGTCCGTGAGATCGACTACATCAAAGTCAGCCTCGACGAATGGAACTCCCTCGTGGCAAAGGAGCGCACGCTCGAAGAGATCAACAAGTCGGTGGTGGACGAGAACAACCGCCTCAAGACCACGTCCCACGCTGAGGCTAAGCGCCTCGCCGTGGTTGTCGTCCCCAGTCTCGAGAAGCAGATCGCCTCCCTGTCCATCGAGAATGAGGCTCTGCGTCGCAGCATCGACAAGACCGGCGACAGCTCCCTCAAGCACCACCGCGAGGAAGACAGACTGCGCTACAAGGCTGCCAAGTTTGAGGCCGACAACTTGGCACTCCGAGAGGAGAATGCCGCTCTGCGAGAGAAGAACCGCAGCCTGTCTCGGCAGATCGACCAGAGCTTCAGCCGTCGTGTGTCTGAGCTTGTTGCAGAGGCCGACACGTGGAAGTACCACTACCGCCACTGGTATGCTCGCTACAATGAGCTGTTGAAGCGCTACAACGACATTTACGACCTGATGGAGACGCGGACGAAGAAGATGAAGGCCTACAAAGAGAAGGCGGCTGCATATGAAGACATTCTACGGCGAAACGAGATGATCTAAGTCTTTTACGTCCCTGCACCTCGTATCTTCTACCACGTCTCTCTGTTGTTATGTTTCCTAGTCTGCGAAACCTGAGATTGCTTGTGTAATCACATCGATCATGCTGCCAACAGGAGAGATTGCGATGGCTGTAATACTTTTGGTTTTTTTTCATTTACTTTTCGGTATGTAAAGGGATTTTGGCTTAGAGTAGAAGGCTTGCACTGACGTATTTTGGTTCTTCTTCGCTCATAGACCAGACAGCGCTTCACACTTGTAGCCTTGTTTCTTAGCTTTTTTTTTTTTTCTTTCTTTTGTCCTGTGTTATTATGAATGATGGGCTATTGGGATATCTTGGGTTATGACATTCTCCTTTGTCGCTTTTTTGGGCATGCACAAATGCCCTTTTTGTTTTTTTCTTCTTCTTCTCATTTTGATGGATTATTTATGAACATCTTTCTTTCTATTCTGATTCCCTCGTTATTTTCTTTTCCTATTTGACCATCAGTAGCACTTCACTTCTCCTGGCTTCTATCACCACAGCTCCCTTTTGTTCGCTATTACTGCAGACTGCCCGCAGATTTACCTACCTATTTTAGAGTAGCACAAATACATGAATGCATAGCATGAAAAGCCAAAGTTTTGGGAAATGTTGAAAAAAAGGCACCATTCTATCGTCCCACACCTCGTGATGTATCCGGCTGGGGCCGAGTCTCAAAGTTTTGCTCGTTTGGAAGCGTCATGTGAGCTTATTGGTTATCAGCAATTTTGAAGCTGCATGTACCTACGTCATCACGCGATGCCGTAAAGCCTTGCGGGAAAAGGCGCCACATTAAGAATACTAGGTAGAATAGGTAAATTTTGCTAAAAGAGGGCAGACCTGGAAATAGCAGCCGAGAGGGGTGTGAGCGAGCCCTACTCTTGCGTGGAGTTGGCATTTCACACTTTGGGCGAGGGTCCATTTCTCTTGGGTCGTACTGCATAAGGATAAGAAAAATGAGGCTGTTGGCGCGGTATAATGACGCGCGTTGATGGCTTTTTACTAATTAAGTTGCGGGGAGTTACTTATAGATATGTGCGTTGACATAGATTTCGGCAAGAAAGATGCGTTGGACAGTTGTGATTGGCTTGTTCTTTGCTATTGTGTTTAACAAAGAAAACGAGCGGGAGACAACGCAAGGGGAGGTTTTTGGGCCATGTGCGGGACAGTGGCTGATCTGAGAGCGGCGAGGGTCAAGCTTTTTACACCATTTTTCTTTTTTTTTTAAATACCCGGTAACATATTCCCTACTACACCACTGCTATATTCTTCCCCTTCCTGATAGGCCTAGAGATTTTCATGCACGCTGCTAAAACAAAGCATTTGGCTGTTGAAGCAGTTGGTATTCTAGGGATGCAGTTCATTTAGGCATCGGCTGGTAATGACGGGTGTGGCTGTTTAGTGGCACAATGATGTTTTGTACCTTGGGACTTTTAAAAGTTGACAACACCACTAATATAAAGTTACAAATCGTCAAATCACTCATGCTTCTTTCTTGATCCATCTGTCTTTTAAATTCCGTTCTCTGTTTCTTCCATATATACTGTCTTGTATTGCCACTTTAAGGCATCCAGCACTGCTGATATTCACCGCCCTCTTTGTTGACCACGAGACTAAGGTTAGCCCGGTGGCGCTAGGCACAGCATTCTACAGTAGTGGCAGCGCCAGCAAGTCCGCTAAGGGCCATTAGGCCAGGTACAGCCTGTAGCTTATTTCTGGTTGTGCACACAACATTTGAAGTAAAACCTTGAGGACTTCATGTTTCTATTCAATACTCGTTTATTGTCTGTGTCATAGCCTTCGTGATAAGACACCAACAAATCATCTGCAACTCATACCTTCCATCCATTTGAATTCCTCAATCTTTAAGCAATTACATAAACGCCTCTCGTGCCCGCCCTTTCCCAACTCCCCAACGCTAACCGTACAGCTTGCAAAAGATTCAACTCTTCTGTCCTGCAAAATCCGTTTGTTCCGAATAAAACGCCCAAAATGCTTACTCGTAAGGTTTCCTCTCAACAGCTAGCAGCTCAAAGCCTCCGAGGACGTTCGGTCCAAAGTCTCCGAATAAAGTCGCAGACTCTTACCGTAGGCTAAAAGTGGCAACATGTTGCACACTGCCACATCGTTCCATGCGGGCTGCCTGCAATGGCAACGGGATTTTCTCGCAGGATTCTTACAAGGGGCAAATCATCTCCGAAGCCACACAACAGTGACAACCTGCGCATCTCATGCACCCCCCCCCCCTGTTATTATTGTTTCGTCCCTAGTTGCTTTTCAGATCTTGAACCCAAATAAACCGTGTCCATCCCACGAGCTTCGGAGGCTCATAGACCGCTAGCAGGCTTGGAGATAACGCTAGAGGTCAGCTCTCCGTGCTTGTGATCAGAGCCCAGGGACAGGCTTCCACACGCCTGACAGCCTTTCTCTATCAGCGACTGAGCAAACCAGGCAGCCTGGAAGACACTCCATGATCGACCGGTGCCCTGGAAAGAGAGACAGAGGGAAGAGCTGCCCTCGCTGTTCGTGTCGACGCAAGTGATGTGCTGTCCGTCCGAGAATCGCTGGTGCTGGTCCATTTCTTTCAGTTGTGCAATGGCAGAGCTCAGGCTAGCTTCGATGCCTGCGCAGACGCCGCTGTCTCGACAATTGCTGCCCGGGGCACTGGCTACTGGAGCAGCATTGGCCGCTGAGGCAGCACTGGCCAGGCAAAGGAGGATGTTGATCAAGTGCATGGTTGATATCTATGTGTGTTGTCTAATGACTTGAAGAGAGGTAGAAGATAGAAAGGCAAAGTGACAATTGCTGATCTGGTTACGAGATGAGCGACCAGGACATTGATAATGGACGAGCTGGGGGCATCTGCCTCTTTATATACATGGAAGAGACTGCTAATGATGATTGAGGATGAATCATAAACCACTTGCCTCGGACTGGGCTACGCGAGATAGGATCAGCCTCAACATCAACGACCCCCTTTTTGTCTGTTTGCAGAAATGCAGAAATGCGGCAATCGCATTTTTATTCCTCTTTAGCATACATCAATAGCACGAATTAAGGCAGAGCGTATCGTACGAGCACTATTTCCTAATCAAGTCAATAGTTGCTTGTAAGCAGCAGTACCTAGCCCTGATCCAGTAAATATTGCCACTGAAATACGAGAACAGTCTACCAGTAGAGAGGGAGATCAAGGATTGGCAAAGGATACGTATCGACGCTGTTGATTCTTTGCCTTTTGCTTCGTAAAACATGGTTGTATTTCCATCATTACCATCAATGCAACATTCCTATTGCTACTGTGGCAAGTGTGGTTTAAGCTATGAACCATCAAGATCCAGGATCAAATAAGGCTTCTCCACGCCAACACAGCGGATTGGCACTAGTCTCCGATCCTGGCAGCCATAGCCCCCCCTCTCTATAAGAAACCAGTGCAGGGATTCCCAACCGCTAGCCATATCAAATTCGAGAACTGCCAGGGCATCGGGGATGGAAGTGGAAATAGCTGGCGATTGATTGGCCAATGCGCTGTGCCTACAGGGCAAATATCTTTCATCTTTTCCAATCCTTCCAAAGCTTTACTACTGCCTTAATGAAGCTTCGGGTACCGTACTAGCTGCAACGGATGGCTTTCGAATCGATTGCGGTACCTACTAGATTTAGGTAGTAGTACATTTTGTATGCTATTGCGTACTGCTATTTAACCCTGATTAAAGTTGGGAATCTGGGCTATTTATCCAGTGATGATGTTGCCCGTTTAGGGTTACAGCGTCTATGATTCATACCACATACTACATCAATATTAAGCCACTTGCTTTCGGACGTGGGGCAGCGGAATCCCTGCTATGATTCATCAAAATAGGGTCTGCGACAGAACAGCCTTATTGTCCAACAAGGACATATGATTCCTAGTTGGGATGTATGAACAGCTGATATAAGCTGCTTTGGATGAGTTGAGTTCATAGACTCTTTTGTTTATGTTTATACGCTGTCGGCCTCGTGTGTGCGCAAATGCGGGTCGATGTGCCACATGCACGTGGCATCAATGTTGCAGGAACAATGTATGGCAAAGGATCATGTTGGCTGCTTGATTTGGTACCTATTCTTTTTACGACCTTCTCCCAATAAAGGAAGACGCTTGGTGCTAGACATATAGAGGAATATATCTATCAATATTTATATACAGTAAGAATGAACTGCTATGCCAGCGAAACGAAATGGCTACCCTACAATCCTCCCAATGTGTCGCTTTCTTATAGAAAAAGATCCTGTTCTGTAGTCAATACCTATGAAAAAACAACGTATCATATTGTTTTGCCTTTTTTTTCTTTGTGAATTGGGAAAGCATTTAGTAAAAAACTGCTGTGCCTTGTGCAGCTTGGGTGTTACTCCCTTAGCCCTTACTTTGCCGTATCTATACTCGTGAGACTCGAAGCCACATTGCAGTACTGTGCTACAGCTATTACTCGAGCGCTTTTACAAGAGTAATAAGAGCTACAATTAATAACGAGATAGGTGCGAGCTGCTTCTTTTTTGTTGATGGAGCGTGATTCATACTACTAAGTACCTGGGTACCATTGGGTAGCAACTTGGGAGGCACGTCTCTACCACCTCTGTCCTCCCAACAGAAGCGAGGCTCGGCTTTCTACAGGACAGCCAGAAGTCTTTGGTAGCACTTGGTCTGACGCCTCTTGTCACCTGATGAAGTAGACTGGCCTTACATGCAAATTCCTTGTCTTCCATTAGTTGGATCGCACAGGAAAGAAACATCAGCATGAACAATGCGTAGCTGACTGGCAGATGGAGCAGTGCATTATTTGCATGTTTGACCTGTCTGTTATTCTCTGCAGCAAAGTCTGCTAATTCTGCCTTTATTTCTCTTTCTTGTTTCTCATGACGTAATGAGATGTGGCTGAGGTGGTCGTGATAGGTCTGCAGGTGTCTGCGACCTGATCTCTGCATCACCCTAGCGCATCTACAAAGTCTGATTTGCCTTTTGATGTCTTGGCTCTAACACAAGGCAGAGAGCAGATACGAACGTGGGCGGTGACATGAGGGCAGCACACGGAATTCTTCGCTAAGCTTACTGTACGATGCCCGCATAGACCTGTTCTGGGCAGGTGGTCGGCACTTTTTTTTGTTGCTGTTCTCTTCGTGAATATCGGCCCCCAGCAGAATCTCTCGTCATCAGCTATCACGGCTCCATGCTCCGAAGGCTCGCACGCGACACGACTCGGGCCGTTCCTCGTTGGTACAAGCATGAGTAGGTGCCCGTATCAAACGGAGCAAAGGATGTGGGGGGAGCTGCATGGTGGGCAGACGCTCTAAAAGACGCTCTAGAGAAATCTGTTTGTCGTCCATTACCTAACATGTGTCTGACACAGACAGAGAGACGACCAAGCAACAAGTACAAACCAACCAACGAGACGCCCCTCAGCCATCTGTTCGTTCAAGTAGCTGTTCCTCGTGATTCTACAGCCATCTATCTGCATCTTCACCATCTGGCATCACATTGCATTTCCGAAGGGTGTGACTCACACACTCGAGTGAATGCGAGATCGCCCGCCTTCGATTCGTTTCCTCCGTGCCAGTGCCAGTGCCAGCACACCGCACGCCGCGGCAGGCTGCAGCGCCGGCCCAAAGTGGCCGTAGACGAAGCTTCCTGTGGCTCGCAGGCCTCTGGGCTTCCTGCATGGCGCACAAGATGGAGGGCCGGAGGGGCGTCTGTCGACGTTAGACTCGAGGCAGCCGCCGCTACGGCTTCGATGCCTTGATGAGCCCTGCTGGTGCGCGGCCAATGGGAATCGCTGGGCGGCGTGTGCGCAGAATCGCGTCGACCCGGGACAGACGCTTTTCGTGGCTGGGCTTCTTGTTGAGTCTGCGCCGCGAAGGAGCTTCTGTCTCGACCCCTTTTTTGGGTGAGCGAGTGGTGGACTGGCGCCTGGCGCTCCCATCCTTGGCGTTGTAGCAGATACATGAGCCAGCGACGCCGTAAAGAGGCTGCATGGATTGCATGGATGAGACCGGACGGTAGCAGAAATCGCTGCCAAAGCCCATTCGACGAGTGTCGATTGCGCGTCTAGGACTTTGATGTGATTGCCCGTACCGTCTACTTGTGTGTACATTGCTGACATGGCGCCACCCTCCATCTCGACTCGTCAAAGCAGTCCTGAGTGTTGATAGTGTTTATTCTGTGGCCGTCGGTGACAGAGTCTTTCTTATGCGCACACCAGGCGTTACGGCTTCGCCCATCTGCGTGCCCTCTCCAGGCAGGAATTGGTGCCCGTGGCAGCGATCCCCCGGCTTCATCCAGACTGAAATTCCTATTTTATGACTGCAGCCATCCCCCCCTCTTTTCTCCTATTCTCACCTCTGCTATCAATTTTGTGTTTGTGTGTGTGAGTGTGTGTGTGAACGGGCCTTCTATCTGACGGGCAACCAGACTTGGGCTTGAGATAATAATACCACGTTATTATTCCGCATTCTGCCGGGGGCTGCAAAGAAAAAAAAAATTCTTTCGTCCCTGCCTACTTGATCTTCTTTCTTCCTACTCATCTCTCGCTCGTCATCTTCTTTCTTTCACTCTCGCGCATCATCACTTTCAGCATCTGAAAGCATTTGCTCGGCGATCTGGCCCTTGCAGAGCCGGCCTACCATACCAGGACGACCCCATCCATCGCGAGCGGATCTCGCAGACGCACATTGGCATTTGTGCATTCGGAGACACATTTCTCTCAGCTGTTTTTTTTTTCCTGCGACGTGCATATTCCGCTGCTCTTCGGTGCATATAGCGCGCTTGGGTTGACGAATGAACCTTGCGTGAAGCCTCGGTCGCTGTCGCCTTGCTTGTGGCTCGCCCACATCGTTTCGTTTCTGCTTCTGCACCCCTGCCACCCTCCCAGCGGGCGTTGGGCAGCGTTGCATCCCACTACGATTGGGCAGTCGGTGGCTCCTGAAGTCGAATCAATTTTCGTCTTTGCCTTCTAAAAGAGAGAAGGCAGAAAAAAAAAAAACTGCATCGCATCATTACCAGCCATGTCTCTCCATCAGCGAGTATCCGCCAATCACGGGCGGAGGGCCTCCGTCTCGCACTCGGCGACTTACGGTTTGTCTACCCATAGTTTCTCACATGTGCCCAATCGCTCAATCCCATCTGCAGTGACGTCCGATTACGAGCAGCGCCTGCTCGATTCCCTCAACACGGCTCACACGGAGCTCAACAAGACCAACTCGGAAAGGGACCGATATTTCGGCCTCCTCGAACAGGCCAACAAGAAGCTCGCCGAGGTTACCGTCACTAATACCGACCTCAAGTCACAGAACCAGAACTTGAAAGACACCATCGCCTCTCTGCAGGAGAGGATCCAGCGTGGTAAGGAAGAAAGCGACAGGCTCGGCTTCGAGAATGACGCTCTGGCACAAGACTATGCCGAGCTCAAGGCCAAATACAGCAGTCTGTCTCATCAGTTCAATGCACTCAACAGCGCTCCTCCGCCATTCTCCAACAACGCTCCCAACGGTTTGTCAGGGTCGATGCCGGAACGTCCCAAGCTCTCTCGCTCCTCCAGCAAGAAGGAGCGCAAAGAAGATCGTGAGGAGCGCAGTCGAGTCCGAGACAAGGAAAAGTCTCGAGATCGCGAGAAGGAGGACAAGCGCGAGAGGGAAAAGGAAAAAGAAAGGGAAAAGGAGCATGTAAAGGAAAAGGAAAAGAAAGAGCACAGAGCTGAAAAGGAACGGCTCTCTCGTCGCTTTGAAGAACGGCGTGTGGTTCCGCCTGCACCCACCCCGGCGGCTCCAGCACCTCCACCTCCACCGATCACAAATCGACGGAACAGCTTCATCGAGGGCTGGGGCCCCGCCGGCCGGACGTCGTCAGCCTCGGGATCTTCCACTCGGAGTTACACCAACGGACCCCATGTGCCCCACGGACCCAACGGACACATTGGACACATTGGACACAATGGACACGCGCAAGTGCCTGCTGTCACACCTGTCAACAAGACGGCCTATGCCAACATCTCCCGGACTGCTACCAACCCAATGACTCCTCGTATCTACAGCGCTGCTGGAAGCACAGCCGCCGTGTTCGATGACGACGGGAGTTATGAGGATGGCAACTATCATGCCTACCCAATCAGCCGATAAAAGCACAATTCTATTCTCCCGGGGCCACTTGCTCTTGCCAGACCATTGTGGATTATACGGAGCATGGCTTGCTATCCAGATAATGCTATGCAAGCAGCGGTTGTTGCCAGGGCTAGTTGCTCTTTATTCTTTCCTTTGCTATATCTGTACTGTATTATGGTGTTCCCTACTGGTTTTTTTTTCCCTTTGACTCATTCGGCTTTACTTCCTGGCTTCTCTCTGACCCTTGGACGCGGCCACACGCAAGATTTCCTTTACAGCCCTGGTTCCACTTCTCCGCCACCGGGATTTTCAGCGGGGATGTCAACCGGCCCTCTGCCGCTCTCGGCCCATAAACAATGGAACTTGGACCAGGCCTTTCTCCGCTTGGCTTTTTACCCACCCGGCTACTCCTTGGCGCCATGCAGATTGGATATTAGCTGCATGGCTGTGTCGAGACCGGTATTTTTTGTTGACTGCAACCCACGGAGTCACATCAATCCTGACCCGCTTGGGCTGCTGTCAACAGTAAATACTATGACTCTCAAGACGCATTCTGCTTGGTCGCCAATGTCGGCTGCAGGCCTGGCGTTTTGAGTTGCGCCCGTCCCCTCTGCTTACACCACCCTTTTTGTGGCTTTTTACTCCTTTGGGTTTCCTCTTCTCTTTCTTTTTCCTTTTCTCCTCTTACAACTGTTTCTGCTTTTCAACGGCCAACTAAACTCAACGGCCCATCTTATTCTTGTCAATTGTTTGATTGACTTTTCACTGGATTTATTGTAAGTTGTGGTGTTCTTGTGTCTGGTACCAGTGTCTCTGTCCAACATAACTGGCCTGCCATCACACCGCGACCGTTTGTCAAGATGAAGCTTTCCCCTTCTCTCTCAGATGACCTTGCTCGCTGGGCAGAGCTACAGCCCGTCTTCTTCACAGGCTCGGCTGCTACCCACGGTCGTCGCGTCAATGTTTCTCCCAAAGGACAAGATGCGCACTTTTCTGTCCTTGGCCCCAACCAATGCGCCTACATTGATCGTACTGGGTCTGGATGTGAAACAATTTCCCATGCGTACGAAAACGGACGCCTCTGTCTCATGTTTATGAGCTTTGGTCCTTCCCCACGAATCCTACGACTCTTCTGTCGTGTTACAGTCGTGGAGTGGGATCAGCCAGCCTTTCCTGCTCTGATACGCAAGGTTGCCAAAGGCAAGCGAGAGGTTTTTGATGGAGCTCGCGCCGTCATTCTCTGTGATATTTGGCAAACTCAAACGAGCTGTGGATTTGGCGTACCACGTGTGAAGAAAGGTCTTTATAGCCTTGATGGAGATGATGAAGAAGGCAATGGCGTTGCCAGAGGTATTGATGAAATTCTTCGCGAGGGGGTTCAGGACGGCGAAAAACTTGATGAGCTTTCTGTTTTTGAACAGCGGCCCACGCTGGACACCTGGGCTACCAAGAAAACCCAAGGCAATCAGATGCTGGACTATCAGGTTACGAACAATACCCGAAGTCTCGATGGGCTTCCTGGGTTGAAAGCGGCAAGGCGTGAGGCCGGACAGGTGCTTTGGGTGGGCGACCTGAAGGCTAGGCTGCGAAGGATTGCTTCGGAAGGCGAGGCCGTCGCAGCAGGGTTTTTATTAGCGGTTCTGTTGTATTTTGTTTTCCTTGGATTAGATTTACGTGGGATATATACGGCTGTGTTGTAACGTTATGTTATGGTATGAGATAGATAGAGGGATGGGTTGGTTGTGCTTGCGTTTTTTGCTGTCTTCTGTTTCATTTTCTTCTTCTTCTTCGACTTCTTCAACCCTATTTTCACATACCCCTTCTTCCTTTGGGTATTTCTTTTTTTTTTTTTTTTTTTTTTTTTTGATGATATTCGCCCATTTCTTTTTTTTCTTTCTTTCTATGCTCATGTTCTGTTATGTCAAGTCACGATATCTTTTTTTTACCCTCAAAAACTTTTCCTTAGGTAGTCATAGATTTATGAAAAATGGTCCCTTGCGGGTAGCGCTGAATATTGAATGCAATATATTGTTGTTTTTGCTCTTCTTAGCGGCATGCTGATTAATGACTTGGTATTAACAGCATTCGCATCTTTATTTCGATGATTGATAAGCCTTTCGACGATTCCTGTTGACAAAATCTGCATCTGCTCGGAGTGGGCATTGATATCGTGAAACAAGGCTATCTGTTATAGAATCATTTATTGTCTATTAAACGAGTGACTTGTAAGGCATTGATACTAAGCATTAGCACCAAAATAAACATCCGTACCAAGGGTCTACATTTGGTAGACCGCTTCGAGAGAGATGCCTGTCGTTTGCAATTGCAATGTTTCCAAACTAACGTTATAAGTAGCTGTAGCTAATCATCTCCGGCGAGTTTGCCTCCCCCCAAAAATGCAAACGCATTTTATTTTACAGTCTATCTTCCCCCTCCATGCTTCTTTTGGTCAAGATATATATGTGTGTAATAATATATTGCTTGAGTCAAAGACCAATATTATCCCGCAAAGGGCTTCAACGACGTTTCCAAAATCCTTGTCGCAGGAGCGGTGGGCTGTGCCTCATTTAGACGGCTTCAATGGTCCGGTCCCAGGTCGTGGAAAAAGTGGCGTCGGTCCATTCAAAGGGTTTGCTTTGCGCTTCTAGTGACGGAACCTTTGATTTCTGATACAGTTATGCGCTTTTTGGAGTCAAGGCTCGTATAGATCGCTGCTTATGGTGTATTCGCTAGGACGCTGACCATTTTCCTTCCATACGAAAAAGATTCAGCGAAGCCAATGTGAGATACCCCAACCACGGGAAGCACGTTCACTGCGCTGACGAGTTCGCTGAGGATTCAAATCAGAAAAATGATGGAAGGTGTCGAGTTGATTATCAGCGGATCGCTCAGCCGCCGCTCGTTGCCGCAATAGGAGTACCGTTAGCAGAAGCAGGTTGATTGCTGTTGGTTTTAGCAGCTCCTTTACCGCCCCTTCCACGTCTGCCACGGCCGCTGCTTGAGCTCTTCTCAGGAGCAGCGCTATTGCTCGTGGCGCTGGATGGGGTGGCAGCGGCAGCAGTATTGCTGCTACCAGAAGCAGCCGGAGCAGGTTTCTTATCCTTGCGCTCGAGAACTTGAACAGTTCCCTGTGCAACAGAAATGGGGCTGGCAGAGATAGCCTTGGCAAGGCCGGAGTGGTCTGAAAAATCCACGTACGCGAAGCCCTTGCGCTTATCTACCTCGATAAAAGTAACGGTACCAAATACCTCCAAGGCTTGCTTCAAAACAGGTTCGGTGATGCCTTGAGAAGAGTTGGCGTGCTTCACAAAGCCACGAGTGGCGTTGGAAGACGATGCCGCGGCAGATTTCTTTTGCGATGTTGAAGATTTAGCAGAGCCGCCCTTTTGGCCGTTTGTCGCATCGGTCGCAGATTTGGAGCTGTTTTGTTGAGTGGCAGAAGCGGCCTCAGCAGTAGCCTTGGTCGAATCCGTGTCATGATTGACAGCGGGCTTCTTCTTAAGGATCACAGGCGGAGTATTGGCAGCATTCTGCCCAGACTTTTCTGATGTTTTTGTCTTTTCAGCGTTTTTACCACTGCGAGCCTTACGCGCTGGCTGTTGGCTCTTGGAAGTGCTATTGGTTGATTGCTGAGCTTTAGCAGACGCCTGGGTATTCGCTGATTCTATTGGAGCCGATGCAGAGGCCTGCTGGTTCTCCTTCCCCGCCCCAGATGTTTCCTTATTCTCGTCGGTGGTGGCCGCCTTAGAGCTGGATTCGGCTTTAGCAGCATCTTGTCGGGCTCGCCGATAGGCACTACCTGGACTGAGACCAAGATCTCGCTGCAGCATGCGGGCAGCGTTAGAGACGCCAGCACGTCGACTCTTAAGGGCTGGTGTCTCTGCAGCAGCCGCCTGGCTCGCGGCTGGTTTAGCGGCTTCGGCAGATTGTTCAACAGCAGTAGCCTTCTTGGTAAGAATTTTAACAGGTTCCTTGGGAGCGGCTTTCTCAGACTTGGAACTCTTGCTCTCTTTGCCCTTCTTTTTCGAGCCATCTTCTTCTTTAGACGCAGACTTTCCCTTAGTTGCTGCGCCTTCTCTAGAATGTTTGGCACTTTTAGCAGCAGCAGCTTCCTTTTGCTTATTTGCCTTCTTCTCCTTGAGATACTCAATCAATGGGGTAGTAGTGACTTTGGTTTCGGCTGCATCCTCGACCTCTTCGTTCTCAGTAATATCCTTTGGCTGCACTGGATTAGCGAGGCCTTCAAGAAAGGCCATAAACTCTGGGTCTTGATCGATAGTTCCCTGGCGAGCATCAAGCCGCTTCTTATTCCCCGGGACTTTTTTGTAGACGGACATTTCCAGGGAAGGGGGTCCAATAAGAGAAGGACTATTGAAGGTGGACCTGGCGTCCTCCCACGTCGCATTTCGGACAATATCGCTCAGCGGCATGATATAATCTTTACGCATCACATGAAGATATGCTCTAGAGGGCCGTGATGGCTTTGAAATCCTTGCGTGGCCCAATGTTAGTGCTCCAAAACAAGTTCAAGAGAGGGGTTAAGGCTATCTAGCCGTGATATCCCAAGGACATACTCATTGCAAACCTTGCCTGGGGCATAAGAAAACCAATCAACCTTGCCATTGCCTACTGCCCATTCAGAGCCCAAAATGGAGACAAGTTCGGCCTCAGTCAATCCCGGAGGCAGGCGGCGGATAATGACTTTTTCACCTTCATGAGGAGTCTTAGTCTTGGGAGCCTTTGTCGATTCTGCATCGTGGGTGGCGCTCCGAGCCTCATTTTGCCTGTCGGCCGCTCCTTTGCCCTTGTTAGGACGAGACGCGCCGCCCTCGGCAACGGATTTGTTCTGTGCAAGGCGACATATCAGTTAACCATGCAGGATGGGCGTCTCACATTCAACTCTCACCTTGGCAGACTCATTTGCCGCGGCGGAAGCCGCCCCGTTTGTCCTGCGAGACAGGACCTGCGGTGCTTGAGTCGACATTGTGCATATCGTACAGATTTGGGGGCAACGTCAGGGTTCTAAAGACGCATGTACGAGCATGGAGGTGTCCCGGCTCGGCCAGCCGCGGTTTTCAAAGCCCAGGTCAGAGCCAGGCTTGATAGGGTCAAAAGAGTCGTAGCCTTCCGTCATATGAGAAAGCACGGGCCCACTAAATGGCAGCGTATTGAATGCTGGCTGGAGTATAAAAAGCAAATTCGCAACAGAGGCAGACGGAGTTAGTGCCGGCTTATTCGAGCCTTTCTGTGGCGAAGAGGCGGTTGACGACCTAATATGGAGCAGTCACGTGCAGCCGAGTTGAGGGAGCGGCGATGGAATTTGAGAACGTGCTGTTGCCGCCTGTTCTGTTGGATTACTGCAAGGCCGATCATGGCATGTGTAACATCTGCTGAAAATAGAATCCAAGAGCGAGGTTATGTTAATTTAGACGGCTTTAGTCCATTAAATAGATAATATGTTCTTTCATACGTCTTAATCTTGATGGTAGGCATATCTGCGCAGTATCGCTCATATTGGATAGGTACCCAGTACCTTGGTAGATGCAGGAATCGGAGAACGCTCTGCCTAAATCAACGATAAGCGCAGCGGCAGCCATCACTCGCCGGTACAGCGAGCGCACAGGCCCCTCCGAGAAAGATCCGGCGCCTGGCTCCCGCTGAAGCGCAGCCCCTGGCGCCCTGAAACCACAAGCGTTGAGAGGCCAACCCCACCAAGCGAAGCCCTCAGTCGCCGTCATCTCTGGCCCGCTGATCAAGCATCATCCCTTCCACGCACTGGCATCGCGTTGGGCTGAATCAACCCAGCCGTTGCGCCGTTGCCATATTCCGATCCCCAAGATGACGGCAAACGTACCCCGACCCGGCCCTGCCAACCTGGGGCCAAATGCTGGCCTGGACGAGTGGCTGGAGGAGGCCAAGCAGTGCCACTATCTGCCTGAGCGAGCCATGAAGGAGCTGTGCGAAAAGGTTAAGGAGATCCTGATGGAGGGTACGGAGCCCATGACCCTGTAGCTGACCTTTTGCGATGCCCTCGCTGGGAGCGGGCGACATGGAAGTTCATGGAGGCGCTGACACGATGAGTCCCGCAGAGTCCAACATCCAGCCCGTCTGCACACCCGTCACTGTTTGCGGCGACATCCACGGCCAGTTTTACGACTTGCTCGAGCTCTTCCGCGTGGCCGGCGGCATGCCGGGCGAGACTGACGTGCAGGCGCCAAAGTCCATGACCGCGGTCATCACATCAGAGGACATCGAGCCCCCGACGGAAATCACAAACCCGAAGCTGAGGAGGAAGCTAAAGTCTCCCGGAGGCGGGGCCAGCTCCGGTGACGCTGACGAGGACGAGGACAGAGAGGACGAGAAGCAGGGAGATCACGATGTGCCCGCGATCAATACAGTTACGTCTTCGCAGAGCGCGGAGACTCGCTTCGTATTTCTTGGAGACTACGTGGACAGAGGTTACTTTAGCTTGGAGGCGTTTACATTGCTCATGTGCTTGAAAGCAAAGTACGATACCTCCAACGCCCTTTTTTCTGCTCTTTCTCAGCCCAGGAATGCCCTTGGTGCTGATACTGACACCGGTATAGATACCCAGACCGCATTGTTCTCGTCAGAGGCAACCACGAATCGCGCCAAATCACACAAGTATACGGCTTCTACGAGGAATGCCAGCAGAAATACGGCAACGCATCCGTATGGAAGGCATGCTGCCACGTTTTTGACTTCCTCGTTCTCGCTGCTATCGTTGACGGAGAGCTCCTCTGCGTTCATGGTGGCTTAAGCCCCGAGATTAGAACCATCGATCAGATTCGAGTCGTCGCACGTGCTCAGGAGATTCCCCATGAGGGTGCTTTTTGCGACCTTGTATGGTCAGATCCCGACGACATAGATACGTGGGCGGTGAGCCCAAGAGGAGCGGGATGGCTGTTTGGAGATAAAGTTGCTACGGAGTTTAACCATGTCAACGGCTTGAAATTGATTGCCAGAGCGCATCAACTTGTAAATGAAGGATACAAAGTGAGTTGGAGTCTTCCCTATGCCTTTTCCCTTCTTCTTATATGGGAGTGCTGTACTAATGCGCTGGAACCCAGTATCATTTCGACGAGAATTCTGTCGTAACAGTATGGTCAGCTCCCAACTATTGCTACCGATGCGGCAATGTCGCGTCAATAATGACAGTGGACAATGATTTGGCTCCCAAGTTTAGCATCTTCTCTGCTGTACCAGATGACCAGAGACACGTGCCCGCAAGTAGAAGGTCACCGGGCGACTACTTTTTGTGATTGGCTACCTCGACTGAAAAGGCAGACAAGACGTGAAGAGCGTACAGAGTATAACTTAGACTGGGTTGAGTTGGGATGGGTTTTTTGCATGTAAACTAGCACACGGGTTGAGATATCCATGAATTTGAAGAATCGACAATGCATCAGGATTATAGGTAGGATGGGCTGGAGATCTGGCTAGCGGAAACGAACAACAGTGATGACTTCATATGAATTAAGAAAAAAAAGCGGGCAAAAAAATTTTGATAAAGAAGTTTTACAGCCTTGCTTTGTCAATATTTCGGTGATTTAGAATGGTCGGGCTTTTTAGAAGCTGGTGGTGCTGAAGCTACGCTCATATTGCTAGCATTATGAAAAGCGTCGATGAGTAGGAAAAAACTAAGCTTTTTGAACATTTTCTTCCTACCTTACCTTTCACCACACGAATTCCGTCTACACACTGATATACCTAATGCGAATTGATAGAAAAAATACATAAATGCGCATCAATCTCAGCTTAAATCTCTACTTCGGACCAAGCATAGCGTTTTAGCTTCTAATTCGATGGCGTCTCGGCAGCTGGACGACAAAAAATCGCACAGAAAGCTCAAGCCACGCTCCCGACCCGTCAACCCCATCAATGCGGCAATACAGAGCTGGATCACTGTATCTCTTCCCCCGTTGGAATCTGCTGGCCAGGATTCACGAAATGAGAGTCTTATAAATTCCGCGCCTAAACGTTTTACCATTTATGAGCCTCTCGCCTTGCTCCCGACTGGCAGCTTCACAAGCGAAACATGGGCCTCTACTCTAGGTGTCTGTGGTGAAGTTGCCTGTAATTCATTGTGGCAATCTATCTTACAAGAAATCTCCAAAATTGGGCAGGGGGTTGTGACACATCTAGCTGTCAACGAGGGCATACCACTGCACAAGGCAGGAGAGGAGGATGAGAATGTACGAAGGAGCCCAAGCGGGCTTAGGATGCTCTTTGGAGACTTTGGACCATCAGAAGGTGTGGGTGAGCACCCTACGAAGAGTGATTTTGAGGACGCCTTTTGGGTTGGCACGAAGCAAAATGGGATACTCCAGACGTGGGCGCCGAGATGGACCATGTTTTCTCGTGGCAACGTGAAGGAGAAGGCACGGCTGTTGGCATTCAAACGTCCTTCTCTGACCAAGGGAACAAAAGAGGAACGAGGGGAAAGCTGGGCGGTTGATTTGTACGCCGGAATTGGGTATTTTGTGTTTTCATATGCGGCGCTCGGGATGAGAGTTTTGTGCTGGGAGATCAATCCCTGGAGCGTCGAGGGCCTTCGACGAGGTGCTTTGGCTAACAAGTGGAGTGTCAAAGTTATTGAGGGAGATGATTTGCTACTACCGGTGAACCAACTCTTAGCGGGAAAAGAGAGGATCATTGTCTTTCTAGAGAGCAATGAGAAGGCGCTGGAGCGGATCGGGGAGATACAGGAGGCGGGAAACGCGAGGAACATTGAGCATGTCAACTGCGGCTTCTTACCCACGAGTGAGCCGGTCTGGAAAAGCGCCTGGGAAGTGACAAAGCTTGCTCCGGAAGCATGGTTGCATTTGCACGAGAATGTCGGTGCTGAGGACATTGAGTCCCGGCGAGGATCGGTTCAAGGGGCCTTTGAGACGTGGGCTGCTGCTTCGGGGGCAAATTTGAGGACTCCGAAGGTTGAGCACGTTGAGCAGGTCAAGACGTTTGCGCCGGGGGTCTGGCATTGCGTCTTTGACGTTCGTATTACAGGCGGTAGTATATCTAATAATGGTACATGAACAATATGTTTTACATCAACTTCGTATCTCTCGGCGTCGTCTCTCATATAAACTTAAGATTTGATCCCTCTCTTCCCACTGTCCTTGGAAGATCGTCTTCATATTCCTTAATTGCCTCGCAGAAATTTCTTAGGGATGTTCTCCTCTATGATAGCCATCTGGTCCATCTTCTCCAGCCTCTCCTCCTCCTCCTCCATCTGCTCATGTTTCCGGAAATGCTCAATGTCTTCCGGATGGTTCAAGTCTTCCAACTTGGAGTTCTCGTCGTGGTACTTTTCCCAATGGTGAATCTCATATTCGTATTCGTCGTCGCCGTGGTGGCCCGGACCCGTGCCCATGTCCGGCAGAGTCTTGCCCTGTGAGATGTAGTCGGTCCATTCGTCGCGGCTGACGACGCCGTCGCGATTCAGGTCCATGAGCTCGAGCAGCTGGCGCAGGATGTCGTCGCGGCGTTCCCAGGAGACGTGCCTGTTGGACTCGTCCATGAGGCCGTAGGTACGGAGCAGCTCTTCGCCTTTCCAGTAGCCGTCGCTGTCGTAGTCGTGGAGAGTGAAAAAGGAGGCCGCGTCCCAGCCGTCGACGTGATGCTCCTCTGTGCGTAAATCTCTCTGTTAGGAATACGGCCCAAAAGATAGCCAAAGTGATTTGACAAACAAGTGATCAGACAAACTTACCAGCCATGTGCTTCGTCATCCAATTGGCGTTTGCATCGACAATTGGCTTCTGGGAATGAGAGCCATGGGCGATGGCCAGGCCCGCAATGGCGGAGCAGAGGAGGAACGCTCTCATGATGTCGCGCGAGAGGGATTGTTTATTAAGTAAGAAGACGATGAAAGAAAACAAGGCTGAGATACAATGCGACAAAATGCGAATGCAATGCAGAGAGCGGCGCAACAAAGGTGCTGTTCTTGTCGGGATGTCAATGGGAGGACGTCGGGTGGAAGAGAGGTGGCCGCCGCAGTTATGGAGTCCCGCCAGGTACTCTGCAGAGCCACAGTGATAGCGGCATCACTAACGGCGGTGACTGCAGGCCCTGGCTTTAGCGGCGGGGGTGGTCGCAAACAGGGGAGCGCCCACTAGAGTTAGTTGCCGGATTAGGCTTATCTAGAAGGATGCAATCCCATGTTAACCATGGCCATAACATCTTACAAAGCCGTATTACCACTTGGTTGCCTTTGATGAGAAAATTGGTAGAGCTGACATGCAGTAATAAACAATCGATGTAAAGCAATCCTAGAAGCGCCAAAGTCGTTACGCTAGTTATGCTATATACTCCGTACCTGGCTAATGTTAAAGGGCCATCTATTAGCTGAACCCCGTGATCTCGCGTTTCCCGTCATGCCCCGCCTCGCGTCTCATCTTCTAGATCCAAGCTAATATCGAGTAAGAGAGCCAGCCGCTTATTCCAAAACCAGCCTTTCAGGATTGTATTGCGCATCAACTCGTAATTACCACCAGCGTCGGGGCAATCACAATGAGCAAGCAAGTCGAGCTCGCTCTTGTGTCGTTGATGCCAACGTATGGCTCCGATCTCCCACCAACCCTGGTCGAGTCCGCTGGCTCCCTGCTGGCCCAATCTCGACATCTAGCCAGCACGCTGAAGGCGGACGAGGAGATTGCCCGTCTCTATGCCTGTGCCCACATTGCCTGCAACCGGTATTGACTATAGCATCCGCGGGGCCACTTGTGAATTTACTGGCTGCTAACCAGCTGCAATCGCGATAGACTCAAGATTACACTAGATCTCCCGACAATTGAGCCGCGCCCACCGGTCCCACCCCGAGTATACAAGCGTTTGTATGCGCATCTTGACAATATCCTCCCCAACACATCAGCGAGCGGGCGTAGAACGAGGACAGCAAGCTCTAGACAACGAAATGCTGGCGAATCGCCGGCATCCTCACAATCACGACCTCTCCCTTCAAGGCCCGAGCCCAGCAAGGACAGCAGTCTGGCCCAATTCCGAAAGAGATCCGGCTCAGATACGAAAACCGCATTAAAGTCAGATCGAAAAGCGCACGCAAGTGTCAGGGAGTCGGATATATACCCCTGGATTCAGCCCGTCATTCGTCATTTATGCGTTGAGCCTGGACACAAGAAACTGGCGCCGTCAATGCTGGCGGGCATGGAGTCGATTTTACTCCCTGGAGGGCGAAAAACAAAGGATAAGTGGGCATTGGAGCACGCGACTGCGTTATGCGCAGCTGTGATTTTCTTTGTCGCCACGCGAATTAGGGATATCGATCAAGATCAAGCTATTCAGCCTGAAAACTACGTCCCTACCCGCACCGAAATTATTGGGCAGCTGAGCCGAGCGCGCCAGGACGTCACAGTAAAAGGAATAGAGCCGGATGCCCTTTGGGAAGGCTGGGCCGATATTACCGACGATGACTTTGATGCTGCGGTGTCAAGAGTTCGCGAAAACGGCTGGCTTGAGGCCGATTGGTACGATGGCATCGCAGACGTCATCAATATGGGCATCCAACATGATGGTAGCGTGGTCGAGAATCAATATGAGGATGGTGAGCTGCCAGTCCAGCAGCAGCGAGCCGATACCATGTTTCAAGAGAAGTATGATTACTTGAGCGAGAGCCGTAGAGCGGAGTACGAGACGTGGAAGGCGGCCATATTAGGGCGCATTTCAGCGCTGTCTGCGTCTATAGAGGCCGGTGGAGGGGATGATACCCAATGAACAGTTCCAAACGGCAACTGGCTATCAATATTAAAATGGCAAGATGATTATATACAGAATTTCCTACCTCGAATTAATGTACATGTACTCTGTAACCAACTGCATTCTGCCCAGACCCTAGGCCAGTTTGCCTGGGACAAAGGGGTGTCCTGCACTTAATCCTCCGTCGACAGCCCAAGCCTGACCATTTATATAGCTGGACTCATCACTGCCCAGGAACAGCACTACGCGGGCAACCTCGTCAGCATGTCCACCCCGCCTCGTCGGGTTCAGCTGGCCAATCTTTCTCTCATTGCCGCGAGCGCGCGCAGCTTCATACACGGGTGCAGTCATGCCCGTCTCAATGATGCCGGGGCAAATGGCATTTATGCGGACGCCAGTGCCCGTAAGCTGGTAGGACATTGTCTGGGCGAGGGAGACAACCGCAGCTTTGGAGGATGAGTAGGGGGTGCTGCCGGCGTTTGAGCGCAGGCCGGCAACAGAGGCGGTGCCGATGATGCTTCCGCTGGGCTTGGGTTTCTGCGGAGATGTCTTTTTCATTGCCGGGGCGGCATATTTGGTTGCGAGGAAAACGCTGTTTAATGAACGTTAGTTTCTGAATGAGGCGTTGATGTGTGGATGTCAAAGAAGTGGTTCTATAAGAGAGAAACAGACCTCAGAGTGTTGACTTTGTGTACGTTCATAAAATCTTCAGCGCTGATATCAGTAAAGACTACGTTGGGGCCTGTAATTCCGGCATTGGCAAAGAAGACATCCAGGCGGCCGTAGCGTTCCATTGCGTCGTCTACAACGGCCTTGACTTTGGCCTCATCCGCGGCATCAAACTGACGCGTCTGAATCTCGACATTAGGATACAGCTGGTTGATTTCCTTCTTGTGAGCCTCAAGATTTGATGCGTCAAAATCGCAAAGGTAGATTGCCCGGGCGCCGCTCTCGGCAAACTGATGAGCTGTAGCCCGGCCAATTCCAAGCGCAGAGTTGGCGCCTGTAATAGAGAGATGTGTGAGAAAAAGCGCTGAGAACCGAGCTTGTCATACACAGCGAGGGGCCACGTACCGGTGATGATGACGACTTTGTCTTGGGCTCGCGGCTTGCTGGATCCGGCCGCAACCTTGGCAATGGGAGGGAGCTGAGAGGACATGGTTGAGTGAGAAGAGGTTGCACAGGATAGTTGTGGCTGCGTGGGATCTTAGCCAGTGCAGTTGAGCGCGTTAGAGTTGTTAAGGGTATGTTAAGATATGGCAAGTATATCTTCAAGATATAGATGGATGAGGGCGGAATCGAGGTTTCAAAAAGAAGGTAGTGTAAGATGATGTATTGAAATTTGTAAACGGCAATTGACAGCGAAACTGCATGGAAGCTGCTCTAAGCTCATTATCCAACTCCGGGGAACAGAGGAGACTCCGCCAAAGTGCCGAGGCACAGCCATTGGGGCGCCGAGGACTTAAGGCTGGCTGAGCGAAGATTCGGTGTGGAGCATGGGGTTCTCCCCGCATGTTTAAACGGTCTACAGGGGGATCAGATCTTGCGATGTTAGTGGAGAGAGAGGCTTCGAAATATCTGTATTGTTTCTGCCAAGATACTAGTAGCACTGAAGTGCATATAGGAATATCTGACGCCTGGATGAGGATACAGTAGCAGAAGCGAGACCTGTATCTTCTGTACAGGTACCAGGTAGTCATGGATCAGCCTCAGGCACCCAGAGGAGGAACCTTTGTAGCAACGCTTTACAACCACCATCATTCGCCTTGTTCCACGCTTTATCTAGACGCGCATGCACTGAGCCAAAAGAAAAAAAAAATGCTCCATATACGAGAGTGCCTACATATCTGAGAAGCATAAGCCTTCCTTCCACCAGCTGCGCCTCCAATTGGCTCCTCGAGGGCCTAATCGTGCATAACAAACGCCAGCGCCGTCTATCTCATTAGATTCACACACAGCTGCACTTATGCAAGGGCTGCTCGTTTTCCAATCACATCTATTTCCTACGAGCTCAGCTGACCAGACTCTTCTAGGATGGGCATCCAGACACTGATCCCGTATTGAGCCTGCGCTAGGGTTTACAGCGCAAGCTAACGTTGTGCTCGTCCTGCAACTACACCTTTGAGAAGCCCGATATCTGCTCCCAAGCCTTTTCACATACTTTGTCACACCGCTGGAGGATTGTGATTGTGTGCCCCGGTGGCGGCTCCATGCATTGGCCTGTGACTTGGTCGCGTAAGCCAAGCTCTGTATACGGACGCCCTGCATCGTTCATTGGGGTCACAGCATGAGAACGCCAGCTCTTCCAGGGTACATCTACGCCCATGTATAGACAGCCCTTTTGATGAAGACGTATTTGACTCGGGCCCCGACAGCATGAGCTAGGGAAAAATCGCTACCGAAGACGTCACATCTCTTCTTCTCTCCTTCTCTTCCTCTTCCGTTTTAGTCGCTATGGTACAACGAATAAAGCTTTTCTTAGCTGCAACCTCGAAAGTTCTACTTTCAGTTACTGGAGAGTAATGAGTGCCAGCTGAGCGAATACGAAAGCTGTCGTGGCTAGCTGAGAGTCTTTTCATTCAGCTTGTTTGCACCATCGTGCAAGTTTCGAGACCCCCATGACGCTATCTCAGCCGCTTGGGCGGCTATACTCCTACACGATCGACTCTGCGTCTCTCCCTCCATTTGCTCTCAGTGGTGCTGGATAAAATAGATTTCTTGATGACGAAAATGGGTTATGGTGGTCGTTCTGCACACGGGTTGGTTTCACCGTTCCTCGCTATCTTTCTTTCCTGATGGTCGGTGATACCTTGACTCTTTTCTTCTCTGCCATTACCCTCATTGCGGCCTTGGCAGCATTCTATTTGCATTATGTCCGAGCCAAGTGGCTTCTATCCTGCTGCCAGGGTGTAGCCGCATATGGAACAACACTTGTCATGCTATTCATTAGTGACTGTGGCGAGATTGGAAGCGAGCGTGCAATGTTGGTTCTTGTTTGCTAGGCTTCGCCTATTCCTGAACCAATACCTGCTTATCGCAAATAATCATCTCACTTGAACTTGGGGCATTACGAGATGCGTGACTAATCTCGTCCTACTTCCTACCACCGACGAATTTCATCTCTTGATCAAGAGGAAGAGGAATAGATGTTGCTCGATTTTTCTTTTTGCTGAGGCCAGGATAAATTGCAATTGCAAGTTCTGAGAGAGGGGCAGAAAAGTCCAACATTGCACCGAACAACATCGGATTCCTTTATAATGACTCTCTCATACACCATTTTGCGGCGAATGAGAGAATGCTGCTGGCTGGTTTGAGAAACCACCTCTGCCAGGCGTCGCCTGATTTGTGAAGCAGCGTCGGCAACTGCAGGACAAACTCGAGCTCAACTAGATTGATGTCGTACAAGCTTGCTGCCAGGCTATTGGGCAGCATTGGTACATGAAAACTTCAGCTCTAGAACAAACTAAAGCGGCTAATCTTTCGAAAAGGGAAGACGCACAGGCTTTTCACAGAGCAAAATAGTCTAGTGTGTTTGCTCTAAGACTATCACGCTGACATTGCTAAGCGATTCGTTTTATGAACAATCAGAAGAATAGGGGGGTTACTGGCCATAGGGCTGTTTGTGCCTTCGAATCTCTGTTTCTTCCATGTAGGTTCCGATCTTCCACGAGGAAGCCATGAGACAACAGGGGTCGAGAAAGCCACTAGGAAGCAATAATCCGTTACCGGGGTCCTTTTTTCCCTACGAGATGGTTCCACACGATACACAAATTCCTGGAAGCGAGCTGATATCGAATAATCTACAACTTGGCCAGCTTGTGGGCCCCTAGGCTGCACTCCCCTCCAACAAGGCCATCCAATATGGTATCTGCATGGCTTCCACTCCAGCATTAGCGCTGTTGCCGTATCCGATGGGCCCCGAAGCCCATGAGCACTATTAGGCCCTTAAACCGCAATAATACCTACGCAGCTTCGCCTCCAGTCCAAAGCTCATACGAGGCCGCCTCTTCGGGAGCGGTACGCCGCAGAGCCGTGTGAGACCCACCTGCATATGATCCCGTCCGGTGCTCGTCCATTTCCGGTTTGAACTCCTCTGTATCCCTTGCCAAAAAGACCATGGACCATCTTAGCACTTGTGTTTCCTTCTCGTACCGAGTTTGGACTTGTCCAGGATATATAGTAGGCGCAGAGCCTCTCGAGGTCATGTATCGCCTTGATACTTTTGCAATTCATGCTTTTGGCTTTACGAGCTGACTGATATAATATTGTATTTCTTCCTATACAATATACGGCATTTGGCTTTTATACGATATCGACTCATGACTTCTCTTTATAATTTGCTTATTAGTCAGTAATTAATTTTACGACTCGACGACAGTATCAACTTCTATGACATTCAGATAGATAAGCACTCAAGAGGTTTGAAGACGAAAACATCATGGACAAAACTGTTCACATTGACGACTCTCATGTCGCTCAAGATGTATTTGGTTGTTCTGCGGAATGCCGAGCTCAGTTTTTGACTGTGCTGGCATCCAGCGACAGGATGCTCAAGACAATAATATGTCAGACGCTCCCAGATGAACACGGAGGCGGAAGAGATGATTTTCATATTCCTTATTATTGCGGCTCACAACCATGCAAGATCAACGGCAAGGACGACGCTGATCAACAATGTGCGTTGAATACGTGAAAGGAATGCTTTTTATCAATTTAACTCTTGTGTTAGTCATCATCAGTCGACTTATCAGCGTTTGTGAAAGGTATTGTACAGTTCTTTTGATGTATGTGGTAAATACACGATTGCTAACGTGGATTGTAGCGATGAACTGTTCAAATTGGCACCGCCAGATCAGGATCACGCCGTCTCAGATGACGAACAGGAACACATTCATCGACCAGAGAAACTTTTCACTGCACCAGCCGTTGCTTTCCCAGCTGCAACTCCGTCAGAATCCGTCAAAGAAGGGTTCCATACGGTCACAATTAAAGACCGCTTCTCTGGTATTCCTTCTGCAGTACCCGATTTGACCGCTTCAGACCTCTCTGCCACTCATTTGGCTACCCCAACAGAGAGCTCAAAGTACCAGCATCAGCAGAGGTCAACCGTCGCAAACCAAGTATCCTCCACCACGAAAGTCACCATCGGAATATCCGTCATGGTTGGGGTTCTTGTCATTATTGGCTTCATCCTGTGGCACCTGAGAATGAACATACGCTTCCGCAACAAAAAACGCATCAGTCGTCCTATGAAATCCAGCAGCCCTCCCGCCTCGCCGCTCATTTCGCCATCGAGCTCGCATACCGCACCGCCAAAGGCCCCATTGACGCCGCCTGCACGACTTCAAGAGCGCCGTTTCTTGCTTCCGCGCGCATTGAGCCTTGGTCGTACCAATCAGCATCGTCAATATCAAGACGTATCCGTACGGGATAAGGCCGGAATGCCGTTGACGCCGCTTTCGCCTCTCTCGGTGTCCAGAGTGAGAAGAAGCCCCGGAGAAGGCGAGCGCCGGGGCATAACGGCAACGACAACGATTTCACTTACTACTTCTCCGACCAGACCGCGTAGGGACGACACTCCGTCAGAATCCAGCATTTCCAGCGTCTTCAGTCATGTTAGCACAGCCAGGGCCACGTCGAATGCATCCACAAGCTCGGCACCAAATAATTATACTAGTGTCACGGCTGCCGAATCTCCAAGGCTGCCGTCGCGTGTATATGAAGTATCGCCAACCGTTGGCCGTTTGGCAAGCCCTGGGCCGCCTCCTACTCGGGCGCTTCCCAGTCTCCCTCTGGATGGCCGAGCTAGTCCCTGGAAGCCGCCTCTGTCACCCACCGGCCTGGCCCGAAGAGGTTCGCCGAGCATCGAGTCTATATCAGAATCATCTATTGGTGTAAGTGAAGGAAATGGAGACTTTCAGAGGCCGCAAGGAGGAAATAGCCAAAGTGGCTCGAGGGGATCGATGGAGGTGCCTTTGAAGTCACCGAGAAGGGTGAGGCATGTGAGGAGCCCGTTGTTGAATGAGGTGCGTCTAGATAAAGTGGCGTGTATCTACTCGGAAGCTAGGATGTGTTAGGGGAAAAGGAGAAAAACATGTACGATCTATCAAAGCCGTGGAGCTGTCCGAGGCGAGCGGTCACCCACTTTTCCCCGTGGCGAACAGGATGTCTAACCACGAGATTGCAAAGATCATCCATGAAAACATAAGCATAGAGATATACGTTGGGTGGATTTAGGAGAAGGACTAATGAAACAGGTAAGTCGACTTATACAGCGAGCTTTGAGATAGACAGATATAACCCTTTCGATTTATAGCTTAACCATAATGCTCCATGTCCTAGCTTGTGTCTTTTTTTTTTCCCACGTTTGTAAAATCTAAATACCCTTGTCCTTCAATGAGTTGACAGTGTCAATCATGCTCTGCTCGATAGGGATCCAGTCAATCTTGAGCAGCTTGTTGGTCTCGTCGCAGTTCCACTTATACGCCTTGTTCTCATCAACGTGCTCGCCGCCCTTGACCTCCGGGCCAGGCAGCCGCTCCGCAAACTCAGGGAAGTTGTCACGGATGATCTTTGCAATCTCGTGGTTAGACGTCCTGCTCGCCACGGGGAACAGGCGGTGGCCGCTCGCCTCGGGCAGCTCCAGGGCCTTGATGTGCGCCTTGGCGGTGTCGCGCACGTCAATGTACAGGTCGACGGCCCCCGTCTCGGGGATCTCGGCCTTCCACTTGCCGCGCAGCAGGTCTGCGATGCGCTCGTTGGAGGCGTTGATGGCGTCGACGGACGCGAGGCTGTGCGCCACGGGGCCGAGGACCAGCGGCGGGTTGACCGTGACGAGGTCGAAGTTTGGCTTCTCGTTCTTGATAAAGTCCCATGCCAGGCGCTCGGACTCGACCTTGGAGACGTGGTAGCCGGTGGCGATGGAGCGGTTGGCGTCCTTGACCGTGTCTGGGTTCCAAGAGGACTCTGAAAAGGTGGCATTGGGATTCGTGAAGTCGTCCTCGGACAGGATGGCCGCAAAGGAGGATGTGATGACGACGCGCTTGACCTTTGGCGCAGACCGCTTGACGGCCTCGAGGATGCCCCGCGTGCCGTTGAGCGCAGGCGTGATGATTTCCTTTTGGGCGTCTGTGAAGGTGAAGAAGAGGGGGCTGGCCGTGTGAACCACGTACTCGAGATCGCCGTCGGGGCCCGAGGCGATCTTGGCGACGAGGTCGTCAAAGGCGCTGAGGACGGCAATGTCCGGGACGATGGCGACGGACAGGCGGCCGCTCTTGACGAGGTCTGCGTGGGCTTCCTTGATGAGATCGGCTTTGCTCTTTGTGCGGACGGTGGTGATGACTGTGTAGTTTTTGGCGAGGAGTTGTTCGAGGATGTGGGCTGTTTTTGATGAATCTGTCAGTTCTCCCTCTTCTTCTGATTCATTCTAAACTAAGGGTGTTTGGGACTGAGATAGTTTGAAGAAAATTGTATCAACGGAATAAACATACCGGCGATGAAGCCAGAACCACCTGTCTTCACGTGTTAGCAAAGTTGCGCTTATACACTCACACTCGCACGGATTATAAGGGATACGCAGCAACTACATACCTGTGAGAAGAACCTTGGTCATTTTGGATATGCCTTTTTCTTAATTAGAATTCAGTGTCTGTATAGTTGAGACTTTTTCAGAAGATGGAGAGCGCGAAAAAATTGTTGAGAAGTCGTCGAATATATATATCAAAGAATCTTCATCAAAAAGGCATGCTTCGCACTTATAAAAACCCCAGCGGGGAAGAAACGCCCGGTATAAAACAAAAAGCCACCAACATTTCCCTCTACCGCTCCAACATCTATCGGAATTGTTAGAAACAAACACTCCTGATTTCAAATCACATCTTTCAATTGTTTTGTCAAACAGTTTCGCGTCAAGTCTCGTCATGTCGCATCATCGCGGGGTGGAAAGACTTCCAACCAACGAGGTCTCAGAGCTACACATATTTCCGACTTTACGTAGTCACACACACAGGCGGCCAACAAGCACCACCTCCGACTGAATCTACAACCCAAAAGCGTATAAGAGAAAGCTGCACAGGCCAGGATCCCCAGCAGCGTCTCCGAGCCGTGCGGGCTGGGGAGCCACTTTGGGTGCGACGGTGCTCCGTAGGATGGAGGGCCAAAAGTTCACATAATCCCGTGGACTAGGCAGAAAAATTATATCCGGCATCTATCCGGGCGTCGGGGCTGGAATAAAAGTGACAAAGATGAATGGTTACTATTGCTTGGTATCAATAATAGTATGGAGCAGTAAAAGTAACGCTTCGGACGCATCTTGAAGGAGTAGAGCGATCTCACCTTTAACCAGGATTATCCTTTAACCAAGATTAAGAACGTCCTTATCCCCGGCGGCAATGCTCCGTACCTATATGCAAGTAAATAGTAATAGATGAAAGGATTGCCTTATGCAGGTACAATCTTGTGAAATCCAAATCTCATCAATTTTTCATCGATTTTTCATCTACGTGCGTGCCCTCACTGGGCTTCAAGCTTCAAGCTGCATGCTTCACAGATGGAATAGATTGAAAAGAGAAACATCGTTTTCCGAGGTATATAGAAAGCCCGGCGGTGATCAAATGTACAAGATAGGATTTTTGTAATACAATACAGTAGCATTTCGTCATCAAGAAATACCCTCCTCCACCCTCCAAGAGCCAATTTTTGGTTTAAATGTGTTCATTTCAGGCCACGCCTCGCTGCTCAACACACACTCTCTCTCTTTAGCCATACGTTTCCCGGTTAGACGTAGCTCTTTTCTTCCCTCCAAACACATACCATGGTAGGAAATAGACGGGTACAAAGCCACCCAAGCCGCTGGGACCGGTTCTGCTTTGATCTGCTTTTTCAGTAATTCCAAGGAGGAAAATTATTCCGATTGAGGAAATAAAAAAAAATTAAACGTAATAAATCGCTTCGGCTTGCTCGATAGCCAAAATCCCTTTGGCCACTGCGAAATGAAGAGCTCCATGTACATAACACAAGGAGTGTGGTTTTCCCACTTTCCCAGCTCGATATCTATCACTTCATCGCATACCATATTGTGCTCCGCTATGCCAAATGATGCCTCCACAACCCGGCCATAATCTTCACTTTGGCATCATCAATGCCACCTTACTTCTTATGTAGCAGATGACTTGGCAGAAGCTGGAGGAGCTGGTGTAATGGGTGGGTGAGGTTGAGGAACACCCAGGCCAGGAGGCCGAGGTATGTCGTCAGGAATTGGTAGAGTCAGGGGCCCCTTGGGCACAATTGTTCGGTCAGGTAGCTTCTCTCCTCGGATCACCTTCTCTACTTCATCTTTGTCCAGCGTTTCGTACTGAACAAGTGCCTGCGCCAGCAGATCAAGCTCTTTTCGCTTCTCCGTCAATAGCTTTCTCACATCTTCGTATGATTTCCTGAGCGACCTTTGGACTTCGCCTTCAATCAAAGCCTTGGTCTCGGAGCTGAGATTCTCATATCGTCTGCCATATTCAACAGGCCCCAGAGCGCTGGACATGCCAAAGTTTGTGACCATCATGAAACTCAAATCAGTAGCCCTCTCCAGATCCTATCGCAGTGATTAGCACGCATATTTGTCAAGGCAGTAGGGAAAAGCTAAGCTTACGTTGGAAACACCTGAAGTGACTTTGTCATCACCGTATCGCATTTCTTCTGCCATCTTGCCTCCGAGGAGCACGCGGATGTTGGACATGTATTCGGCCGCAGTGTAAGAGTACTTATCCATGGCGGGAACATGGGCAGTATGGCCTAGGGACGGACCCTTGGGAAGAATCGTAACCTTGTAGAGTCTGTTGGAGCTTTCCTTTTCGAATAGTTGGACAAGAGCGTGGCCGGCCTCGTGGTATGCCGTCATTTCCTTTTCTTTCTCCGTCACAACCATTGACTTTCTCTCTGCCCCCATGGTGATCCGGTCAAATGCCCAGTCAATGTCGTTCTTAGAAATCTCGCGAGCCTTTGCCCTGCTAGCGCGTAGCGCCGCGACGTTGAGCATGTTCTCAAGATCAGCACCAGATTGTCCAGGAGCGCGTGCAGCAATGGCTTCAAGGTCCACGTCGGGTGACAGCCTAATCTTCTTGGCATGGTGCTTCAAAATGGCGATGCGGCCGCGAACGTCCGGCAAATCCACGTTGATGTGTCGATCGAATCTTCCAGGTCGAGTAAGAGCCTTGTCAAGAAGCTTGGGCAAGTTGGTAGCTGCCATGATGATAATCTTTGTATCCGTGTCGAATCCATCAAGTTCTGTGAGCAATTGATTCAAGGTCTGCTTGGAATGAGCTTGATCCCTTGGGTTACGCTTTCCGCCAATCGCATCCAGTTCGTCAATGAAGATGATAGCAGGAGACTTGGCCTTGGCCGCAGCAAACAGTTCCCGAACGCGTTTGGCTCCAACACCGACAAAGATTTCATCAAATTCACTGCCGGACATGTAAAAGAAAGGAACGCCAGCTTCTCCGGCAACAGCACGAGCGAGAAGCGTCTTTCCAGTACCGGGGGGACCAACCAGCAAAACACCTTTGGGCAGCTTAGCACCGAGGTCGGAGAAACTTTCGGGGTTGCGGAGGAATTCGACAACCTCCTGTAGCTCTTCTTTGGCCTCGTCGCATCCGTGGACATCGTCAAATCGAGTTGTCTGTTTTTCAGCCTTGACCTCAGAGTCGGCCTTGGCACCAGGGCCACGTCTAAAGGTGCTCAGCGTCTCAATCAGGATTGTCACGGCTGCAAAGCACAGATAGGTGAATACGATGAAGGTAGCGAAAAACTTGACCCAGCGAAAGACAAGCGACCGAGTAGATTCTTGGACGACAACATGGATAGGCTCTCCCTTGACGCCCATTGAGCCACTGAGAGCGGCATTGGCGATGGCCTGTTCGTTTCCTGCCCATTGTCCACGTGCAAACCCAGGTGACGCTGTAGCCGTAGCCACGGTGCTCGTACCGCTGTTAAGAGCAGCCAGTGCCCTTTTATAAGCGTCGTCAGTGCCTGCATTCGTCGCAAAACGGCCAGTTTGATATCTTTCCACCAAGATGCCGGGCATGTTTGCTCTCAGAAGAAGCTGGTAGAAGGCGTTTTGAAGATTTGCGTTTCCGGGGTTCCTGTTTGCTGATTCTTCGACAGAAGCCAATTGACTGCGAGAAATTCCATTTGCTGTTCCAAAGCCTCTGTGCTGCATACCGAGTGTTCCGGAGAGAACCCGGGTCGTGGACATTGCGCGTAGCGGGGTCGAGACGGCGGGGGCAGATCGCATGAACAGATTGACCAGAGGAGGCGAGACGGTGTTGATGGGCTGGAAGAAGGGTCGTCGAAGGATTGGATTCGCTGCGAGCAAACCAACCCGACCCAGTCCAGAGACGGATGCGCGAATGTCGGTTGGCGCCATCACGCTGGGTGTGGCAGCCTTAAGAACGGACGCAGGTGCTTGTTGGAGGAAGTCGGGCAACTGGATCCGCGTCGACTAGATACGTACATAATCAAAGTTAGATCTATGAGTGCGTACAGACGATTCGCAAGAGGTTATTCCCACCTTCTCAGCAGAGGACTCTGATCGCGCAGTCTCGGCTGTACCAGTCGCATCGATTTGCTGGCGGGGCACGGCCGAAGGTCGCCAGGGCCTCGCGAGAGTGCTGGTTATCGAAGGCAAAGTGTCCGCTGCGGCTGCTGCCATTGACTGTTCATCGATCTGTCAGCATCTGGCTTCGGATTTCGGAGTTCAGGGGCGCTCAGTTCGGGATGGATGGCGAGAGGCGAGAGGCGAGAGGGCAAGTACTTACAGGCAGCAGACCACCGTGGAACGCCATCGTCACGAATGACGTCGCCTATATCAAGGCGAGAGTTGAATGGTGAATGTCAAGCCCAGCGATAGTCAGGATGAAAGAAACCTAGAGACAGAGAGACAAGTGACAGCCAATGCCGTCCTATCGTATGACGTGGTGTAGCAGCCTGTCCGGCCGGGACCTGGCGCTATCGAGAGGCCCGCCTACTCCAGCAAAGCCGAAGGAGACTGAGGCTGAAATAGTGGCCCTTTCCAATCGTTGAGAAAGGGGACGTGGTAGTTGATCGTGGATGAAGGGATTTTCGGATACAAGAATCTACCCCCAAGTCCTCATCGTGCCGCCTGGACTCGCGTTTGAGAATGGAAGAGAACTTGCCACTCAATCGGCCCCAGCGCACTCGGCGACGATCGGTTGACCAGCTTTTCCGAGCCTTCACCGCGCCTTAGTCAGCGCCCTCAAGGGACCTTGTGACGTGTCACATGACAGAAGCTCATAGAAAGCCGACTTGTCGTTCTGTTTTAGGAAATTCTTAGCTCCAGCATTGATCTGGCGCTTTATTATGGTTCTGTATTTGACAGCTGCGAAATGAATGACTTGATGGAAAGCACGCTGGGAGGTGAAATCAAATACAGATAAGTTTCATTTCGTTCATATAAAGCTATAACTCATACATAAGATCCCCTCGAATAGAATTACCAATACGTGCGTATATATACATGTTCTTGTAACAGGGCTGCTACCGCCTAGTAGAACATTGAAGTTTGTGATTGTACAGGGTGCCGTTTGAGAGGCCCAATGAAAACATACACATTCATGCCATTCCCTCTGGACTCCTAATGTTTCCGAAAGTTGCCCATTTTTTTTTTTCTTTTTGGGGGGTCTTTTTCTACTTATTTTTTTGTTCAAGTAGCTTGAGACTGTGTACAGTCCCAGAAGGCGACAAACCGCTCAGATGAAAAGAGTTTCGAATCCAAACCACGGCTCGGACTTGATTAGCGCAGGCGAAGTATAATCTTCTATTGTATGATTTGAAATCTGATGTGCTGCGATTGACATTTGATGTTGCGACTGTTGTGCCTGTTGAGGATATACCATTGCTCGTTCAAGTTGCTCCATTGAAGATGTGTTAAAATTGTTTAACAGAGGATAGTCATGGCTTATTTCATCATATGGCGGCATGACAAAATGGAATAGTGGATTTCCTTGTAGGGTTGTCGCTCCCCTATTTGAAGTGCTGGCGAAGCTTAGAGATGAGCCCGTCATGTTAATCGTAGGTTGGCGCACTTGCTCAGTCAAGCAATGATATTCAGCAGTCAATAATCCATTGTTGTCGAACAACTTGTCCATGTCATAGCCATATTCTTGCTCATCCATCGGATCCACAGACGGCGAGTATGCAGTTGCCCTTCCCTGGAATATCGAGACTTGTGGAATCGAATTGTCCTGGAGAGGCTTGGGTGTATCTGGCTGAGCAGTTGTAGATGGCGACCGGCTTGACTCTGAATCAGAGATGCTTTCTCCTCTTGGAGCATGGAAAAAATTACGCTGTTGAAGTTGGTTTTCTTGCTTGACCAAGAATTTCCTACGGCAGAGGCTAAATGGAGTCAGCTATGCATCCGCTTTTAAGAGTAAGATGAGAGAGAAGAGACTTACCCCTTGGGACACTCTATATGCCCACATCTACGAGGGCGTTTTCTGGCATGTACATGACGATGCCTGGAAAGGCTCGAAGACTGATCTTGCTATGAGTTTCTGGATCCGTCAAATGGCTTGTGGTTGCATGAAACATACATCAGAGAATCTTTTGATGCAGCCAAGGTATTGGCACTCGTGCGGCTTCTCGCCGGTATGCGTCCGGGTGTGGACAACGAGAGCACTGCGCTGAATAAACCGCTTTTCACAGCCAGGCGCCGTGCAAGGGTGTGGTCGATCATCCGTGTGGATTTTATAGTGTCTCGTCAAATCCGATCTTCGCTTGAAGGCCTACAAGTAAATTAGTACCCAGGTAAAACAATTGGGCTCGCGCAGTGAGTTGTTCCTCTTACCTTGGTACAGGACTCCCATTTGCAGCGAAATGGTCGCAAGTCAGGCTCGCACAATAATCTCTGAGAGATCATTGTGACATACGACTGTATCAGAGAAGTGTGTTTGGTCTGTCTGAGTGCTTCTGGCGGCAGTGATTCAGCCAATTGGGGCTGTGTGGAACGAAAGATGGCAGATGAGGTTGGATTCAATACCCAGAGGCATAAATGGATGCAATGATTGTGACAAAAGAAGGTAAGATTGGTTTGTGGAATGGGATACCAGGTAGGTATATATGTACGTATGCTATTCTTAGACGAGCCAGGGATGGAGCCAACTTGTTCAGCCGGAGCTCGAAAATGATTAAATATCTGGGGCACACGATGCCAGTATGTTCCACGCAGTACAATTGCGGATCCTAAACTGTGCCAGCCAGATTTGAGTGACCTATTAGGCGGCCAGGAACGAGTCGGAAGAACCGTGCAGATATTGGTCCACTGGCTCCCGCGGAACTGGCAGAGAAGTTCCGGAACTAGCAAAGGGTGATAATGAAAGTAGTTGCAGAGGCGTTGTGTAACGAAGGTAGTCAAGAGGGGAGTGCAATAGTTGGCCTTGATAATGACCTTAGTGATGTGAGCTAGCGGAGAGAGAAATTCGATAGGCCAGTCGAGTATAAGTCACTCCGGAGTGCTGGACACGGGTCGGCTGCGATGATAGGCTAAGAGTGGTCACTTTAGGTTTAGGCAAAGTAATAGGTGCCAAACTCAGAGACTGAGTAAAAAGGAGGGAGGGGAAATGTGAAGAGAGAACGTAGCAGAGAAGAAAAAAGAAGTAGAAGGAGTGGGGGTTGTTTCTTCGTTTTCTTCTAGAGTTCTTCCCACAGCTTCTGAATGATAGACAGGTCCTGGGAATGGGCCGTGGTGGTTGCAAGCTGAACGGGTGAAGAAAGAAGCGATGCCATATATATAGGTGACATGTAAGTGCGTGTTGCTCTCTTTGTGACAAGTAAATAAATATAGAACTGTGATATAATCGCCGATATGATACACTGAGCGAGGCAGGGGTTCGGCGAGCGCGAAATAGCTATCGTGGGAGAACCGGTAGCCGTCGTCTCTCTGGGAAGCCGAGCTAAGCAAAATAGCCATTCTTGGTCACAACCGTGCAGAAGTACATTGGACGATTTTGACAAAAACGTGTATAGTGTATAGCAGGGGCAACAGTGGGAGGGCAGATCAAAAGCTAGACCCCCCCTCCCTCTTTCTTTCTCTCAATCGTCCTATTTTGGCATATGAGAAGGCACACTATCTAGTCATTTCAGGTTAGCTATTATACGACTGCTATTGCATTGGTTTGGACCCAGCAGACAAAGCCAAGTCTCGCTTGATTGAGTTAGTATAAACATACAGATAAGCTCTTTGTTGCAGATAATCCTTGGAGGGTCTCGTGAGTGTTTCATCATGAGGCACAGGGAATACGCAAGGTCAAACAAAGGAGGGGAGCAAAACTCAAGACAGAGCTCACTAGCCTCTCTCTAGATAGCTCCAATGCGTCCAAGTTAGATCTCGAACCTGACCTCAGAAATGGAAGACAGCCATACGGACCTCTCCGGGAACTTGATTGACACCAGGACAAGGACAAGGGCGTGGCTCTGATACCACTAGTAGTGTATTGGCTAGCGGATGTTCCGGGGTGGAGGCTGGAGGAGTGAGTGGTTTTAGATACACGAGGTGAATGTATACTCGTACAGAGTAGATCGTGTAGTGCTATGCCTTGGAAGCTTAGATTGTATGCTTGAAACCTACCTATTATCTATCAAGTACATCATAATTTGCATGTACCCCATACTTAGTACCTAATACTTCGTACCTGCAAGCTTGCAGACGCCCACACTCCGAGGCTTGTTAGTTCTCAGTTAGGAGGGAAGGATCGTCAGAGAACACAGAGTGGATAATAACACAAAAGAGAGTGAGAGAGAGAGTAAAACAAGGCACAAGTACATTAAGAGGGAAAAAAGAACCAAGAAGTAGTAGTAGAAGTGGAGAATCCTTGGAAGCATGTGTTATTGAGTGAATGGTAGGCTGTGCTTACTTGCCGTAGTATAGGGAATAGTTATAGTACCACTGCAAAAAATTATCACAATTGAGCTTACCTCTGGGTTGTACTGCTTTCTTGAAAAGTCATGGCGGCGGGCGTAACCTCTGAACCCTGCCATAGCTGTGCGTTTATACAGCATATGCCATGCACTTAGCACGAGGAAACATGCCAACGAGATGGATCCTGCCTGTGCGTCGCCATTTTGCGGAGAGCCTTGGTCCGATGTTCATTTTGACAAACCCCATAGACTAACCCATAGTCCAGAGCCGCAGGCGGGTGAAACAACGGCCATGAGATGGATGGGGTTGTCGGATGGACGTGCGTCGGATCTGCCGCTAAACTTTAGTCAGGGCTCACCAAGATGGTCTTCTCCACCCAGACCAGCCAGACTGGGATGCCTGCGTGGAAGAGTGTGTGTGATGCAGCTCATAATGTTTCCCCAGCTAAGGGAGGATTTGATTTCCGGCAGCCAGTGCACCTACATGAAGTTTGATTAGCGGGCACTCGGTATGCGGCTTGTACGTAACGATGTGGTTCTGGGCTCAGCTCAGTAAGTGTTTGCATCACCTATACCTTGTCTGTAGCATCAGCAAATATTGATTGCTGCTTTGGTGGGTATTACGTGAGGCTGCATCGATTCATTTAGATACGGTTCTGGAGCATACTTATCTAGGTAGCTGGATCCCATGAGGAGCAAACTAGGGCCCCTCAGGCGGCGGCCAAGGTGCACGGATTAATAGGCGCATGTAGGTGAGTGATGGTATCCTTGCAATATCAGATGCCGCCTCACTTGTATCCATTAGTAGGTACTCCATATCGAATCACACTTTTGCCATTGGCTTTGCGTTGGTGTATTTCACTAGGGGCCTATATCACACGCTGGATCATGCCTGGCCTGATTCTGAGCTAGTTCCTAGGTATCAATTAGTATAATTCAAGCCCAGTGGATACTCCCACATACCAAAGCTATAGCTTTTTGATGCGAGTACTTCATACCTTGGTGCTCCCAGCAGCAGCGAGTGAGGAGACAGAGGTGGAGACGGCGACGTGCAGATACTGAGGGGGCCAAAGAACCAGAAACTCCACCGCGGCTGCTGCGCAAGGTGGCCGGCCGTTGGGTCGAGTTGACTTTAATTGTGTGTTGTATATTCTCGTATATTCTCGCTTTGCTCCTGCAGACGCATCCATCGCACGGAGCGGCTCGTACGTGTTCCTAGAGATATTATCAGTACCTCTTAATACCTATATACATACATTAGATTGAGGCGATGTGCATCTTATTGACTCTTGCTTGGACAAGGTCAGGTTGGTTGCACAAGTTCGGCTGGCTGCCGGCTGATGTAGGTGCTCTTGATAAATCGATGGTCCCAAACTCCAGCTACACCACGGCATCTGGTATTCTTCCCGTTAACCTGCTTGTTTGATCCTTTGCTTGTTTGTTTCATGGGGCTAAAACGTTGAGAGCGGAAATCACGATGGAAGTATACAGCTTGCACTTGAGCCAAAGATGGCGTGCTATTGCAGCAGAAGAGGATTCCCACGTGGTCGCCTGAGGAGGTATCTATCCCGTGTGAGATACTGCCGGTCATGGTAGCCACGTTATTGACAACTGCCCACGCCAGGTACCTCTGTCGAGGGTTGCATTCAAGTACTAGTACCTACATCAGGCATGCCGCGCGGGAAATGGCTTTTCCGACCCAGCCCACAGATTGTCTCTTGTGAAGTTCGTAGGGCATAACATGCGTCTTCCTGCATCTCATTTACTCCTTGGCACTGTCAGTCCAGTATACGAATACACTCGCAGAGCCAAGCAGCATAGGCAAAGCAGCCATAGGCGTCACTCGCATCGACGTTTAGGAATCATGCTCATGAAAATAGATCGGACGACGTTTGGGCGGTAGCATCGCCAGGAACTCCGCCCAGCTATGGAGGAGAAGGATCTGCATCCTTTTTTGCTCCCTTGGTTATTTGGTGATAGGGATTTACGGGACAGTACCTACGTCAAGGGCCTTGCCAAGCTGCGCTAGAATATGCGCCCAGATTCTATTCTTGATGAACCGGTTTATCAAACCAACCTTGCTTTGCTTGCGGGTGCTGCAGCGTCAGCGGCCTGGACAGAGACCCCCTAACCAAGGCCAAATGCCTGCAAAGCAACCCTGACGCTCTCTATTCCCGGCGGCTGGATCACCGAAGCCCCCATCTCTGTACATACATCAACCCGCATGCGTGTCTTACCACCCATCCGACGCCGGGTTGTGCCAGTCGCAGCGTTGCAGTAGCACATTTAAGACGAGACCGCTTGGAGCCGCTCCTATTGATTCGAGCTCGAGAGGGGGTTGGGAGAGTCCTCGGTACGTCAAACTAGTGGATGGAGCGTCAAGATCCATGCCTATAATTGTTCTAATATTGCATTAGTAGATCATGGAATCGACCAGGGTTCATTACCTCGACTCCATCACCCCCAGCCAAGTGACCCAGCGGGCATTCTCCTCGCCACCTCGCCATATGGTGCACTCGGCTACACAGTGTTAATAACAGATGACGGTTTCAAGTGTATACCGAGTGAAACATCAAAAACGGCCTCGCAGCTTTATTTCCCAGACTGACCAAATGAATACGCCTTAGGCTTTGTTTAATATCGCTCGTATATTACCTTTCCTTAACTTTTACCTGTCGATACACAATTACTCTACCGACACGAGTGATGAATCACCAAATCGTTGTTATACATACGCAGGCAGTCAACCAAACGGAGTACATGAGTATTCTCCGCTGCCCACTCGAAAGCATGTTGGGGCCTGGCTCGGACGGCAATCATGCTCCAAGGATGGCTGAGTATCAGGACTAATGTTTCACCCGACTCCCACCTATGCAAAGCACCGGCACGAAACAAAATGACAAATAGAGACAGTACGTCTCGCCCCAGGTTCAAGGATTACTAGTCCAAGAATTACTTGCGCTAGCTATTCATCTATTAACCGAACCGCTGCTATCCACGTGGTGGGATCTTAACGCGGCCTTGAGCCGATCAAAAGAATCACTAGCGAGCGTTTCAGGAACAGTAAATCCCGTGCGGATGCCGACTAAAGTGGTGGTCAGCATCACCACTGCCGTCCTGCCTAATATATCGCATGCGGCTTACACGCTCTTTAGCGCAATCGACGCCAGGAGCAAAAGGGAGCAGTGATATACTCCAAAGTACCACCAGGATGGCTAGTTGGCTGGGGCAGTTTTTCGACATGCCTTTTTGAGAAGCAAAGGCTAGCTTAGATTAGACATCCATGAGGCAGTGATCGTACTCTCAGACTCTGTCTTGCATTTCTGCCCGGCCTTCCAGTTCCTCCACATGTTTGTCTCTGGACCGGAATGCCATATGCGGCTACTTTCACTAAGCTCCGCATTTTAGACTGCCAGTGTGGTCATGGCTGCGGAAACATGCCGACGATGATTGCCAGTTGATGATCTCTAATCATTGGCACTCTTAGCTACTGTCACTTTAAGGCCGCAGCTAGTATTCCACTCTCTGTCGATCTGAAACGCGCAAATCGTGTTGCATAATTACCCGTTTAACTTATATTCTAATCAAAATACGCACATGATGCCGAGAGTACGGAGGAGGCTCATTATCATGGCTGCAGAGAAAGAACTTCAATTGCCGAGGCACCTGAAACCGGACAGACACCTTTGGGCTCATATGCTTCAACGTAGTTTTAGAGATGAAACCAACCTCTTAACAAGTATCAAGAAGGGGAGAAGCCGACTTGTCATTCTCCAGGGGCTATACACAGCCACGAATTGGAATATGAGGTTCCTATTTACGCTGTCTCAGGTCATACAAACTATTCTCCTCCGCATATGCAGTGCAAGTGATGCCTGCATGCTACCAGGTATGTGTACCATTAGACCTAGTACTGTTTACAACTAACCAAAACCAAATCTGTCGACGCAGACATTAAGTACACAAAGAGTTGAATTGTCATACCGAGGGGCAAAATGCAGCGTTACGCTGTAGAGTCCTCACATCGAATTGCTAAAGGCCAAACGAGATCTTGTCGTCGCAGTGGATCTAGTGGTTACTTCAGCTGCAATCAGCAAAAGAGGCAGTCAACCCCGAAGTACGTTTCCATACCCCTATCTAGTGCCATCAGCAATACAAGACAAATAACGCCACAGTTTAGGCGTTTCATTCCATACTTGGAACGAAGAATGGAAGCTTCTATCTCCGCTACGCCGAGCCTAACGCTTCTCTCTTCTGGCAGTTCATTTGTTTACGTGTTTTCAACACTAAACAAAGAGTAGTCGCCGTATGTTGAGGAATTTTTGAGCTATCTATGTGAGCTGAAGTACAGTGGCTAATGACCGTGCTCAGTGGGCTATCACATTTACTATGCAGCATTGTATGCATGTGAGCACACTTAGACTACTCCTGTCTGCTCCAATCGGAGAACTGCAATGGAGGTCCAAGAACCCGGTATACGTCATGCAATTGGCATTGAGAAGCACTCTCGTGGAACCCCCCCTGCTTCTGGTGCCCTTTGTCTCCAAGTCGTCATTGCAGCAGTCTCCACTCGGTGAAGCTCGTCTGCAAGGGCTACGAGCTGAAATCTTGGTTGAGAATGGCTGGATTGGATATCATCAAATCTGGCAGCCATGGTTGGGGAACCGGAACACCAAAGCCCCGATCCATCGCGCTATAACCACGTATGCAGTGTTACAAGGGGTGGCAGCTCCGACACGGTCATCCCAGCCTGCTAAAACAAATCTGCGAACTGAAACAGATAACCCAGCCAGCATACTCTTGCCACCGCGGAGAGCCGCTTGATACTGTGGACTCCGTACTTCAAACTATGGGCGACAATGTACCACGTTGTAAGCTCATGGCAATTCCGAATCGGCACTCTATGAAACGAAATGGCATCATTAAAGCGCCCATTTTGGTCTACTAACATAATGAAGCGTCGCACATACTTTGACAGGTATCATTAAAGCGCCTTCCAGATAGGCTCAATACTCCTTTGGTGCGCATGCAGCAGCCAAAAGCGTACTCGTGCGACCACCAAGTACCTCTTGTACGAGGATGCAACACCATTTCGGTGAGACCGCTAACGCAGCTTGCTCTCTATGTGCATATCGGCACGCCTCCGTTGATGTTGTTCCTTTACAGCCATGTTTGGGTTTACTGAACTCCGGCCAAAAGAGCCTGAATTATGCACCACGTGGACTACTGTTTCTCGTTTATTGGCCAGTGAGAAACTCGATGGATAATAGCGTGTACGCAGAAAAAAGAAAGCCCAGAAAAACTGAAGAAAGAAAGAAAGAAAAAAAGAAAGCTCAGAGAGATGTTACAATTCCATCAAGCCGTTGTAAGTTGAAGTGGCTTGCGGACCCATGCGGTCGGAGATATCCGTTGTCCCCGCCTCGGTAAGTTTAGATCCCGGGATCTACCCGCCCCTAGAAGCTTTTTCTTTTTGAGTTGATTCTGCTGACGCTACGTATCTGTATACGCCATATAGTTACTCGCAGCTATTGGCAGCCCGAGGAGTGAGCCGCGTCTCCGATTGTATAAAGAAGTCCATGATACCGGAGAGATGACCGGCCGGTATTCTGAGATGGAGGCGTCACTCGTTGTACTAAAACGCCATCTCGGACCCGCACAGTTGTATCCGTTTGCTTGAGGCGGCATCTCGTCCGTCAACTCGACAGGGGACCCTCGTTAGTCAAACAGAGAACGTACAGGTACAGAGTTCTTGGGCGACCTACAGCTGGGCGACGTGGCCGGCGTCGTGACCGACATCCTACCTGTCGACTGACTCTTGGCAATTGTGCTTTTTGGTGGAATCCTAGAAATGGATGGAAGAGTAGCGAAGACGGGAGTGTCAGAACTGGGCTGCAGCGGAACAGTGCTCATGTACCAATGACAGTAGCCACTACGGCATGGCTTAACTGCGCCAGACAACGAGGAGGGCTGTATATTGGCTCACGCGTTCCGATTTTGCATTGTTAACCGCCCCTAGAGCGTGGGGGCTGGCGTTTTCTCGAAACCGGTGAGCAGCTGAAATGTAGGTTATCAAACTAAATCCAGCTAGTGAAGTATTAACTTGCCCAGCCTATTCTTTTCAAGTCTCCAGGTTTAATAGGCTGCATCATATCGCCCTTCTTGTCTAGGCCTTACAGGAGGACGCCACTGTGGATGCTTCAGCCAGCCCTCTCTGCTATACCCTGGTAAGCCACTCCATTATACGTGATAGTATGCAGTAGTGATCCGTACCAATTACGACGATTGTGAGGGTTAAAAAGGGGGTATGTACTTGGAGTCTGCCTTCTCCCGTTGGACAGTACCTTAGTAGCTAGACCTGTACTAGACTTGATGTACTATATACGTTCTGCTTTCCGCACGCCCCAAAATTCATTGAGGGTCGGAAGCTAGCATGTTGCCATCTCTATTGATGCTCTTCTACCCTAGATATAGATTTTTGTAACACTTGCTGCTAAGCCGAGTGCCTCAGTTATTGCAACTCATGCTTCTGCTGGATTATATGGCATTGCGGTTCCGAGGGCGCTATTTGATGAGAGCTTGTTACGTAAAGCCTCCCGTCTTCACGCGTTGCTTGTACTTATACTAGTAGTTGAATAGTAACGAGAAATGGATAATAAAGTTCCTTGCATTCCAGCTGTCACTACCACTCAGTATACAAGTTAAAGCTGCCGTAAACGGCACAAGAGTCGAAGCGCAAAATTAAATGAAACTGTTCTTCTTCGATAACAATGCCTCTTTTGGGGCATTCAAATGCATCTGTCTCTACTGCCACACATCTATATCATGCAAACCATGCCATCTCTCGAAAAATATTCAAGTAGAGATCATAAGGGGGGACCAAACAAATAAACCCTCTGTGTTCTAACGCAATGCAAAGTAAATAGGAGAGAGGCCGTTGCAGGCTCTCCCAGCAAAAGAATTGTTGAAAATGCCACAATAAAGGTAATCACGTAGGTAAAGCAACACCTCTCTCAACTCGTCGTTTTTTTTTTTCCTTTTTCCCACCTGATTTTATTTAACCAGATACTGCCGTGCTCGCCGCAAGGCTGAAATTCTGCAATTGTTCCGAAAGGGGCTGCACAACAGCATCTGCTTCCTCAATAGTTGGAGTTCCGTTCTTTGACTGCTCCGCAGCGGATTCAGCACTCGTAAGGCCCTTACGAATGGCCAAAACGCTGTCTACAATGACGGCATCAATGCCTTCTTTAACTTGGCGCTGTATTGCTGTTAGTCTTTGATGATCAAAAAAAGAAAGCAACAGTTATCTGAAACATACCTGAACCATTATCGAATCATTATTGAGCGTGCCATAACTGACACATACCAGTCCGTTCTCCTTGACAACTCTCACCAACCGAGGGCTGTTGATCAGGGGTTCGGCTGCAGAAACAATGCCAAGAAGGTTCCAGCGGCTAGCGAAGCGAATGGCCTCCTGTAAAGATGACGCTCGAACATCTCCCACGGGAGAAACGCCCGCGTCTGTGAGGAACAGAATCGGAATAGAGGGCTGCTTGAAGCTGAGACACAAGCAGATGTCCGGATTGAAAGAGCTGAAGATGATGTGTCTTTCACCAGCCAGATCGTAGACCTTGGACAGCACAGTGTCACAGAAAGAATTTAGTTCCACTGCATACGTATCCATTTCATGCTCTTCACTTTCGTGGAGCATAGGATATTTCATCTCAATGTTGAAGCCAACATGCTCTGGCAGCTTTCGGAACAAGTCTTCTAGCGTCGCAAACGGTGCCTGGATGAAGTTGCCACGTGTATTGCCCTTGTATCCCTTCTCTTTAAAGTCCCGAGTGTGCTTCATGCGCTCCTCCATCTCCTGTTGTAGACCACTGCCCGCATAGCCCATAGACTGTGATCGCTGTGGGGTCAGACTATTGCTACGTGTCCGGCCGACAGCAGACTTCCCGCTATGGCTTGGCCCGTTTTGGCGATTGTTCGACCTTCTTGACTCGGGGTTGATGTGCAAGAATTGCTCCAAGGTGAGGGTATGAACAGGAGCGTCAATGCCAGTTTCACTGACTAAAAAGTCGTGGTAAATGACAGGAACGTGGTCCTTGGTAAGCTGGACGTCAAACTCGACATACTGAGCTCCGAGATTGGCTGCTGCGATGAATGAAGGCAACGTGTTCTCGCCAAGTTGCAGAGATTTATTGGAGGTGATATTCTTTCCAAGGCCTCGATGCCCAATAACCATGGTGGACGAGAGCTTCTTCCAGTACGTCTGCCTCGAAGTAATCTCCATGTTGGGGTGGTAAAAAGGCGTAATGACCAAAAAGCTGAAGTTGACAGTTCCAATAACCTCAAAGCTGCTGTTCATGATTGGCACGCACAAGTCGCCCTGCAAGTTCATCCGACCAGTGCCAATTGTCGGTTTGACAGAAGACATGAGAGCCACCGCACGACCAATCTTGTTTTTGTTGTTTCCCGAGTAGGTCGGAACAATATCAAAGAGAAGCTTGACCTTGGCTGGATCACGCGTCCTGAACACAATCGGTTCGGTCGCAATGTGCTCGTGAACCGGGAGATCAACAATAGTTGCCTCTCCCTGAGCTCCATCAGCAGTGACCACGACAGAGAGAGCTGTGTCAAGCTGTGTGTTGTGAGCCTCCGCAAGGGGGACGCTGTCGAGAGTTACGGCATCCAGCTTCTTTCGGGTATCCATAGATCCAAGGCTTACAAAGACCATGCTTTCATTTGTGAGGTAGCGGTGACCAAAAGACTTTACAAGTTCAGCTGGTCGCGGCGCGGTAGGGGACTGGTTTGAACGACGGCCATCGATGGATGAAGAGCTCTCTGTAGGGTTGAGCGGTGGAGAGGCGGTCACGGTCCGGGGAGTATCAGCTTCAACTTCGTTCGTATGAGCCGCGAGAAGCCTTGCTATCTGCATATGGCCACGCAATGACGCATGTTCCTTGGCCGTCCAGCCAGATGCATCTGGTTTGGAGACGTCCGCGCCAGCGTCAATAAGCAAATTGACAACTGAAAGCGAGCCATCGACCGCTGCAACATGCAAAGGAGTCCAAGCATAAGACTTCTCTGTAATTTCCACATCTGCCTTTTGCAGCTTGCTCTCCAGAATGACACGAGCACACTCATCGTGTCCGAATCTGGCGGCAACATGGAGAGCAGTCTCGCCCGTCTTGTCAGTCCAATTGACATTGACACCCGCATCCACAAGCATCTTCACAATGACGGTGTAGTTGGATTTCGTGGCAAGCGCAAGAACGGCACCGGATTTGGCTACCGTCTTCCGGATTTCGGGCTTGGCTTCACTGCTTCCCTGCCAAACTTCGCCTTGGAGCAGAGCTTGCGTGGTCAAAGGATGGCCGCCGATGACGCTGAGATGAAGCGGCGCATATCCATCGCTGTCTTGCCACTCGGGAGCATCAATTCCGTCTTTGACGTCAAATTGATTCCACTGCTGCATCCTAGCCATGATGATTTGGCAGACGACGACAAACCCAAATTGGGCAGCATAATGAAGCGGCAAGCGGCCAAGGGTATCAGGGGTTTTCAGAGCTACTCGCTGATTTTCCGACATATTGTCAAACAGAAACTCAAGCAACTGCACTGCTTCGTCATCTTTGCTAAGAAGAGCAGATTCGTACTTGTTAATCTCTTTGACCTGGACGGCAGAAGAGACTGCAGGCTGCAGATGTCGGCTGTTGAAATGCGTGCCGACTGGTACTGGAAATGTATTCGCATCCTCGTTTGTGGGCGCAGACTTTGTGCGACCAATGTGAATGACAAGGCGGTGGACGCAGTTTCGACCATTGATATCCTCAGGCTCATCGAGATCTTTAATGTTTTGTAAAAGATACGTGATACATGCCCTAGATCTGCTCGATATTGATCGTTGCAAGAGATTGAGCAACAAAGGTTGCGATGAAGTCTCTGATGCCACAACATGTGCATCCGCCAGCCCCTGCTGAAGAGCTGCAATGTCGTCGTTTCGGACGGCTTGTTCTAGCGCATCAAGCTGAGCCTGCGGCATATGGAGGAATATCTTGGCCGATGCTCTGCTAAAGGAGCGAGTCGATCGTTCCGATGTTGCATCATCCGCGCTCTGTGCATCTCCCAGTACTGAAAGCCACCGGTTGATCTCGCTAAGCCGTCTGAGAACGTTTCCGTCCCGTGCAAAGGGTCTCGGGTCGACTTTTGTCGAAATGTATCGGTGCTGAGAAGCAATTCCTGGCACTTTTTTGTCGGCCTTTTTTGTGATCTTGACGAAGCCTTTACGGTTGATTTCGCCAAACCACTGCAAGTTTCTTAGCTGACTTCTGAGCTCCAAGAGCGCCCCCATGACTTCCTCAATCTCATCCCGATCCAGAGTCGCAACCACATCGGGCACGCGCCCATAGCGGTTCTGCAAGAGGTCGACACGTCGGCAAGCCTCGGCGTACTTCTTGTTATAGAATGAGTCGACATCTTCAAGATTACGGTCGAGGGCGAAGGAAAGCTCTGTGGCGTTTTGTGTTAGGGGGAGGGCTCAGCCTTAACAAAGGGTGACAAGCTTTCAAGACAGCCCACCTGCTGGATCTACGGTCTCGCCATTTCGGGCTTTCTCGGCGGCGGCCTTGACGATTTTCTTGAGGCCCTTGTAGTTGATGTAGGCGCCGGCCCATTCGGGGACTTGATTTCGCGGGAGGCTTGTGGAAGAGGACTGGTCTCAGTGAATGCCGCCTTTTGGCGGTTTTGGGGGATTTGAGGTCCATAAGCCCCAAACAACTCACTTTCGTCCAAACTTCATCTTTTCTTCCAATCTTCCCGTCTACTCTTTTATTTCCGTTTTGGGTATATTTCTTGTTCGTTTATCGCCTTACTGCCGATTGGTCAGAACTGCGCGTGGGGGTTTCGGCAAGGCAACTTTTTTTTTCTGTGATGGAGGGGCAGTCGGATCGATTATCACACAAGGCGAAGGCTGTTGCTTTGGAGATGTGGAGATATGGAGCAGCAGCAATTCCTTACTTACAAGGCAACAGCGCAATTGCGTCGACTTCAGCTGAATACCGGATGAGGCTGGTAAGAAAATAAGGTTAGAGCGCGAAACGTCTTAAATGGACGGGCAACTGAATTGGAAGGAAAGGAAAAAGATTGCGCCGGAGAGGTTCCAGTCCAGAGCAGACCGCGTGATGATCACCAGCCTCCACGTTCCTCAAGACGCTCTAACAAATGCGGGTAGCCGCCGAACAATCCATAAACAGGCGGCGCGAGTCTAGATTGTCTAGAGGCGCAAGGATGGAGATTGATGACTGCTGAAGCGAGAACCGGGGGGGAGAGATGCAGACATACTCAGGCTTTGCTGGCGTTATCGGATATTATAGAGCAACCGCAGCAACGCAGCAGATGGCCGGTATTCTCGTCGTCCAACTGTAATTGCGGCGTCGAGTCACGAGAATGGCGCGTGTCGTGTATACTGGCTGCGCTCTCCGCTCAGTTGAGATGTCCGAGATCTCTGCTGGTGGAGCGGTAAAGGTGGCCAAACCGCCCGTCAAACAAGTGGCAGCACAACAGAAGAGAGGAGTAACGTCGGACGCGAGCTTCGGAGGCCACGCCGCCTTTTTCAACTTCACCAGTCGCTGGTGGAGATTCCCATTTGAGAAGGAAGAAAAACGCAAAAAGTCCATACAGTAGAAAATAAATCGGTTCGATGCCACTCTCCACACCGTCATCGCCCACCTTTTGGCAGCTCCAACCCTCGTCATAAACTCAAACGGCGTCCAGCCCACGCCTGGAAGGACCCTGAATCGAGCCTCTGCGCCCACTCAGGCGAGCCCACGGTCGCCCCGGTGGAGCAGCTGGTCGTAACAACTGGCGTCACGCCCCTGAGCGATTCCTTGCAGCGGCATGGAGCACATGGAGCACATGGGATGCCTGAGTGGACACGACGCAGCGCCTCGTGACTTGCCAGTCGGTATTTTGCGAGCCACGGCGGCATGCCGGTCGTGCCGCCAGCTGGGGCACTCTGGGGCACGCTGGGGCAGCCAGTCTGCATCCCGCTGTCTCACTGTGGGCTGGCGGCTGCGACTGCTGGAAGGCCGCTGGCCGGGGCGCGCTCAGGCACCGCTGCTCGCTGAGCGCTGCTGTTGAACACGGTACCATCAGCACTGTAACCTTTCAAAGTTCCAGGGCTAGCTTTTCCCTTGCGCTAATTGCCGCCACTTTCTGGACAATCAAGCAGTCTTGCTAGTCCCAGATCAACCCAATTTGAGTTTGAGATCTTTCACACGTGCCTAGAACCGAGGATCTTCAGCTTATAGGTACAGATAGTTCCTCGCATGTGTATTATAGCTTGTTATGTGTACAGTAATTTCCGGCCCTGGTGTCAGAGCATTCATGTATCTAAATGCAACACCTCACACATGCCAGTCTCTTCTCCTCGCTTTTTATACAAATATACATACATACATATATATATATATATATATACATTTGGAGAATAAGTGCTCATTGGCACGAATTAACCATGATTGGCTCATCTTCATCATCCCGTCCTCATCATCTTTGCGTCATGTATAGCTGTTCTTTGGAACACGCCTCTTTCGCCAGGTAAAGACCACGACAGTAGCATTTGCTTGGGTCGACGTTCTATAAGTCGAGGCTCAAGTGATTTCTCATAGTCAAGAATTTCCGGCTTCTCCGATTGTGACGCATCTTCGGCCAAAACTAGAGATTCTCGCTCTGCAGGAATATCTTCTTCAGAGAGAGATGTAAACTCCTGAGAAGCATAACCGTCTCTGGATTCGTTCAAAACACTATTCGTCAATCCCGTCAGCTCGCCGAATTCCTGATTCAGTTGAATGCTTCTTTCCAAAGCCGTCTGCCCAATCTGGAGCGCCATTGAACCTCGAAAGTCGGTGGAGAAGTCGGGATATAGAAGTTTGCTTTCGATAGAGATGGTCGTCTTTCTCACAAACTCGTATTCTTTCCAAATACTTTCGAGTTGCAGCACTCTGCTTTTGGATCTGCCAATGTCTCGGCTATGTGCCAATGGCTCTTGCGATGGACCTGCCTCCTGGGCCAGAGTTTTGAGGAATTTGGCAAAAGAAGGCCCGGAAACTTTTAAGCTGACTAAAAGCGATTTTGAAGGAGGCCGATCTGCGGCCCCAAGACCACATATGTCTAACAAGACGCGTATTCGGCTCGCAATGTATGATATGCCCTCGCCATTGCCTGCTCCAAGTAGCCTCTGAAGTACTGAATCGGAGCGTGCCAAGCTGCCAGTTAGTCGGACTGCAGCTCTCCAGTCCAAAGCATCGATGCATTCATCCAGGAAACACCTGACTGTATCCAAGCTGATATTGACTCCGGATTGCATGCATGATATAAAGAATGCGGCAGCTTGGTCAAAAAGCTTGAAGTGAAGCAGGCCACCAATAATCTCTTCCACCAAAGGCTGAGAGAGCGGGAGATGATCCCAGATCCATTCTCCGGTAAGAGTTCGACGTTTCGTGTCTGAAGCCCAAGGCAAGAGAGTTGGGCTTATTCTGATATCTGATATATGCCTCCTACGCACTTTTGCGCCTGTCCGGTTGTCGAGTCCGGTGATACAAGAAAGCGCCCTCAGGAACTTTCCGTGATTACTGGTGCATTTGTAATGATTTAAGATGGCGATAAAGGTGGATGGCGTGGGTTGTAGGAGTCGGTACTGGAAAAAGGAAGCAACAAGAGCTTCAGCGAACGCGTGATGACCGGATTTATTAAACGCAACAATCAGCGTGTTGTAAGTGTGGATGTCTGGTGGGTGTGGTGAAACTAGCAGATTATAGCAAACCCTGCCAACCTTCTCTTTCGTACTGAGATTCGAGGAGGCCACCAAGGATCTCAGGCGTTTGTTTAGTTGAATAGTGTTGTCCTGGGCCCTAGCCGAGTTTATAGATCGGAATGTGAAACCTAAGCCTAGGCTTCCTTTTTCTAGTAAACTCCGGGCTTTGTGCAGCGAGGGGCCGGTTTGGTCTTCCGGAAGAAAATCGGTACGGTCTAGAAGTTTCTGAACGAGGTGCTCTGTACTCAGAGATTCGCGGAGCAGCTGAGCTTGGTTTCGGGGCTCCCGGTAATATTTCCCCTTTTCGCATTCTTCACGTATGATTGCACGCTCCAGCCTATCGTAATCGATCGTCCGGGGGGGATTGCGGCAGCCATAGTGCTCGTGTTTCAAAGCCTCAACAAGATCAGACGGTCCGATGGTCGCCGGCTGGTGGATCTCTTTCATGTATGGACGATTACTGTAAATGTCTTTCAAGCTTCGCCAGAGTATGTCCATTTGTCGAAGGCTAAGTTCTGGAGTCTCCAGGTCGCCGGAGCCGCTCGGTTTTCGGGGGTCTTGGAGTTCGGCTATTTCTTTCCGGACCTCTTCGATTTGACGGTCCAGCTCCTTCCTGCGGTCATCCTTCCTGACGGCATCTACCAGAGCCGCCGTCGCAAATACGGAGCTATAACAGGCGGTGAACAGCTCGGTGAACGTCGGCTTGCGGCGAGCAGAGGTCGCTCTCCTGCCCAGGGTATCGATGGCATTGCTGCAGGCTTTGCACCCGCTGCGAGGAGCCGCTCCGGCTCGGGAAAGAATCGTCTGCATCACCTAGACATTTGCAGATACATTCGTAGATTTCCGAGAGGAGCAGAGCGCTTTGTGGACGTCAATTGATGTCGAAGTTCGAGGTCCAAATCGACGGATCGAAAATCGAACGATGCTCCCACTTTCCTTTGCGAGGTTTCTGAAGCGTCACGTGATTGACTCTACAGCTCTTAACCCCACCATGATAGCTCTCTCTAGTACCAGCTGAATGAAGGTAGCAGATTTCCATCTCTCGAAGACTCGACCCAGTATCGCATAAGGATCTTGATATTTTCTTCAATTTCATTTTCTTTCTTTGTATATAGAGCCTCAAGTCGTCCCAAGATGTTCGCCCTCGCACTCACTGCAGAGCTTTCGGGGTTTGTGCCATGATACTTTGCCCCGCCATCTCACAAATGATTCTCCGCTGACACAAAAAAACAGCGTCACCAATTTGCGCCCTGACGATTCTGAGGAGAACCCGTTCTGGTACATGTTCAAAGTGCAGTGCACTTCTTGCAGAGAGACTCACGACAACTATGTCGGGGTGAACCGCTTCGTGAGTTTGCCTCTTTCTCTCCCTGCATGTCTTCCAGATAGCTCACAGTTTCTCAACCAGGAACTCAATGAAATGAGTGGCAGCCGAGGGGAAGCCAATTTTGTCTGGAGATGCAAAAACTGCAAGGTAGGCTTCCACAATCTTTTGTAAAGAACTTGAAGTTGCTTGGTATGAACTTACAAATTCATCACAGCGAGAATCATCTGCGTCGATCAAGGCTGCTCCAGTAGCCTATGAACAAGGCGAGCCACCCAAGGCGCAGAAACTGCTCGAGTTTGATTGCAGAGGGTTGGAATTCGTAGAGTTTAAGCCAGAGGTATGTCAAAACTCCCACTTGAATCAAGAAAATTTCTGTTGGTTAACAATGCTTGTCTTTAAGGGTGATTGGCTTGCCGACGGAATTGATTCCGGCACCAAGTTTATTGGAATTGACTTGACAGATGGAGAGTGGTTTGACTACGACGAGAAGGCAGGGGAAGAAGTCAGCATAAAGGAGCTCACATGGGAGATTAAGAGGGCATAACTTGTAAAATAATTAAAGGAAATAGAAAGCTTCATCTGTTGTTATGTCAAGCTGTCATAGTAGGTACATGCCCATACAGACACCCCACCGAGGTTCATTCAGATACCCCTGCCCCACCTACCCATCACGGCCCCGACTTTGAAGCTTCAAAACATCTCTCAACTCAACTTCGTTCACTGCACCGCGAGCATAAAATAAGACGCCATGGCATCCATCGCCGCACACTCTCCGGCAATCAACTATCTAACAGATGCTGCACATGTGCTTCGAAATGCAGCTCCAGAAACGTCAGCGCATCTCCTGAGCCAGCGAGCAGCGCTTCTCTCCGCTCACGACATGGCGCCTTCAGACCTCCAGCGACAGCATGTCTGCGCTGCTTGCGGCCACATCATGATCCCGGGAGAAGCAACAGAGCTGAAGCTAGAAACTCTAAGAACAAAGAGGTTCAAGGGAAGAAAAGCGCAACCTTCAGCTTCAGACATGGCGCCAAGACCTGGCTCTGCGAGAGAGCGATCGAAAGATTTCTCCTGCGGCCTCTGCGCCAGGGTCACCAGAATTCCTCTCCCAGCCCCTGAAGCCGTTACACGCCGCAAAGCCACCAAATCAAAGGTGCAAAGCTCTTCAACAAACAACGAGATCCAAAAGCCAGCCACGGCAAATGCCAGCAGCAAGAAGCGCGCCAAGAATCGCAAGGCCGGGCTACAGGCTCTGCTATCGGGCCAACAGCAGCGCCAATCAAATCCGCTGTCGCTTGCAAGCTTTATGAAGAAATGAGTGCACGAGCTTCTACCAAGACATCTTTCTCATATAGATACCCAAATCCAACAGTACAACAGCGAATCGCCATCAATCTAACCTACCTTTGGGAGATTGTCAGCCGAGCGCAAGAGAAAATCGAAGCAAATCGCACTTACTGGCGCTAAACGCTGCGACTGGGCGATGTGTCGGGAACGTTCTAGCGCCTCTCTGTATGACATAAACGCGCGCGACCGCTATCAAAATTGCCCCTCCAAAAATTTTAGATCCCCGCCGACGTCTAGTCAACAGAACTGGCATTTGCGACAACTTTTTTTTTTCTGTTTCTTTTGGTCTATCATATTTTTCGCAACACCCCGATACCCAAAATGGCTGCCGAGAGCGAGAAGCAGAATTTCTTTGAGCCCATTGGCAACAAGGCTCAGGGCCTGTCAACAACCGCAAATGGCGACTCAGCAGAGGAGGAGTTTAAACCCGTGGACGAGATTGAGTCGCTGTGCATGAACTGCCACGAAAATGTACGTCGCCTTGCATTTTTCTCTATTGAGAGGTGTTCCGTCTTGTTATAGAAGCTAACTTCATCTCATACAGGGCATAACAAGACTTCTCCTAACCGTCATCCCCTACTTCCGCGAGGTCGTTATCATGTCCTTTGCCTGCGACCACTGCGGCCTCCAGAACAATGAGATCCAGCCCGCCGGCACCATCCAGCCCAAGGGCACACACTACGAACTGCGCCTGCCCGCGCTCGACGACTTCTCCCGCCAGGTCGTCAAGGCCGACACCGCGACCGTCAAATTTATCGAGATCGACCTCGAGATCCCCGCCGGCCGCGGCCAGCTGACAAATGTCGAGGGCCTGCTACAGGGCGTCGTCGACGACCTCGAGATGGGCCAGGAGGCACGCAAGGAGCAGGCCCCCGAAATCTTTGACAAGGTCGCCGAGATCATCAAGAAGGCCAAGGCCATGCTGGCGGGCGATTCGTTCCCCTTCCGCGTCTATGTCGACGACCCCGCCGGCAACTCCTTCATCGCGCCCGACCTCAAGGACGGCGTCGGCAAGTGGGAGAAGCACGAATTCGCCCGGACGGCCGAGCAGAACCAGGCTCTCGGCCTTGGTGACACCGACGACACCGCCGATGCCACACTCAACAACCCGGGCTACCAACCGGGCACAACGGCCGACGGCGACATCATCCCCAACGAGGTGTACAGCTTCCCGGCCACCTGCCCCGGCTGCATGCACTCGTGCACGACGCACATGAAGATGGTCGACATCCCCCACTTCAAGCAAGTCGTGCTCATGTCCACCGTCTGCGACGCCTGCGGCTACCGCTCCAACGACGTCAAGACCGGCGGCGAGATCCCTGAGCACGGCGAGAAAATCACCCTCGAGGTCGACGGCGTCATCGACCTCGCCCGCGACATCCTCAAGAGCGAGACCTGCGGCCTCGAGTGCCCCGAGCTCGAGCTGCACGTCAACCCGGGCACCCTCGGCGGCCGCTTCACCACCGTCGAGGGCCTCCTCACCCAGGTCCGCAACGACCTCCACAGCCAAATCTTCGAGGCCGGCGAGGGCGGCGACTCGCTGCGCTCCGACGAAAAGTCCCAGTGGGACAAGTTCTTTGCCAACCTCGACGACGCGATTGCGGGCACCAAGCGCTTCACCGTCATCTTGACCGATCCCTTTGCCAGCAGCTACGTCCAGTCGCTGGTGGACCCGCCGGCGCCTGATCCCAAGATTAAGAGAGAGACGTATACCCGAACGGATGAGGAAGAGGAGGAGCTGGGTCTGAAAGACATGGTGTTGGAAGGATATGAAGAGCCTGAAAAGGAAGAGGAAAAGGCTAAGACTGAGGCTGAGGCCGAGGCCAACTAAAAGAAAAAAAAATGAATGAAAATGGAATTTTAAGAAAAAAAGGGGGGGAAGCAAGAGGAATGAAAAGAGAGCATTTATGATGATGAAGATAAATTAAAATGTTTACGGTATACAAGACACGGGATATATGGTTTTAGAAAAAAGAAATCTTTTTTTTTCTCTCTTTTTACTTTTACAAATTACGGACATCGTTCCATGTAGTAACAAAAAAGCATTTTGTGAAGGAAAAAAAAAGGAAATGAATCGTTATTGACAGACATATCAGATTACTACCTAGCAGCGCACCCTCAACACTTGAGAATCTAGCACACAGGTAGCACTATCGTGAGCTCTCCCTCTCTCCCTCCCTCCTTCTCTCACTCTCGCATCAGGCTCGTAGCTCCCGCCACAAACTCGCATATGATTACTCCCATACAGCTTTCAGAGCCGCAGATAAACAGGAAAGAAAAAGACAGGGTATTCAGAGCAAAACAAAAAAAAAATCGACAACAACATGGTTCTTAACAATTAAGGAAAAGCATATAAGAAAGAAAGACACGCCCTGCGGAAACGGAGGGAAAAGAGAATAAGAAAAAGAAAAATCGATCTGAAATCCCGTTGCTGGGCATGACACACCCCATTCTCTGAAAACGCCAAAGTAAATGCATGAGTGCCCGCATTATCCCTCGCTACTGCGTCTCTGCGTGCGTATCGGCATATATGTGTTCGCTCCCCTTAACAAGGAAAAGAAAACGAAAAGACAGGGACAGAAAACATAACAAACAGTAAATGTAGAAAAAGGAAGCGCCCATGTAGAAAAGAACAAAGAAAGGGAGATCTAAAGGAAAAGACAAGTGACAAAGCTCAAAAAGAGCAAGAAATTAGTCTCTTCTCATCCAACACCTCTGCTTCGTCTATCTTCGACCTCACAGTTCGATTGGGTGAAGGCGCGCGATCCATAAAGTCCATCATTTTTGCAGCATGATGATGATTCCCGCCTAAGGCGGTATTATGTCGCATTGTATCGCATTTGTCTTCGGAAGGCTTTTGTCAGCTCGAGTCCCGTTTATGTCATGTTTTCCATCCAGGGCCAGATTGCGGTATTTTAAGTTGCAATTGATGGAAATCCATAACACGGCAATTTAGAAAAATGAGGGCTTCGTAAGAACGCGATATTCTACGTAGTCTTCCCCATCAATGTTAATGATGGTTCCTTGCGAGACAAGCTTGCCTATAAAGGGACCATTCGTCTTGCGCTCATATTTGACACCGTCATACATCTTGGCATCCTCGGCACCGGCCTTTAGACGAAGGCTCTCTTGACGAGCCCAGACTTTGTTCAAGCGCTGCATATCCTCAGACTCGTGGAATGGCGCTCTGCCGTTGGTCGCATCAGATGGTGCAGAGGCGACGACTGCGGCGGCGGCGGCAGCAGCAGCGTCGGCAACAAGAGCGGCAGCCCGTTCTCGGTGCAGCGCATGTCGGTCAGCTCGGCCCTGAGCGGCCTCGACACGTGCAATCTCTCTGCGGGCGAGCGCATTAGTACGCTCCATTCCATCGGAGCTGTGGACACGATTCATTGCGCGAGAGTCTGGGCGCGAAGGCTCCTGCTCGGCGTACGGTCTCGATGTCTGGCGCATGTCGTTCTCGTTGAAGGACTGTCGAGGAGTAGCCCGGGATTCTCCGCGGCGCGACTGCCGAAGTTCAGGCTGAGCTCCACCAACGTCTGACCGGCCATTCGTTAGGTCGGAGTCGTCAGCAACTATAGGGTGGTATGGGGCAATGGCCTGGTGAATGTGTCTATAACCCGAGCCGGCGCGGGCCTGGGCTTCATGAACGGCTCTAATTTCGTTGTTGACTCGTTCGTCTGGTACTTCGCCCTGATCGAGCTGGTACTGGCGAACTCGGCAGTATTCTTTAATTTCAGATCGTTGAAGAGGCTTCAAGTGCGGCTCAAATTCGACCTCTTCATACTGGATCCACAGTGCACCTGCGCCAGTGGGAAAGTTGCCGTCAACAAATCGGCCGTCACGAGTTTCACGGACCACTTTTACTCTAAACATGTCATTCTGTCCCAAGATGCCGTAGACAGCGTGGCGGTCTCTTGGGTCCTCTTCGCTCGAGCCCTTCCAGAATCCCAAAAGGATGCGCGTGGGTCTAGTGCCTGGAAGCGGGCCATGCAGTTTCGGGACATGGGGTGGCCGGGGTTGCAGCGCTGGCTGCGATGGCAACAAGGGCGAACGCTCCGGCGGGCTGTTGCTGCCGCCGGGGTTGATGGATGCAAATCCACCACTCACGCGTCTCCTCTTGGACTCTGGCCGTCCGGGACTTGATGCTGAGTCGGGCAGCTCAAGGCCATGGGCTATGGCAGGTTGAGTGGCCGGATTGTCATATGCAGGGTTCTCCTTGACTCGGCGAATCGCCTCAATGACAGCCGCCTGTTCAGCAGCCTCGCGTTCCTCTTCAGATTCATCTTGAGAATCCGTGCGCAGTCTCACATACTCCTTAACTTGGAAGTGATCCAGGCCGACAAGATGTTTGGAAAAGACAACTCTTTCAAAGGTAACCCAGCTACCACCGGGTCCAGGGGGCATGGGATAATCGTTGCTGACGGGCTCGTTGATGACGGTATAAGGCTGAATTCGAGTACGCAATCGGTCGCGCACGTCTATGAATCCAATGACAGCGTGACGGCCTTCGGGATTCGGAATTGGAGAGTCTCGCCAGTGGCCTAGCAAAACACCTCTGACGGTTCCCAGACTCTGCCGTGATGACTTGGACTTGAAATTTTGGCCAGGCACAGGAGTCCTGGATCCGTCTGCGCCATTGGGAAGCTCCATCTTGCTCTCACTAAGATCAGTAAAGACTGAGTTTCGCTTGCGCTTAGGATAGTGAGACACCACAGGCCCATGCTGAATGTCTGTCATGGTCTCGTCCTCGTTGTCAGAGATGGTACGCGCATGTGAGATCTTTTGATCACCGTTAGTTGTGTCCTTGACGACAATGGAGGCTTTCGATTCGTTGGAACGCACCCCTGATGGCGAACGAACGTTGCTGTCTGGCTCACTAAGCTCGCTTTCTGCTTCGTTGTCGTCAGGTGAATGCTTGATGTGGCCGTTGGAATGTCTAGGGTGGATGTCAGTTGGAGTTGTGGGAGCGGTTGAGGGCTCGTCGGTCAAAGCCGAAGCCGAAGAAATGGGGGACAATGGGACCATTTTTGCGCAAAATGAAGAAAGAGTTGAATACAAAGAGAGGGATAGTGGCTAAAGAAAATGATGCATAGAAGTGAATCAAGGCTGAAAGAGGCCAAAAAGCTGGCCTTTGGTGAAGAGAAAGCAACCCGGCCTTGAAGCTTAAAGCGACACGACAGGCTAGCTAGGAAAGTCCGGCGGACAAATTGATGACCCTTGGGTATGAATGAAGCAGGATGGATGGCCCAGGCAGCAGGATAGGATGGAATCTTGCAGCGACACTAGCGTAGAGTTCTTGTCTTGCCAAGCTGTGGCGGAAAAGGGTAAAAATTGATGCTCAAGCAGACAGACAGAGGCAAAAAGGAAAACATATCAAAACGCTGTGCAGAACATCGCCACCGCCAAACTACTCCCAACCTAGTTTGAGATGCTCAAAGCCAACGGCAACTTGCTAGTTTGAAGAAACGGGAGATGCCGTAATCAAATTTAACAGATCGAGCACGACGCAGGAGATGAAGGGAGCGACGGGGATGCGAGGATCACCGTCAGGCCATGCTGCACGTATAAACGCCCATTCCCATGGAAACACGTTGCACGCCAATAAGTGCGTCCGTCCAAGCCACTAGGCTCGGCCAAAGCTGGTGAGCGACAAATCCAGGTAGCTTCGATCGGCACGGTTCAGGGCGCAGAGGCGTGGGCCAATCAGTTCCCCGGCGCTTCGGCTCACCTTTGGAGAGGCTGCAAGGCTAAAAGCAACAGTAGCCGGTGGGCGGCGATCTGACTGATGACAAAACAAATTCCCAAGTAGGAAATTGGGCAAGTAATCAAGATCAAATCATTGAGCGCGGCGTATGTGTGAATTGCGCACGCAAACAGTGTGATTTTGCGGGATTGAGCTGCTGGACTTGTGTGCGCAGTTTGTGCAGAAAAAGGAAGAGAAGTGAGGGTTGAGAAACGAGGAAGCGCTGCAAGTTTGCTACTCGCGGCGGTACCTCCCAACTGCGAGACGTGACGGGAGCACCAAAGTAGCAAAAACAGCACACAAAGAGGCCATTTGGCGGCCACTGGCAGGCCCCACTGAACAGGAAACCCAATTGCGCCTCGGGTATTCGCAGCCAGATTTTGGATTTTGGATTTTGGATTTTGGGAACGCAGCTTGTCTCTCTTTTCGAGTGCTTGTTGCGAGGTGGTGAGAAGCAGAGGGGAATTAACAAGGCCAAATAAAAAGCAGCTTGAGAGCAGTCCATCTAGAGATCCGCAGTCTGGACAGAATCCGTAAAGGAGCAACGAAGATGGCAGCTTTGCTTTTTTTTGCTTTTGCAACCCAATCATGCAGAGCAAAGGAGCAATAACACATCGACAGTGGAAACCAAAGCAGTATCAAAACAGAACAAGACTGGATAAGAAGAAGAAGTAAAAGAAGAAGAAAATCAATGTACTCACTTTTGCGCAAGATCCATGGCGAGTCCGTTGATTATTGGCTCTTGCGGAGGCGTTGTAGACGCTGAGACGGCATTTCCAATGATCGGAGACTGGGATTGCGAGTTGGGAACGGAGTGCGAATGATGCGACTGAGAGATGGAATGAGGGTGTGAAATAGACCGAGGAGTGTGCGAGCGAGACTGAATGGGCGGAAGTCGAGGCGTGGGAGAGAGAGACTGAAGATGGCGATGTGGCGCCACGGGATCCTCCACCGGCGGCAGAACTGTTTCCTTCTCGATAATGGGGTTCAACAGGGCGGCGGTGCTGAGGATCGAGTGGTGAGGCAACTCTCGCTTCTCTGATAGCTGTCGAGGAGACTGCTGGGAGGCCAGGCCAGCCATATTGGATTCAGTCGATGCCAGCGGCGGCGTCCGCGTAATAGGGTATTGCTCTACTGCCAGGCCGTCCATGATGCGATGTGGTGTGTGCTGGGCACTTTGTTGCAGGCGAGGTCAAGAAGACAAGCCGAAGGGATGGACGAAACGAAGTAGAAATGATTATATAAAAGAAAAAAAAGAGGGTTCTCTTCAAGTGGTACTACTAATAGGAATACCAGGGTGAAGGCTGACACCTTGTCCGATAGTTGAAAACGCCGATGGCAGGGAGTCAAATATTATAACCCAATGCAGACTTTCCCCGACGGGCAAAAGAAGAGCGATTGGCACAGCGTGCCTTTGCGTCAAGGAGACGGTTCTGACGACTCGGGAGCCTCTCGCCAAGGGAGATACACGTGATGGACGACGATGCCCGTCGAAGACCAGCTGTGCTACAAGCAGTGAGGAAGAGGGAGAGGAGGAGGAGGAGGAGGAGGAGGAGGAGGGAGGAAAAGAAAGACGTCGAAATGGTATTATGAGCAGCCAGAGCACTAATAGTGGCAGTGGCCAGCAGCTGTGTTAGCGGCAGTGGTGGCAGCAGTTGGGGGGATCCTCTTTTTTTTTGGCGGCCGTGGGCTGAAGAGAGATTGTCGGGACCCGGAAAGCAACAAGACTCTGATCGGCTGCGAGTCTGAGTCTAATCGGCCAGGCGACCAGGGGGGGGGGGGGCGTGTGTGATGCGCGAGAGATTGAACAGGGAATCAGAGCCAAAGGTGGGAGGGAAACCACAAAAATAAAATCGAAGACAAGGGCATGAATAATCAGCGTTGCGCCCCAGAAAAAATGATGCGTGCGCCATGCCGCATGTGCACTATAAGAGACGAGAGCCAAGTCATTACGAGTGTTGGTAGGTATTGGCAGCAGTAGTGTCGGTTCTCTTTTGTTTAGGCATGTCTCTTCTCTTTCCACTATGAAATCCTCTTTCGGGGAAAGTTACCCAATCTTAAGAATGACTCGATGAGGATGTTTTCGCCGTTGTGAGAGAAGATAATTAATGAACTACTAGTGGGTACCTACCTAGATACGATAGATGTACATGCCCGTGATTTCTCTCCCCCGCACCGTGTTCAGCAGTGATAGAAACTTTAATCAAAACAGCACATGCACGAACCAAGTCTCAACAAGGGCAAACATAGAGCAGCAGCAACAAAAAGGGAGGAGATTGGCTGGGTTGACAAAAGGGAAAGTTGACGTGATACAACAGCACAAAAAAAACCACAGGGCAAAAGAGGCCAAAGAGGGAGGGGGGGTGTAGATGCAAAAAATAGGTTGAAGCTGTCTTGTCGAGATGGAGCCAGGGAGGGGTGTGCGCGAAGAGAAGAGCGAGCCAAGTTGAGTGGTCATCAAGTGAAGCCCAGACACGGTCTTAGTTCGTCTCTCAAGGGATGGTACAAGCAACACGCAGCGTGCAATACCGGTATACGGGCTTGACTCGCGGAAACCAAGTCTCTGAGACAGACGCAGGAGGCCTAGGCTTGTTCAGAGATGATTCTTCTACTTGTTGCCGTATTTGTACAACGCAGCAAGATGGTAGCGCCACCGGCTGCAAACTAGACTCAGGCGGCCGTTTGTTCACTGATTCATTCCTCGATCCGCGCAGCTAGGGACCGAGTCTATGCAATGGATGATGCATGCAGTTTAGCATCCAGAAGGAACGTCATGGCAAACACATGCACGCGCAGGGGACGGCATCGTCCTCCAAGAGACGAGTACTGGTGCTTGTAGTGGTTTGGAACAGGCACCAATCGCCGCCAAGAGCGCACTTGTACTCGCAAGTATCAAAACCTCGAGCTATTACTCATACAAATCACCGCTTGAAGACATATTGCCGCAAACTCACTGGCCAGCGCTGCTCTTAGTCGTGCTGCTAGGATCATTGGCAGGTATGGTATAAGGACGTGGACATGCTTGTACAAGCAGGTATGGGGCTTGATGGGATTGGCAGCTGTTGTTGGCAACTTGAACAAGCCGTCGCATCCATCCATTGGCCTGCGCCTCTCAGAAACAGAAAAAGAGGAGCCGGTGCAGCATGTCTGGATACAACACACAACACAACACGTAGGTATATATTTGGCACTCCTTACATAAGGCGAGGCGGCGTTGGCGCGCAACGTACCCGCACCGGGCTAGGAGATAACGGTGGCTCAGGAGAGAAATGGATTATTACTATTGCTACTGTACTCGTACGGTGCGCCTTGCTGCGACAGCAAAAGAGGAGTTTCACTTGCCTTGGATTCCATCACATGGGGTTTTCCCCAGAGGCGTTTGCGGGTTGGAATTGTTCGATCCTGGCGCCCTGCTAGTTATGCTAGCCGCTGACCATTTTCTTCCTATTCGCAGCCAACCGTAGGTGGTAGTTGCGAGGACCAGTTGCTGCAAGTTGGCAACAGGATTAATATACAGAGCCGGAGGAATTATATCTCACAGCCCAATTCTTCCGTGTGCGAGGCCCGGATCGCCCAGCGGATGCTGCGGCTGCCGCAGGTGCCGCAACAAATTGTGACAACTTGCCAGTTACATATGCCGAATGCGCTACTAGTACTTAAGCAATAAATAGAGCCATCGTGCGCGCTGAGGACCCAGCGCAGCATTTTGTCGCCTGTGCTGGTGTCTCTGCGGCTCGTCCGTATGGCGCATTTAGAATTGACCGTTTTTTTTTTCTGGACGTGGAGCTGGTCATTACTACTTGGGTATGCTTTTTCTACACTGCCGAACTCCGTTCCCAGTCCCAGGCGCAACAGCGGGCGCACCAGAGAGAGAAAGTCGTCTGATTTAGGAACACGCAAAAATACCTTAGTAGTAGCAGGTATTTATTCCGGGAAGCAAAAGAGATTCCGAGACCATTCCGGGGGTCAGAAACGCACCGTACCTAGGTATCACCTACCCTTACGGCTATACGATGATACTACCTCGATGCGGTACTACTAAGCGGGCGAAGGGGATCCCCGAAAAGGGCTTTCCCAGAGAGACAACGGGCAAATATTCGGGGGCCCTATGCCTAAGCACAGACAAGATAGGCAGATAGGGGGTGCAGGTACTTTGTTAGGAAGTTGTAGGATCATCGAATCAAGTCAATCAGACACAAGTTGCCAGCCATGTATGCAATACAATACCTTACTTGCAACCCACAGGAAACTGGCGATTTGCATAACTCTGCGGTTTCACAATGCTAGCAGCGAACGAATCAGACACAAGGGATAAAGAAAAGAAAAGAAACAAACAAGTCATTAATGATAATACCGCATAGTGCGAGCAGTAGCACAGGATTTCTCTTTGCTTTTTTTTTTTTTTTCTAATTCCTTTTCGCTTTTCTGTTGCCTTCAGCTTTGCTGCTTTGCTGCCTTTTTTCCTCCCTCCCTTTTGTTGGAATGAGGCCCTTGGCTCGGGAACGTGATCTCCACTAGGAAACTACTAATTGCGCCAGCAGCTGGAGCCAGGGGGGGGTGTGTGTGATTTTCAAAAGAGTCCAGTGGCCCCAAGTATCTACTAGTTTAGCACAACGAGCGAGAACCGTCCTAGAAATAAATGTTGACTTGCGGACATTTGCGGGAATAATTGCCTACTACTACTAGTAGATGGCCATGAAGAATATCACCACAATCGGCCTTTTAAGCTTTACTATCGCTTATGAGATGCTTAATGTTCGAAGCGCTAATTGACTCAAGCCCTTTGCGCTTTTTGTCTGTTTGCTTTTTTGATTACTATTTTCAAATCTTGGCTTACTTTTGCCTTGTGAAATGGTTTTGCCCCCAGGAGGAGGAAAAAGGAAGGAAAACCCGCAGTCGGCTAGGCCTGGGCTACTACTAAACCAATACGACATATTGATTGCCGTTTGTGAGACGCAATTAATACATTCAATACTCCTGCTAGCCCTCCAAGTCCGAGCCAACAAAGCGGCCCTGTTTCTGTTTCTCCGCGCAATCAAAATCCCTTTTAGCTAATCCCTCCTCCTCCGTGCCAAGTGTAAAAAGAAAAGCCCTTTTCTTTGTCTCTCATTGGTTACATCGGCTAATTCCATTGGCTGCCGTTCCCCTAATGACGGAGTACATGTACTTGCTTTTTTTTTTTGAACCTTTTTTCCACACTCTCCTGGCAAACGATAAAACGATGCTAACGCAGACCAATAGCCGAATACGTCCAAGAAAAGAAATGAGAGAGAAAAGACATGTGAACCCCAGGATTGCATAACTTTTTTTTTTGTATCTTTTCTCTCTTGTATCCTTCAATATTTCTAGCATCTCCCTCCCCCCCTTTCCAATACAACCCGCATGCAGCTCTAGTTGTGACTTGTTAGTTGGTCTCACTTTTTATGTCTTCCTTTTTAATCCTCTCTTCCCGTCTTTAGGATTGAGGATTCGATCCTACTTGGCCGTTTGCCCACTTTGTCGTCATTATCCATCATACCATCTAGAACCAACAACGCACACATACATATACATACAGCGAACAACTACAGCACAGTAAAAATGCCACAGGCCTACTTTGCTGTACGAGCACAAACACAGTCTTTTTGATCGCTTTGGTCGATTCCAAATCGCTCCGTCCAATCCCGTGGCCACTAGCACATGCTGCTGCGCTGACGCGATATAGGCCGACGCCCCAATCAACCAATCTTTTTCTCTTTTCTGTCTCTCAGAGGCTGCCTTGTCTCTCTCGCGCGCTTTCGGCTGAAGGAGCCGTCTAATGCATCTTGGCTGCTGCTAGCATGTATCAAGTCTAACCCCGTACCAAGCACAGCTGGCGACTAGCCCTTCCGTTCGGACTAACAGTAATAATTCGCCCATCTGCAATTGTGATTAGTGATGGGCATCCTGCTGCTCTCCTACGCCATGGCCTTGAGACAATTCAATGGAGAAAAAAGCCTATTGATTGCAAGTACTATTGCACTTATACACTGCTATAATGCTCTTTAGTACGCGTACCCTACCGCCGTCAGCCAGGGTTCTTCCCACGCATCAGCCCGTCCAAGCTTATTTTCACTCAACTGTCCTCCCAAAGAAGAAACTGCTCGACTGTAAGGGAGCCGAGGCTGCGAA